ACGAGAGATTGCGATTAATTGATGGCGACGGAGGGCTGAGCTGAAGTTCAATAATTCTGCGGGGCCGTAAACTTTTGAATTGCTTGTTGCCGCATGGACATACCGGATCGGAAATCGGAACGGATGGCGTTGAGTTTGTTATCAACTTATTACTTTCTTTTTCATTTCTTTCTGGCAGATACTGCTGTGTTTATTACTACTCTTTTTTTCATGGTTTTTGATGGTTTCTACAAGTATATGGATCGGGGAAGATGAGGATATGATGTTAGAATGAAAAGGCTAAACTGGCAAGCATAGACAGACGCTGCGGATTTCCTTACTTCTTTTCGATTCTTCTGTGTGTGTGTGTGTGTTCTTGCATTAGTGTGTGTGTGTGCGTCTATACTTGTTCCGTGTGTATGACTACATAATAATTTCATTTGTGCTGAAGTACCTATGCTGGATGTTCTCACCGTAACGATCCCCACACATACTATGCGGAGTGTAATATTACTGGCAATTACCGCGATCTTGCCGGCATCTGGTGTGGAATGTAGTATCAGTCACTTTACATAACCGCGGCCAATCAGAGCGGGGTCGATCGTCAGCCGAACAGCCGCGCCGACTCAGCTTATCTCATCGGGATTAGTGTCGGACGACTTTGCAGATGCCGAGTCTTGCTCGGTCTTTCATCTCTCTTATATATCTCTCATCTTTCGTACACTTGTTCAATTCACTCTCTTTTTGTTCGTTTTTGTTATCCAGTTTATACACTTTTGAATTGCCATGGAGTCCCTTCTCCAGCAATCCCGGGCCATGTGCCCATTCCTCAAGCGCACCTCGCCCTCCGCCCTACGCTCACTCGCAACAGCCACCCGTCCCAGCACCAGTCCTGGCGGAGGCACCATGTCCAACCTCCAGATCCTGGGTCGTCGCTGCCCAGTCATGAGCAAGGCGTTGGCTGTCCAGAGTGCCCGTATGTCTGGCACCAAGCGGTTCACATCGTGCGCGGCTGGTGTGGCGGGACTCGGCTCCGCCGGACACGGAATCAGCGAGAAAAAGCATCTCCGTGAACGACAGGCGTTACACACTACTGCTGGAAATGGGGCTAGTCTCCAATCGGAGACATACAAGAAGGGGCATGGTATGATTGTTTTTTTAAATATGCTGCATTTAAATTGAATGCGCTGACAAATTAGTCCCCAATTTATCTCAGATTAAAAAGACCCCGTTGGGGGTTGCGCCCGTAATGGCCGGCCCTTGTCCCCAGGCCCCCGAGAACAAGCGATTTGACTACAATAGCTTTTACAATGGCGAATTGGAGAAGAAGCACAAGGACAAGTCGTATCGGTATTTTAACAACATCAACCGTCTTGCCCATGAGTTCCCGCGCGCCCACACGGCCTCCACTGAAGAGCGGGTGACAGTGTGGTGCTCCAATGACTATCTCGGTATGGGACGCAACCCCGAGGTCCTCGCGACGATGCACGAGACGCTGGACATGTATGGTGCGGGTGCTGGTGGTACCCGTAATATCTCCGGACACAACCAGCATGCAGTGGCGTTGGAGAACACGTTGGCCAAGTTGCATGGCAAGGAGGCTGCGCTAGTGTTCAGTTCGTGCTTTGTGGCTAACGATGCCACGCTTGCAACGCTGGGAAGCAAAATGCCCGACTGTGTGATCTTGTCGGATAGTCTGAACCATGCGTCTATGATTCAGGGTATTCGTCACTCTGGCGCGAAGAAGATGGTCTTCAAGCATAATGACCTGGTTGATCTGGAGGCCAAGCTGGCTTCTTTGCCCTTGAATGTCCCCAAAATCATCGCTTTTGAGTCTGTCTACAGTATGTGCGGATCGATAGCCCCCATCAAAAAGATCCAGGATCTGGCGGATAAGTACGGCGCCATTACCTTCTTGGATGAGGTGCATGCCGTTGGCATGTACGGTCCTCACGGTGCTGGTGTTGCAGAGCATCTTGACTACGAGGCCTACGCTTCGCAGGATACGCCCAACCCTCACAGCACCAAGGGTACTATCATGGACCGTGTGGACATCATAACCGGTACGCTGGGTAAGGCATACGGGTGTGTGGGAGGTTACATTGCCGGATCCGCGGCACTGGTCGACACGATTCGCTCCCTCGCCCCGGGATTCATCTTCACGACCTCGCTGCCACCTGCGACCATGGCCGGTGCCAACACGGCCATCCAGTACCAAGGCCGCCACAACGGTGACCGTGTCCTGCAACAACTTCACACGCGTGCCGTTAAGGAAACCCTCAAGGCACTGGACATTCCTGTGATCCCCAATCCATCACACATCATCCCCCTGCTCGTCGGCGACGCCGAAGTTGCCAAGCAGGCCTCCGACAAACTCCTCGAGGAACATGGCATCTACGTGCAAGCCATCAACTACCCGACCGTGCCCCGCGGTGAGGAACGTCTCCGCATCACCCCTACCCCTGGCCACGTCAAGGAACACCGCGACCATCTCGTGGCCGCGATCCAGTCTGTCTGGAACGATCTGGGTATCAAACGCACTAGCGACTGGAAGGAAGCTGGCGGATTTGTCGGCGTGGGCGTTGAAGCTGCTGAGGCTGAGAACACACCCATCTGGAACGATTCCCAGCTGGGGTTGCAGCCGAATGAAAACCAGGATCTAGAAGCGGCTGTAGAACGCAATTTTGCGACTGCGGCTGCGTCCATGGTTCGGATGCAAACCGGTACTCTTGCTTCTGCATGGATCCGGCCGTGAGTGCTTCGATTGGTATTGCTGCCTTTTTTTTTTGTTTTTTTTTCAGCTCGTTGAAGGGTACAGTTTAACTGAAATGGGCTAAACTGAACTCGGGCTAGATACATACATATGCATATGCATGCGTTTTCAAATTAGTTACTAGTATATTTCACAATTAAATACGCTCATTTTGTACATCGTACGAGTACGAGTACGCTTTGAAATACAACCATCACATTATTCATCCTGCACTCTAGAACGACGATCACATGAGCATTCAGTACTGTACTCCATCTGTTGCGTAACAATCTATACTCGGTAAAATAGCACACTGTACAACAACAACAACAACAACAACAAAAACAAACAAAAAAAAAACGCATGCAAAACCTTCTCCTGACTGGCTGACCGGCTGGTTGACCGACCGGGAGAAAAAAAAAAAGCAAAAATACAACACAGGAAGTTCCAAGGAAGAAATTACTTTCTCCCACCACGACTAACCTTCGGAAATTCCACGGGAACCTTCAACCTAGCTACACGTCTCGCAGCAGCCTCAGCCTTCCCACCCTTAATACCCCACTTGGCAAACTCCGTCTCGCGCGGTTTATCAACCCGACATCCCAATTCGCGGAAGTACTGCGTGATAACTGTATTATCCAGTCTAAGATCGTCGCGCAGATCTGACGGGTCTGTAGCAAGTTCGTTGGCCGAATTCCCACCCTGCGCGCTGGAGCCGCCGTCCTTGGCTGGTTGGGGTGGGATGTGCAGCGACAAAGCGCAGACGGTTGTGTGCAGCAGGGTGATGTCGTTTTTGGAGAGGTGTGAGCCCTGCGGGACGAAGCGGCGGCGGATCGCGTCAATGACGGGGTCGGGGAGGGTGTTCTCTGTGGATGTAGGTGCGGACTGAGGGGTGTTCTTTGCAGAGATGGAGCCTGTGGAGGAGGAGAGAACGCGGCGAAGGTCATCGCGGGGTGGGAGACGTTTACTTCCGGGTCCTGCGTCGCGGCCGCCGGGACGGAAGGAGCGGACGAATTCGAGAAGAAGGAGAATGAAGCGGAGGATTTGGATTTGTGTAGTGTTTCCCGATTTGACGACTGCCTCGACGCGCCGCGATACGTAGCGCGAGGTCGTTGTAACTGCGAGCCCGGAACTCACTGTCTCCGTCCACTCCTTGATACCGGGCAATTGCCGCAGCGTCGAGGAGCCATTCGGAACTAGGACTTCCACCGGATACACATCCGCGGGATGCGTAGCAGCCAAATTCGCCTGAGGAAGAGGCTTCGCAGCCTGCACCTGCGCCTGCACGGCAGCGGTCTTGGAAGCTATATCCGTAGCGGAGTCGGCAGGCATGGACGAGAGGAGGGCATTTTCGGCGGCGTTGACAGCGCCAGCTGGGGCATTGGAGAGTTGGGCGTTTTCGGCCATGGACTGGACGACTTTCTTGGATTGTTTTGTACCGAAAGCGTGAGTGAGGGCGGTTTTTTGGGCGCGCATTGTATGCTAAACGGTTAGCAACTGCATATCAGTAAAATAAGGAGGACATACCATCTCTTCGTCCTCGCTACTCTCCTCATCCTCAAGAGGCTTCATCTTCCTCACAGCACCCCGCAAGGTAACCTTGCGCGCCTCGACAAACTGCCATGTCTTCTTCTCCGGGTCAACCACCGCAATATAATGCTTCAACTGCGAGTCCGCATCATCATTCGCTTCCCGTCCTACAAAGTCAAGCTTGGGGTGCTCAGACGACTGTAGTAGAATCTCAGACGAGACGATTCCCTTGTTGCGCGTGGAGGAAGAGGTAGAGGAAGTGTTTGCGCGCGGCTTGAGGTACGGTTGGAGGTTGATGTTTCGGGGTTGGCTGACACCGGGGGTTGTCACTATGTATTTCTTGTTAGCAGGTTTTTCTTTTCTAATTCAATTGAGACATATACCAATGACAGGAGCCAACTCGCTATTGTCCTCGACCAAGCTGGCGGATAGCGGAGGCAGATCCTGCAGTTCGAGAGCAGGTTTTTTGCTGGGACGCTCATGGCGTTCTGAGTGCCGCTTGCGCTTCTTGTCGATTTTGTCTGAAGGCATCTTTTTTATGTTGAGATAATAATGGTAGAATTGAATTTGGAAATAGTAGAAAAAATTGAAAAGTCGGAAATTCGGGCTTGGCAGAAAAAGGCGGAGAGCAGCAAGAAAAGTGGGGATGACGAAACCAGTGAAGGTGAAGATAACGCACAATGAAGTATTCGCGGTAACCCCAGCACTACAGAATGAAAGATAGTCATTGGCATGGCCACAATTGAGTTACAACTACGATAATTGGCAGAATAAACAGATTGTCATGTCACCATGTCATATTTTTGGTAGTTCTTTTAGATCGAAATGACCTCTCCATAGCTCTAGCACCCCAGCTGCAACAGTAGGCCGGTAGGTGAAATAACTTGAATCGAGCAGGAATTGACCAGTTCCCATGCAAACACTCCCAGGATCAGTAGCAAAGGATCCCTCCAACCCCACCAAACACACAATTGCCACCCCGAATAGACATTGCCCGGCAAAGAAATCGAAACCGTTTATCGAGCCTAGAGGCTGGAGATAGAGGGAGACAAGTTGAACGGCGGACTCTGGTTTTCGACTCGTCAGAAGAGACAGTCCGGACAGGCTATCCGATGGAGCGGCTATCAACGAAAAACGATCATGAGGTCATTAAGCGTCGCGGTTGTCATGTTTAGCATTCAACGTGGAGCGATCACACGAGAGACTGAGATGGAAAGGGACGAGTCGTTTACTTCCTGTTTATTTGTTAGACCCGTTGTATTCGTTTTGAGTAACTCGAGGGCAACTCACGATCTCGCCCTCATCTTTCTTCTCTTTCTCTTTAAACGACGAACGCGCTTCTTTCTCCACTTGGCTCTCATCTTCGTAGAAACTGTTAAACTATGTTAGCATCTACTCAACCAAGACTAGCCAAGCTATTAGGACACAGAGGAGAACTCACACTTCGACGAGGATGAAAGAAGATGGTTGTAAGAAAGATCCAGGAAGAGCCGCGGCGGAGCTCTTTGTGTGCGCCATGGCTGAGTCAGCACAGACTGCCGCTAAGGGCTCGCTAGTGCTGTGGGGTATATGATTGGCTCGACTGTCATCCGTGCACTGTTGCGTTTACCGAGAGCTAATATTAGTCAGCGTGATGGGGCAGTATTGTATTCCGCGGTACAATGTAGTAGACGTCACTTTGATATGGCAGGAGGACTAGAAAGTACTCCAAAGTAGAAAGCAATTTGTTGCTAATAGTAGAATATAATTGAATCAGTGCTGTTAAATTTCTTGTTTATACCACATCTACGAGCTGAATAATGCATTGTACTCCGTACAGAGGTATGAAGTACTCTACAGGGCTGGGATCAAATTTCCAGAAACATTAAACTCATGTCGTATTAAAAATGACGTAAATTACCAGATAACCTATGTCCAAAATCATCTGTGCTTTTCCATATCTTCATGCGGATTCAGAGCTTTTATAGCCCTAGCCCTATCCATCAATATGCACATGCGAAACGGGAACGGGATGTAAAATTAAAAAAAAAAAATAAAATAAAATAAAAATAAAAAATAAAGGAAAAGAGATAAGATAAAAGAGAAACCACGATATCATGATATCCGTTAGTAGAGGTAGCGGTAGTTGGGCGCCATATCGCCCATGTAAGCCACTTCTTCCTCGGTTGGCACAGGTGCGGTGCCATTTGCCAGGGCACGGTCACGCCTGCGATTATCCCACCAGCAGGCGGCAAAGTAACACGTGCAGAGGGCAGCAGAGAAGCAAAGGAAGGATAAACTGATGATATACCCTGGTCGGTAGAGGGGGGCATCTTTCTCCAAGAAAGAGTAGGTGGATATAATTCCGCCGACTTATTTGCCAGTTAGCTTTTTACCAGTGACACAAGGGAGGAGACTCACTGTTTCCAAACCCAATCTGCCATGCAGATCCTATACCACGTCGTCGATGCCCTCCCAGATTCATTGTGAACCAACACACAATGACTGGCATTGCGCTGTAACAACCACTGGTGACCAAGAAGAGAGCGCCATACTGGGTATTCTTTTGATCTTGCCCATGGATATTCAGCAGAATGCCATATCCTGCGATTGCAATGAGCATCGGAACTACCGTGAAAGCATACCGATGCTTCACCTTATCGGAGAGATATGCGACTATCATAGAAAAGACGAATGCGACTGCCCATGGTGGAATTGAGTACAAATTCGTTTTGATACCTGGTGGGATTAGATTCATTCCGATGCAGCCAAGAACAGTTGGACTCACTGCTATAACCATAGGTCTGGATAATAGTTGGCGCAAAGTACGCATATCCTGCTGGTTGTTAGAACATCTTCTGGTGGAAAGTGTATGGGATTTGCCTTACCGTAGGCTGTGACAACCTGACCAAAGTACATCCAACCGCCAATGATTATCTTGTCTGCCACCGGTCAATTTTCTGAAAGAATCAAAAGCAATGAAACACGACTCACAGTCCTTGAATACATCCAAGACATCGCGCCAGCCCAATTTTGCGTCATGGTTGGCCTTTCCAACATCCTGAGCCAGCTTCGCACGAAGGAACTCCCGCTCCTCTTCGTTGAGCCACTTGACCTCTTCCGGGAAACCAGGGACGACAAAGAAGCAAACCAACCCAACGACAGCCGTGAGAATACCCTCAATGATGAAAACCCACCGCCAACCCGCGATCCCACGGATCCCGTCCATCTCTCCAATTCCAGCCGCGAGAACACCACCAAACGCACCAGCCAGAGTCGTGGAGCTGAAGAAAAAGCTGAATCGCTTTTGAGCTTCGCTGCGCTTATACCACATCCCCATCAGATAGAAGCCTGTCTGCCTTTAGTTCGTATCCGAGATTCGTAGAGGAAAGAGTCACGTACATCCGGGGAAGAGGCCGGTTTCGAACATTCCTATCATCGCGCAAAAATATCAGTATATGCCATATTGCAATCAGGTGCCAGGAGTGAGTTCGTACCCAGGAACCAGCGAGTAGTCATCAGACCACCCCAATTCTGCACAAAACCCTGGCAAAGCATAACGATGCCAAAACCAAACATACATAGCGATACTGCGTCCGTGAGTTAGCCGCGTTACACAACGCCAGGGGGAAAGAACAGAGACGCACACCAAACATGCGGTTTCAATTTCTTGAGCAGGAGATTGGACGGAATCTCGAAAATAATATACGGAACGAAGAAAATGGTCAACGCGGTGTTGTATTTGGTCCCATGTAAGATACCCAGGTCTTCCTTGAGTCCGAGAACCGCCGCATTACTGATATTGACACTGCGCAAAGTCAGAGGACGCGCGCAAGATAGCGCTTAGTATCGACGAGGCATACCGATCCAAAAACGCCAACAGGTACATCACACATAAACACGGAACAACATGCCAGTCGACCTTTGCCATGAGCTTGCGCTCCGTCGTAGTCGTCAGTGGAGGGAGGTCCGGCGAAGACATCTGGATCTGGCTTTCGCCTTTGTCCTCGGGATCTATAATGGGCACGCGACGACCGCATGTCAACGAAGACATTCGAGGCATTGGTGAAATAGGAACAAGTGGAAGTGTGAAAAATGGTGACACTGGAACACGAACCTGTAGCGCCCATTGTTGGTGACGATATATATATATACACAGGAGTATATTATGGCGGAATTCGATTTGACAATGCTTGTGCGACAATGCAGGGCAAAGGATTGACCGGGGGAGGGTGCAATTCAAAGAGTTTGCTTAGGGACAAGACATTGGCGCAGGACCGTAGTACAGCAAAAGGACGCCTAGAAAGATGAATAGGAGTGTAAGCGTGTAGGCGTGCAGGCGTGTAGAGAGAGAGAGAAAGAGAGGAGAAGACAAAGGTGAAATTGAAGATGAAAAGAGGATCAAGCTGAAAGAGAAAGGCAAATAGAACCAAACCAAATCAAATCAACCAAAGAGGGGCAAGCAGCTAAAAAGACCCGAGGCCAAATCCCAGGCAAATCAGAGCGAAAAAGGAGCAACGATGCAGATCCGAGGGCGCCAGAGAGTCTATCCGCCAGCGATCTCGGCCCTTGCGCGAAAGGCGTGGATACAGGGAATAATCTGTAATACATAGTCGGTCATTCCTGGAATGTATGCATATTCTTATCATCCATAAAAGAATAATCTCTATGCTCTCGTTTTGTAACTATGATTTGTAGTCCTCGAGAAACGATTAAGCGGCCAATCACACATTCCCGGTTAGGCTTCTCCGCAGTTCCAGTGCTTGGGGTCGTATTGTGCACCGTGGTATTTACATTAAATACAGTACAGTAGAGTCATATGCTTGGATAATTGAATATAGGATACTCTGTTCTCAGTACTTTATTCCTACAGGACGGATGTTATCAAAAATGCACAATATCAGCGTTATGCAAAATTCCAATATTCAGTGAAGCTCAGGTCAAACTTTCAGCTTGACCGACGAACCCGGAGGATCTCCGCCACCCGTGGGTCCATCTGGACTCTTGATATTTCTCTCCGATATTATTGGCAATCTCCTCTCCACCGAATATCAAAGACAACAACTCGCAGATACGGCTTCCGACATCGTACAGAAGAAACAAAGAATACGAACCACGCTATCATTGCTTACTGTCCTGGTCCCTGTTACACGCACACGCGACAGTCAAGCTTCGAGGAATGCTGAGATGAGATCACTGGACGCTCTATGATTGGAAGAAAGATGTGATGAAAATAAAATAGTATTACCTTACAGACGCCCATGAGGTTCATATCGCAACTAACAGAAAACAAAAATGTGGACAAGTATCCCAAAGGGGAATGTATGTGAGGGGCTGACAGAAGACAAAGAAAAGAAGAAAAAAAAGATGTTGTATAACACGCAGAATCTCGGACAACTTGTACCACGTGCAATCATTTGCCATACTGTGGAACGGATGTCTTTTTTTTTTTTTTTTTTTTTTTTTTGTTCCTCTTCTCGATCTTTCCCTGGATCAACTCATTGACTTTTCGTCGTCTTCCACGGCTTTCCCCCAGGCCTTCTCGAATTCCGAAGCCGAATCGGTTCCTCCTACCACGACAGTTGATCCTGCATCTGCCGTGGGTGGTGTGAGTGAGGTGGTGTCTTCCTCTTCCTGATCAGTCATTAATGACTCAGTCTTGATCTTTGGCCCGGATCCCGGCACTTCGAGATCAAAGTTCGAACTGTAAATCACTGCCGCGAAAGCTTCCAATTCCCGAGCACCCTGGTCCATGGCTGTCAAATACTCATTCGGGGGATTGGCCCCATTGCCAATCACATGTGCCTGACGTGCCAGCACTGCCAACACATTAGCAAGTTTCGTCTTGCGCTCTGCAATCGTCGTCGTCGAGTGCAACGGCTGGGAAGAAGTGTCTGGGGCCAACGAGGACTTGAACGCGTCGTTGGCACACTTTCGCTCAATCAGAGTTGCAAATCCTTCGTTGTTCAACAGAGTCAGAACGTGGCCAAATGTGGGAGACTCGATCAGGTCCGCCGTCTCATCCAGGAGGTGTCTTAGCGTGGATGCTGTCTGGGGTGATGCCGCAGAAGTTACTTCAAGCACGCCGGATTCTACCAGGAGACTATCTTCCTCCTCACGTGGCGGCAACAGATACGACAGCCATTTATGAGATCTGCACGCAGTTAGTACAAGACAGTTTCGAAAGGGGCCGTCAAACATGCCTTCGCTCCTCCTCCGTGCTACCTTCAATCTTCATGCGAATCTGGACCGTCAATTCCGACAACTTGGATACCGAAATGTCTTCCCGGGGGTTCAAAGGACCAAATGTCTCCGAAACAGCAGCTTGTACCCGGTCCATCAACTGTTTCCAACCCTTATGAAGAAGCCACCAGCTGAAAGCAAGATACCGTCTGTTGGTTTCATAATCGTTTCCTAGGGTCTGCGTAGGGTCGTCATCGTCATGGTCCTCAAGGCGGATTGTAGATGTGTTCGCAGGAGGTGTTGCCAAAGAGATCACACTCGACAGGTAGTTCCGACGGCCAAGCAAATTGAGTTGGATCCGAGTAAAGATGGTCAAAAGGGACAGGGTGTAGATAAGAGTAAATGCCCTGGTAACAGCTGCTTCCGTCAGTACCAACCATTGCCAATTTACAGTTTCAACGAGCACAACATACAGGTTATCTTCACTTCATTCCAGAGCTGGGTCTTATTCCGTTTCACCCGCGGCGGCGGTAACTGCTGCTGTTCTTGTTGCTCCGGCTGTTGCTGCGGCTGTCTATCACCTTCACCGGGAGCCTCTCCCGCTTGGCTAGCATGAGTAAATCCTTCACTAGCCAAGCTCCGACGATCATCATCGGGCAAGCTGGGCGACACCGAGCTCAGATCCGACCCCGTGGCCTCCCCAGCGTTCAACCGAGCTAACCGCTCCGCCCGTTTCCTCTGCAATTCCTTTGTCAATTCCTCCACCGGTAGAGCCTCGAGGATATCCTCCGTCGCAGTAGGCAAGAGTGCAAGAACGGTATATGTGCAATCGTTCTGGTTCTGTTCGAAGCGTCGTCGCAAACTATAATTCGGCTTGTCAGCTCTTCCGTACGCGATCATTTGCTTTCATGATAGCGGTTTCGATCAACTAACTTCTCTCGAGCAATTCTATCGCTACTCATGCGCTCACGCGCTTCTGAGATCTTGGTCAACACGTATTGTCCCGCGAGGTAGCCAGCTCCGATGACGCCAGCACCAATTGCGAGGCCTTTGCGATTGCGGCGGAACCAGCGCCTCGTCGCACCGATCATGTTGTATTAAGCTTTGAGAATTATATTAGAATGGAGAGGGAGTAAAATTCGCTTCAGGATATCTTCATTCGTTCATCGTATTGTGCTCATAGGTTTAAAAGATAGCTAGGATTGGGGGTTGACAGGAACGGAGGTCGATAGCGGTCGGGAATCTCTGGGACGCGGCCGGCCTCGGTTAATGATAAACGGTGTGGCAGGTGGAAGATATGACCGCTGACACTGGGACTGCTTGCGGTTTATGTGGGATGGCACGGCGCTATACGAGTTGCTATATGTAGAGATAAAGCAAATCTAAAGGTTTCTATCCTATCAAGATATTTCATCCTGCATGGGCTGTAAGACCGGATCTCACATGCCCAAACGACAGCACGTGATACGTCCGATGTTTGCGATCAGTTCGTAAAGGAGTCAATACCCTCCAAACAGCATTGGAATAGCTCGATATGACATGCCGGTTACTTTTTACAGTTCTTGACACTTTAGCTACGTGGATAGCCTTTTGTCCTGTCAGTTGAACTGTCAGGTTGGGTGTCTGGATTGGCAGGTGTGGCGGTGGTGGCGGGTGATAGTGCATTTCCTATTTGGAATCCGATGTATGCGAGTCTTCACATCATCATCCTCTAGGCTACACTCGTACATAAATAGTTTACTTCTACTGCTATATTATTCCGAATATTTCCATTATATCACACCTTAAATTTCAAATCTCACTCTTCAGAAGTCAGTCTCCAGTTCCGCGTTCAAGATGACAAGTGCCCAAGAAACCGTTTCCCCGTCTGAGAAACACATCCAAGAAAAATCTACGGATTATGAAAGCCTTTTCAATAACCCTCTTTGGACTACTAATCCCGACTTGACCCAGCCAACGTCAGAAATCAAGTGTAAGACCACCTTCAGTGATCTACCGCAACACGAGCTGATCATATATATAGTTGCCATTAGATATCACGAGACGGTTAAACCGGAAGAGCAGTACGGCAGCAAAAAAGCCTTCTTCAAACACGGCTCACATGTGGAAGAAAAAGAGTTCAAGCATTCTCAGGAATGTAACTGCATTGGTGGATGGGCGGAGGCAAGTGATCTCTTAGCCTTAGACTACTATTGGCCATGGTCCTAAGCAGACTCAACAGCCGCCTTATGAAAGTCCTTGGTGTAAAATCATTGACGAGAGAGTTGATGATTCTAACAAACATGCACCTGAAGAAATTGAGGCTAAGGCCGAAAAGAAAAGGGAAAAAGAGCCTAGTGAGTTTAATAAGAATATGCTCCATGGGTTGGGAAGGTATCGCCCATATCAACACCATACAACTTTTTCATGTTACTTGTCACTGATTGACTATAGCTCGATGTTGAAGCCCTTTCGCCGATTGACCAAGACGGTTCGGAACTAATTCATAATCTCGAATACGCAACCCTGAGAATTCGCTTATGCCGGTATAGCATTGCTTTATTCACATCGGATTTGCACGATGATACATTTTAAATAATTGCTCTAAGCTAGTTAGGTTCAATAAATAGTGGATGGTTTACTTGCAACTGTGATGGTAGTAGTATGTCACTTTTCCATCTGGGTGAAACCACCTTAGATTCTTCACATCCCCTTACCTCACGAGCCTACACAGAATGTGTATAGTTTTATCTCAACGGTGGCAGTAGAGCAAAAAAATTGGTATTATGGAAGGCCTAGGTACAATACTTGAGGTTAGTCAAAACTATGAACCACTCTTATCGAACGTATCTTCAGTTCATACTCCATCCTATTCTCTTCCATTCATGTGGTCTGTAGCCACGAAGAGTGTTAAGTGCTTAATGCTGACAATCAAAGACAAAAATTCTGATTCGGAGCACTAAGAGCATAGAAGCAGCTATACAATTTTATCGGGTTCACTCCATGGACACTTCAAGATGGAATACATGCCTATTATGAGGATATTCCCAAAGAGAGAGCAATGAGCTCTATGCACCTTTCCTTACAATATGGTAGGGTAAGAGATATCCTATCCCTACCTAAATTTCGCACTTGTTTCCCTCCCAATTAATCTTCCTGCTTCTCCTCCACTCTTCTTAGCTGACCACTTCCTCACTCTAGCATTCATAATGTGTTTCCTGAAATGCAATTCCCTCTCGGTGATTCTGCTTTCCTCTCTGCCCAATCCATCCTATCACCTCGATTCGACTGTCTCTCGAGAGATATTGCAAATTGAGACACTTTGTGTCACTGTTTATGGCAAGGCTACCGCACAAATGGCCGAGATTCCAAAGTCCATAGGGCTATCAAAAGATGAACAACCACCATCACTGACAATGCTTCTTTGAAGGATACAGATTTGGACAAGGGACTATATGTGAAAACGGACAAATTATGGGAGATAGAGCGGCAGCTCTCCAAAAATCTGCGTGACAGTTTTCAAGCTCAAGAGGAATTTGCTAGTTTGGCTCAACGGGTCTGTTACACGTAGTCTTATAATGGAACTGTTTGCTCCCAGCGAAAAACTAGAATAAACTATCAAGTATCAAGGAATTTTAGGAAAAAGATCCCGGGGAAAATTGTCCCCAAAAAACTATAAGATGGTTGGCAACCTTTTTTTGCATGAGACAGACCCTTGAATATCAGCACAGTGCAGCTGTGTTAAACCCAATAATACAGCCCGGAGCACCTCGTAATAAGGCTGGCTCGGTCATATTGAATGGTCGACTGGGTTTCGCTATAGGAGAAGACTTAGGAAGCCTAGTTTATGCAGTAGATTCTGGATAGTCCCATTGGATCCCGCAGGACCAGAGCGGCTTTGGTTACTTTTTCTATGAAAACGTTCTGCTGGGAAGCGAGAAGTCAGGGCAAGGAGCAGATGATATTTATTCTGTATCAATAACTTCTGGCTTGTGCTTTCTTTGTGGGAGGCATGCACTATATGGCTACGATATAGAACATGAAATCAAAGGCCGACATAGTGGTCTAGTGGACTATGCGCTAATTTATACTCGGCCGTCAATCGCTTATCCAGATAAGGGTGCAGCTAGTCGTTTCGACATAGCTCAATGCTTTTTAGTGAAGTATCAACTTGCTTGATTGCATGTTCTGTTCTCCGTGCTCTGACCAGCTCTACGAACTAATCGCGGCCGAGATAGCGTAGTACACCTCCCTGATTAGTGGTAGGACAGAAATCCCACTACTAAAACCCCCTAATATCAAAAAATAGTCTGAGTAATTAACTACTCCGTACATAAAACCAATAGTCATGCATCCTTATCAGCTGACTAGTGATGACTAACCCCTGGCACATTCCATCCCCATTCCTGGCGTCACATTATCGCTTATCCAACATCCCTCAAACCATTCACTCACTCGAACTTCTACGGTACTTTTTTTCTCCAGTTCATACGGCCCAGCTGGCCGTATTCTACAGCCGAAACTGGGTCGTTATTAATCTACCTCATACTAATACAACCCGAACCATTACATACCCGAAGACCTTCCCCAGAGTTCTAGCCAAATGGAGCCCCGCAGAACCCCTCCAGAGTATTTTCTGGAGATTTTCGCAGACTCCACGACCGTGAGAGATGTATTAAAGGGTATTCCTTCCTATCCCATCTATCTAAAGATTAAATATATACATATACTAATATAGAAAAGGCATCCTGAACTTAATCTTCTTCCACCGATACTTCCCTTCCATCCGTCCCACCACCTTCGACGTCCTCGATTTCACCCTCCCCGCCATTAGCGACGTCGACCTCGAAACTCTCATCGACACCCGCGTCTCCTCGCTCGTTCGCCAACACCTTTCTTCCGTCGCTGCGGGCAGCAATAATGTGCTCGATGGTGGGAGTGGCGGCGTGCGCGGTCGGATAGCCGTCGAATTCTATGAGAAGAAGCGAAGGAGGCCCGGGATGTGGTTTGGGGGGTTGGCGGGGATGACAGGAAAGGGGGAGGAGGAGGTTTGTTGGGAGATTTGGACGTTGGATGTTACTATTGCTACGCCGAGGACGGAGTCTGGTATGCGCTTCCCTCACCTGGTTGATGTGATATGTTCGGGGCTGATAAAAGGCAGAACGCGCAAAAGTTCGCAAAGCCATGGAGAACATGCTCCAGAAAGCAGCCTTCAAGATCCTCGCCGTCGTCAACAGGGATAAAGATCATATCCCGCCCATCACGACCAGCGAATCAAATCCGTTCCCATATCGCATCGTGCTGAATCCGCGGAGCGAGAGTTGGCAAAATCGCATCGGTATTGGGTTATATTGATGCGAGGGACTGACGGATTGAAGTTTTGTTCGAGCGGCCGGCTCATACATGCATGCATTTACATACGGCATACAGCATCGTCGGTTGGCGACTATATCGGGCTACGATACCCTTACATCTTACTATGCATCATATGTTGGTGACTGAATATTGCTTTTGTGCTGCGTTGGTGTTGCGGAGTTTCGCGGTTTTGTAAGGATTTCTAGGGAACTGTACAATATATCTTACTTTAATATAACCTTTGAAAATAAGACGTTCAGATATCATATTTTATTGATGAAATCGCAGGATATAAAAACCAACAGTGAAAGTTTTTGCATCAATAATAGAATTCAACGCATATGATAGCATAACAACTCAACGCATGTACCATTCCCGAGATTCAAGATATGGTAAAATAAAACACGCAAACGTAGCGAAACCATCATATCTCTCTATTCCCCTTCTTTCTCACTACACCTCCGTGTTTTTCTTCTTCTACCCTTCATTCCTTCATAACCAAATCTAGCGGTCAATCAATTCGTTACCACGGGCCTTTGGACATAGATCATCGACTTGGTTCATGGCTGAACGAGAACCGGCCATGAACATCTAGATCCAGACGGCGAATATATTCTCCGGGCGATCACGTTTACTGAGACTTAGCAGCGGCCTCGGCCTGAGCACGGAGGTTGGCCGAGGTCGAACCGTTGTTGAAGAAGCGGCCGAGAACAGGCTGGAGGAAGGAGTGGAAGACGATTTGGGCACCGCTACAACATGTTAGACCATCGCGATAGGTTCCTGAGATGTAGCAACTTACTTGGTCTGAGGAAGAGACATCCAGAGGACAAGGACGAACTTGAAGATATAGTAGAAGGCTAGATAACGGGTCAGTCGTGGCACTTTCGGTTTCAATATGTAGCAAACTTACGGAACCAGTAAGCAGCGCTGATGGCACTCTCAACAACAGTCAGGAGAGCGTAGACAACCCAGTACTGCAGGTCATATAATCAGTCGGGTTCTGCAACGGGAATGGGGTCACGTGAAAATGGGTGGGAGAAAAGCCGCCCGTGGTTCCCGACAAATACCATGGTGGGCTTCCCCGACAGCGACGGATAAATAATCCATTCACTATCAATCGCTTTGTAAAATTCGTGCATAGATAAATTAAGTGTATAAAATCACATACCGTCAACCACTATGTCGCAAAAAAACCATGTCAGCCGACTTGATCGCCGCACAGAATGATAAGAAAACTTACCTGAGTGTCATCCCGAGTACCAGGCGTGAACAGGGCGTTAATAGAGTAGTAACCGGGGATAAGGAAACCCGCGAAGTTGACGAGGAACTCGCCAGCGATGTTAAAAAAGACGAGGAAGAAGTAGACGCCGACAAGACCCAGGATCGCATACACCTTGGGGACATTGGTCTGGCGCTCCAGGTTGTTAAGGATGGGGTACTTGGAGAGCTGCGATCGTAGTTTTAATTAACATCATCTATCTAAATGTCTCCCTAGTGTCTGCGTAGTGGCAGGCCATCGAAGACGCTCTCAAAAACGAGCACACAAATCTTACCTCCTTGTCGAGCTGAGCAACCATGTGCTGGGCACGGTCCTGGAAAGTGGCCATTGTGGAAGAATAGGATGGTACCTAGCAGAAAGCAATAGAGTGCGTTGAATTTAAAAGTAAACAGGTGGATAATGAATCGAGAGCGATAGAAAAGTTGGTGAGGAAGAGAGAGGTCGGTAGCTGAAAGCTGGCGTTAGAGATGACGGTGCGGTTTGTCACGTGATGAGTTATGACGTCGGAAGGCGGGCGTATTGCCCTCTTTTTGAATCTGCCTTGTATGAGACCAGACCAGGCATAAGGCTACGGAGTACTACTACTTTCCCCTATTTCACAGAATCCCGAACTCCAATCGACCGCCCGCTGGGTCAGACCTGGCCTCGGCGGGTATACCGCTCTCTGCTCAATGCTTCGAGTTCGTTCGTGTCCGGTACTAAACCAATCAAAACACTGAGTCCAGATGCAACCGTGCTTCCGCATGTACGGGTAAATGTCTCCCAAGGCCTGGCTTACTCCGTGCACCATATAGCGTAGAAATTGCGCACACCGAACTATCACTCAGGAGGGCAGGGTAAAGAGAGGAGATAGTGATGTATCTGCTCGGCCAGTCATATTGCCGATTGGTGAGCGCCGAATATGCAGCCGTCCATGTGCACAAGTACCAAAAGTACGGACATCTTGGTAAAAGACCAATCCGATGTTCCGTTTGTGGTTGTGTCGGCAATTATCTGTATCACCTTTGGTGTGCAACTGAGCGTACAGGTACGGCGTAGCTGGGTGCACTTGTACAAGAACATACCCCTCACAGATTAGTGGGTGATTGATCACTTGTCTACTTTCTAATTGCATTAAAGGCAGTGTGCGCTGTCTTCTGTGCTCGAGCTGGTCTGCCCTTTCCCAGCTGTTTTAAAGGGGCTCTAGAGTAATTTAAATCTGCCTTACATCATCCTTTTGGCTGTGCCGTATTTCGTACGACTGCATCACCACTGGCCATCGCTATATATATCGATGGAACACGCGGATACACGAAAGAGTCAGGGCATCATGAAGAATGGGAACATGAAATACAGGATATCCATCAGTACTTCGCCTCCAATTTACTCAGTCAAAAGAATACATAATCTTATATTCAACTAACGCCTGAAAAATGGTGAACAAGACTACCACTGACTTGTATTTTATATTCGAACAATAAACACAAAACCAGAAAACTAAACCATCCAAGGCAAGATGGCCGAGCGGTCCAAGGCGTCAGGTTAAGGTTACCTTAACAGACAACTTCTTCTGAAGTTTCCTGATCTCCGACAGGGGGCGTGGGTTCGAATCCCACTCTTGTCAAAATTTTTTCCCCTTCCCTTTGTTTTTATGCTCCGAGATAGACCAACCCAATCAGAGAAGTGGAACCATGGTTCATATTGGAATCATGGAAAGGGGGACAGTTCCCGTATGAGCATGCAAAACATTCCGTACAGACCAGAGGTATACAGCGAGGCCGGAGTTCCTATTATCTACCATGAAAAAATAGATCAAATCACAATCAATTGATTCTTAATTAACAGTCACCAAAAGACCAAGTCGTAGGTCAAGTTCGGATCAAACTAACAATATCCTCTTAGATAAGATAGTGAAGAGGTAGATCTCAAAAAGACAAATCAGAAGTGAGAAGTGAAAATACACTCGCGGTCAGACTATTTTTATACCCTTTATTTCTTTCCATAGAAAAGAAAGAACTCGCTCGTTGATAAACAGAGCATTGCGCCATCAACCATCATTTCCATCACCAATTGAAACCACTGGAACGCCTTCCGGATGAGATACACGTAAAAATAAGACAAAAAAAAAAATTGTAAAAGGTGACTAAAGATACATATAAAGAAAGAGACGAGAAGGAAGATAAACCGATCTTACTCTTCGCCAAATTCAGCGGCCCCGTTGGCACCAACATTGTTGAAGGTAAGCTTCAACTTCGGTTGCCCAGGAGTAGCAGCGGCGAATGGCCCATCTGGAAGTTTGCCGGCGCCCTCAATGGCTCCCGGGCCGTCAAAGTTGGCGAATTGAGGGTAATTCTCGGTCTGCTTCTTCAGTTCAGAAGCACATTTGGTCTATTGCCTTGTCAGTACCATTCATATATAGAAGGGGGGGGAAGGGAACCTACTTCAATGTCATTAGCATCTTGGAACAAGAGACTGCCGTCCTCGTTGTAGGTCCGAGCATTCTGGCACATCAACCGGATATCGTCATAGAAAGCCTTGGAGCTCTGGTACTCCTCGCGGTTGATTTTCTTTCGAATCATCTCCATAGCAATCGGGTTCTGGATGATCATGTAGTAGTCAGGATATTGCGACTTCGGAGGTGGCTTCATGAACGGATCAATAACAGCGCGGGTAACAGGACCATCTTCGCTATCAGAGTCTTCGGCCGGTAACTCCTGCTCCATCTCCATCAGAGACTGGTAGACATTGTTGGTGATATCCTGCAACGCAGCTCGATCCGTGCTGCTCAACGTCTCCACAGGCTTCGCCTGCCGACCCCTCTTGCGCTTGGGCTGTGGCGTTTCTTCTATTTGTTCTTCCGCCTTACGCTTGGGCGCTGGTCCTCTGCGGCCACGCTTTTTCGGTTGAGGAGTTTCGGAGCCATCTCGAGATGGTTCTGGGGACGATTCCACGGGCTGTCCCTTACGCGTCCGCTTATCCTTGTTCGACCGGCGACGCTCAACTCTTGCCTCCTTACGAGCAATGGCATCTTCAATGCTATCGTCATCGGCATCCACAGCCATGAGCCATTGCTCTTCGGTAAGACCATCGTCGTACCGGGTAGACTTGCGCTCACGAGCGCCACGACCAGCCACTTCAGCTTCAACCTCTTCCGTGACGGGGTTGTCTTCGGCCATGTAGAGTTCGGGCAGTTCATCCTCGGCCATCAAACGAGGTATCTTACCGGGACCATAGACGTCGTTATCCGCCCGGTCTTTGTCAATAGCCTGGAAAGTGACCAGCTCTTCAGCGGAACGCGCCATAATGTCGTTTAAGTCATCGTCATCCATTTCATCGTGGTCGCCAATTTGATCCGCAGCTTCGGCAGTCTCCAGCAGGGTCCGCAGTAGAGCATCACGTTCCTCGTTGGTGGACTTATTATCGAATTTACCGGCCTGGATGACCTTGCCGTCCATGTCGAGCTTGAACTGCGCACGCTCCAGGATCTTTTCTTCAACAGAGTTGGAGCTGATCAACCGCAGGATACGGACCTCGTTCTTTTGACCGATACGATGCGCACGATCCTGAGCCTGCAAATCCTGGTGAGGGTTCCAGTCCGAATCGAAAATGACAACCGTATCAGCGGCCTGAAGGTTGAGACCCAGGCCACCAGCGCGCGTCGAAAGCAGGAAACAGAAGTACTCCGAATTGGGATCATTGAACAGCTTCAAGAGGTCGGAACGGTCGTCCGACTTGGTGGCACCATCGAGACGAAGGTACTTCAACCCCCGAAGCCGCAGGAAATCCTCCATAATGTTCATGATCTGTGTCATCTGGAAGAACATCAAGACACGATGGCCAGTCGCCCGGAATTTTGGAAGGATCCTGTCCAGAAGTTCGAATTTACCTGCGGTTCGCCAAAGAAGGTCGTTGGAGGTTCTCGCGGGATTCATTTGGTCCTCCACAGGCTCGAAAACGAAAGGATGATTGCAGAGCTTCCGCAACTGCATCAGCATGTTGCTGAGACCACGCATGCCAGTCTTTCCACCCTTTCCATCACTGACGACCATCTTATTGTGAGTTACAAGTTGTCTATACAGCTTGGCTTGCAATGCAGAGAAACGACACTTGATGACACGCTCCTGCTTCTCAGGCAAGTCCTTCTCAACATCCTTCTTGAGACGCCTGAGCAGGAACGGCCGCAGAACCTTGTGGAGACGACGAATAACGAGCAGCTGCTCTTCTTCACTCAACTCCATGCGATCTTGACTTCCGGTGTTGGCAAACGGTGTGTTGAACCACTCATCGAACGACTTAACCGACTTGAAAATGTTGGGCAAGACGAAGTTCAGCAGAGCCCAAAGTTCAGGAAGATTGTTCTGCAATGGAGTACCGGTCAAAATCAGACGGTATCGACAGCTGTAGTATGTCGAAAGAGTACTGCTCAATTTCGACTGTGTGTTCTTCATACGGTGACCTTCGTCGACAATCATGTGAGTCCACTTGATTTTGCTCAGAACTGGCCGGTCCTTAATAATGTACTCGTAGGTGGTCAGAAGAACCTGGAAGTTGCCATAGCGAATCTGCTGCTGTTGCTGTTTTCGTGCATTTGGAGGTCCCTTATACACGACCCTAGAAACAGCAGGTGCCCACTTTTCGAACTCCAAATTCCAGTTTGTCAGAGTACTGAGCGGGACAATGACCAAGAAGGGACCGTTGTTACGCTTCTTCTCAATGACATAGGTAATCAAACTTATGGTTTGAATGGTCTTTCCGAGACCCATTTCGTCAGCCAAGATACCGTTCAGGTTGTTGTTGTAAAGTGAAATCATCCACTGCAAACCACGCATCTGGTACTCCTTCAGGGTGCCACCGATGAGAATCTTAGGCTGATCAGTGACCTCTTCGCGGATACGGTGTGCCACAGCGTAGTAGTCAATCTTTTTCTTGTCGCCACCTTCGTCGTCATCCTCGCCGGTAATAATTTCTTCCTCTTCCTCTTCATAGAATTGTTGCTCATCCTCGCCATATCGTTCGGCTTGACTACGCTGTTGTTCACGGACCGAGTCGGCGAGCTGCTTTAGGAAGTTGTCCGTCTGCCTGAGCAGATGCGAAATACGCGAATCCTTAGCTTGTCCCAAGAGTTTCAAGTAAGTCTCTTCATCGTTAGCCTTCAAAGCCTGCAGACGCTGCTTGGCAGTCCGCTCCACACGCTTCTGCTCCTCGCGCTCCATGTGCTGGTGGTGTTGCAGCATCATGCGACCCAATTTATGCATGCGATTGCGTTGCTGTTGAGCAGCGTTTTGAAGTTCGATACCATGGTTGAGGATAGCCTGCAGATGGTCGTACTGCTTCTTCTTCTCCCTAGTTTCACGAGCATCGCGTTGCTGCTTCTCCAATTTCTCAGTGATCCTAGCTTCGCGCAGAGACTGTTTCTTCATACGGCGGTGGCTGGAGCGATTGGCGGTCATGCCTAAGTTGTCATAATGGAACATCTCGTTCTGGATCTGTTTGCGGAAGAGCCTTTGCTTGGGTAATAGGTTGAGCATCTTGTACTCAATCAATGCCTTCAGCTTCAGCGAATCGTCACCCGTCGGCGCGTCGCTACGACTCGTATCCCAGACACCGAGGTTGGCAGGGAGTTCTGCCAGTTCTGCTTTCCGCGCATTGATCTTGTTGTACAGCGCCGTTTCCCTGTCCTCGCGCACTTGCTCTAGATCCAGACCAGCAGGCAACAAAGCCGGAACGCGCGCACGGTTTGCGCGAGAAGCATGGTCTCCATAGGTGATAGACTTCGCTAATGAATCGTATGGCGACTGGAAACTGTCGTAGTATTCCCTTGCCGGCGGTGCAGGCTCCACACTTTCAGCGGATTGGCTTGTTTTGCCTTGCGCTACACCGTCAAGAACGGACTCGGCGGCCGAGACGTTATCGGCGGGTGCAGGTGTTTGCGGTTTCTTTGACGCGAATAATTGTTGTTGAACACGGGGAGGAATCGCGAGGTTCTTCGACAGCATCTTGAACGCCAAGATCTGGTTTCTGAGTGTTGCTAACTGTTCCGCGGAGAAGCTACCGCTGGTAGCAGGCGCATTCTGGGCAGATGAGGTCTGTCCAGAAGGCTGCGACTGTGCGCCTGTTGGTGTTGAGGCATCCTGAGATGCACCGGTAGAGGAAACGGAGCCATTTCGACCTACGTTACCACCGTCAGTCAGTTGCCAAGTCCCGATATCGTCTTTGTTATGCGACAAATAACACGGTTTGTAGAGGCCTCCTTACCGTGGCCGTTCGCAACTGCATCTGGAGTCGCACCATTCAGCTGTTGCTGACGTTGTTGCACTTGGAGCTGTTGCTGTTGTTGCGCGTACCGTTGTCTGTGGAATACCTGCTGTCGTTGAACGGCTGAGAGAAAGTTATGAGCCTTCAGGTATTCAGGATCGTCAGGGCGCACGCCTTGTTCTTGCATCTGCTTGAACTTCTAAAGTAGATGTTAGACAGATTCCATTGCAATGACTAGTGGCAGAAGGTGACGGGGACAGAATGGGAGAAATCTACATGGCATGGCTAGAGACAAGGGGCGGTAAAAAAAAAAAAAGAAAAAAACACGTTACCTTGATGGTTTCTTGGACAGTTGCCTGGGTCAAATTTGGTGGCAAACCCATATTCCCAGTCGCCATATTTGGCGTTGACTGGAGAGACGCCATGTTTTGATTATTTAACGCGTTTTTACGGTGTTCATAAGCGACGTAGACACGTTGGGATGGCAGACAAGGCTATACGTGAATGCGATGGAGCAACTGCTGTCAATAAGAAAACACGTGAAGGGCCCCAAAAAATAAAAAATTAAAAAAGGCCGCGAAAAGCAACAGAATCAAGGCCGCGCCTAGTGTTTAAAAAAAAGGCGCGTCAAAACTATTGACTTGGACGGAGGAAAAGGTTCCTTTGTGTGGATCACAACGTATATCAGATTCCTTGGCGATATGTGGAATGAGTGATGGTTGCGAAATGCACTCGGTCGGGGATGGGTTGAGAGACCGCGGGTAAGGAGAAAAGAGGGAATTGAGAGGGGAGGGAAAGCGCGATGGCGACTGGGGAGTAAGCCCAGTGGGGATTTGCCGGAAGCACAAGGCGCGTGGAAAGAGAGAGAGAGAGGGGGAAAAAATATATACGGGGGGAGGGGGGGATGGGGATGGAATGGAAATGGTAGAAAAAACGACGATGGATGGATGGATGGAGATGGAGGAGGGACGGACTGGGCTGTTCGCGACCTGTAACTGTTGCTGCTGCTGCTGGTGTCGTGGTGGTCGGGGACGCTGGGAACGGGACACCGGCAGAAGTTTCGGCAGCACGTGACTTCATGACTCAGCAACCTTGGCGGACATTCTACAGTGCTACAGTAGGAACAATGCTACTCGGATTCAAGACTCTTTCCAGAGACTAATACGACAAATAAAAATACATTGCCCATACTCCTCGCTCACTTCCGAATAATCCAGCCGAAACTCCTGAACATACAATAGACGCTGTGAATGCGATTATACAAAGTGAAATAAAACTTAGTACGCACCGCCTGCGAACACAGGTCGCTTCATCGGAGGCGGCGGCGGTGGAGGCTTCTTTGCACGCGATGGTGGCGGAGGTGGTGGTGCCTTCTTGAACGTTCCGGAGCCGTTCATAGAACTGCCTCCTTGGTAGAATCCATTGCCATACGAGGGCGTTGGAGAGGATCGTTCGCCGTAATATTCATCAGGGCTGGTGCCGGTGGAATAGTTCTCGGAACGATCAGTGTACGGATCGGAAGCGACTCTGTTGACGGGTCGGAGTTGAGAGATACGAGCACCCAAATTCTCGCTTGTTGTTCGAGATGAATATGAGTTGTTGTAGGCAGGTTCCTGCCGTAACTGCGTAGGTCCCTCAAAAGTCGACGTTCGGCTGATGGCTGGTCGCTGGATGTCAATGCCAGCCGTATAGGGGTCGCGCACTGGCGATTCTGAAAGTACAGGTTTGCTCGAACGGACGATGGGAGTAGGTTGCAGCATGTTCGTGTTCTCCTCGTGAAGAGGCTCGAAGCGCTCGTGATAAGAATGCGTCGTGTTGGAACGGGTGCGCCCAATGCGGCGGCCGTTGTTAGGAGTACGTGGAGAACCTTGACTACTGTAGTATGAAAGTTAGCAATTGTCCCGAAAATCCAGTACCCCGTTTCTACTCACCCGCCAGGCCAGTCATTCTTCAGCTGGAGAAGCGCCTCCGTGCATTGCTCATGGTACTTCAGCTGAGCATCCAAGAAGGCTGCCATATCGACAACACCTTCACCTTCGGTCTCTTTGACATCCTGCATCCGTCGGAGTACATCGTCGTTCGCCTCTTCGTACTTGACTTTCTGTGTCCGTAGTTCTTCTTCCACGCGGAAGTCCTCTTTCTTCGCCTTCTGCATCTTGGAGAGGGAAGTATCGTAGGCCAGTCGTCGGCTATCGAGCTTCTTGCGAGCATTCTGTCATCCGGTTAGATTGTGGTCCGTTGAGCAAATAGAGAATGAATAGTACCTGGTAGTCTTTCATTTGAGTCATGGATCTGTCAAGAGACTCCAACCATGTAGCGTTCGCCTGCGCGATGTAGCTTTCCTGCACACGTGCGATCCGTTCTTCGGTGCGTCCGAACACTAATTACAAGAACATTAGTCATGTCTCTTCGACTAGCATAAAGGACCACGGATACTCACTTGTAAGACAGCGACCATATTCAGAATACGCATCAAAATCCTCCCCATGGGTGACCATGTTAGTTCCCAGATGAGCAATTGGCAGTGTCTTTTCCTTGTCGTCGCCTTCGCTGCGCTTCGAAATGGACTTGAGGTAGCAAGCCAGAGCTTTGTGGATGCGATCGAGACCTTGGACTCGTTAGCCATTATCGAGAGCTACCAATGGCATGGTTACTCACCCTCGTGCCTGACGTTCATCTCTGTCTCCATCGCTTTGAAGTCATCCGTCAAATTGGTTCTGACTTCATTGCCCATTCTCTCCCCCGCCCATTGCTTGAAGCGATCGAACTTTCGGTTCATTGTGGTGGTTGTGGTTGTATGGATGAATCTAGTAGAGTGGTGTGGTAGAGTACGATAAAAATTGAAGACTGTCGCGTGAGATGTTGCCAAAGAGCGTGTGTAGAGAATAAGAGAGTGTAAGTGTAAGTAAAAGCGAAACGAAAGACCAATACCCCACGGGAGCAGAAAAAGAGGAGGAGGAAACGGGATTTAATGGAAGGACACGCCACCAGAGTTTAGCTAAGGATGAGAGGCAGTGCCTGCCCCTTTCGGCATCTCAAACTGGTGCTTCAGGAAGACCTGAAACTTGTTGCTTCTGATGGGCCCAGAACCGAGTCTGATTGTCCGGTGACACGCGTTGGTGGGGCAGCGGTGGAGGACACTACTCAGGGTAGGCTTGCCACGGGTGTTGCTATTCTGGGAATGTCAGTCTGCATACGGAGTACCTACACTGCTAGTACATACTACATACTACATACTACATACTATTGTACTGTTACTCTAAACTTTAGAAAAGCGTGACAATGTATAGTTACAGGTGTCCTGGCTTTTCTTTCTTCTTTTCCTTTCTTTTCTTTTCTTTTTTTTTTTTTTTTTTTTTGACTGGTAGCATGCAATGTTACATTATTAGAAAAATGTAAAAAAGAGTACGCCATCAGAGGTGCACCCTGCAGATCTTCAACAGTGCGTTATTCCATACAAGGCAAGTGTCCAGTGAGCATGAAGTCATTGCGATTATCATTAACAAAGGTGTGAAAAATTTTTGGTAACGATCTTTCCTATCCCATTGCGTTTTTACTGAGACATTCAGAGGTCGAACCAAGGTACAACTGACTCTTGTGTGGAATAATATGTATGTAGATTGACACTACAGGACATTGAAAATAGTATTATCAATCTATTCCGGCCATTGGCCTCTGGCCTCTCAAAGACAAACTTAAGAGAGTATTCAGAAATAGTATTACCCCGTACTACGAGCCAAGCTGGTCAATGCATGCCCCGTATGTACCTTGTCCTTAGCTTATCTGCGATACTCCGTACCTGACAGTCGATCACATCAGGAGATTAACCAGGACAATAACGGGAAGAGCGTTCCATGTTCCGTATGGAGTACCCCTGATACTGAGGCGATGCTAGATATCGGTAATCAGATCATGATTCGGTCATTTCACCCTCATACTACTAGCATCTTCGCCGGTAGATTCAGGATGCAGAAGCTTACTGTTCTACACACTCCATTCTACTTTTTTTTGAAAAAAAAAAAAAAAAAAAAAAAAAAAAAAAAAAAAAACAGGACCTATAATGACCGCTGCTTCAAGATAAAAGTGCCATAAGTCAAGGAGTTGCTTTTGTGCCATTTTGCCCCCAACAAGGGACTCAGAAACCATCGCAGACGATGTTGATATGCAACTTGTGATTATAAAAATCTACATCGATGACCTCGGATGCTAAGGAACACGGATGGACCGCAGAGCCGTAGCAAGCATGTGGTTCTAGAAGGCGCTGGTGCCAAACACCATCTCAAAGAGTGAGCTCTCAATACCATCATATGGCAAGTGAATTAGATGCGTCTTGTTGAATATACTCTGGAACATCTACTCAGCAATGGTCTCATTTCTTATAATGTTGATGAGGAGATTGCCGAACGAGCGCTGGCTGGGTCATGTTGATAAAATTGTAGTTCCTATGATCAAGGAGTTCAATGAAGTCCCTGAGATAGAAGGCTTACAGAGTCCTCGGTGGGAGGATGGATACCTTGATATATCCTTTTAGGATGTTTTTCAATAGCTGGTCACTGTTCTGACATACACTCAGCTTGTCGATCCGGACCGCTTTAACTTGAAAAAAGGTACAAACTGCTACTGTCAAGTTTCTTCGAGGTCCGGGGAAAACTCTGAAAAGAGCCATTTGAATCACTGCAGTGTCATGTAGATTCGAGTCATTGAGAAAGAAGTGATATACAACTCCCCTGCTACAACAAGAAGCGACAGTATGTACATATTCGTAGATTTCCACTCGGCAAAGAGATCTTCATTACGTATCAAGCCACGAAAAATAAAATCGAGCCCTGTTTCAGATTGAGTATCCCCTCCGTATAGAGCACAGATGATATCCCCTGTTCCTGGCAGATTTAGTTTTATGTTGCATATCCGTTAATCGGGATGCTTGATTCAATTCAGGATTACCCCTGGCTACGTACGCACGCATAAGGAATACGAGTATTCAACAGAGTATTGGCACTCTGTAAACACTGCAATACTTGACTAGTTGTTGTGACCGGGAGTCCTCTATATTCACACGGTTATGATACTGGACTATGCTAGTAACGATGCTGCTGCTTTACACACATCCCATTGACTGTCAGTGAATGACAGTTTTACAGATTGAAGGTATAGTCAGCCAGTAGGGGAGTTATATAGTAGGTATATTTCGTTCGGCGATATGCACAGGTATGAAGCGACTCGATGTCTTGTACTTCCACCTCAGGGGTTAAGAAAATCGAGCACATAGAATAAAGACATGAATAGGTCATTAAGAGGAATAGGTACAGCTGAACTCGTAACAATTCCCATTTTGAACACCATAATGCAGATTCTTTTGCTATGATACGCCCACACAATGCACAGACACTGGAAGAAAATTTTCTGACTTTTTTTCCCTTTCCCTTTTTTGGTCGTTAATTTAAGAAAGTTGGTGGCCACAACCTTAATTCGCTAAGGACGTGTATCCGCAGTCGCCTAAGTACATTTGTCTCATAGCAAAAGAAGAACATTTTCAACCCGTCACAAACAAAACTCCACCCATTAAAACCCTTACTCCTTGGTCTTCTGGGTACCACGGAGCAGACCGGTTCTCCGGGCAGCAATAAGACCGGCCTTTTGACCACGGGCAGCGTACCGGGACATGGTAGAGGCCTTACCGATGTGCTGGTGGTTACCACCACCGTGAGGCTATAGAAAATAATGTCAGAGATTCTGTTCTTGCAATTGTAGAGATAGAGAAAACATACGTGATCCACGGGGTTCATGGCAACACCACGAGTCTTGGGCCACGAGTTGCGCTTGACAGCGAACTTGTGCTTGGCGCGAGAAGCCTTGAGCAAAGGCTTGTCGGTACGGCCACCACCGGCAACGATACCAACCATACCACGAGAGGTGTTCTTGACAACCTTCTTGGCACCGGAGGGCAGCTTGATACGGGTCTTGCCGTCCTCAGGGTTCTGGCCGATGACGGTAACGTAGTTGCCGGAGGTACGGCCGAGAGCACCACGGTCACCAGACTTCTCCTCAACATTGGTGATGACGGTACCTTCGGGGACAGAGGCGAGAGGGAGGACGTTGCCGACGGTCAGAGTAGCGTTCTTTCCGGCATAGATGAACTGGCCAGTGTACATGCCCTCGTTGGCAATGAAGGTCTCGGTGACCTGCTTGAACTTGTAGGGGTGACGGAACTGGACCTTGGCGAGGGGAGCACCACGGCCGGCATCGTGGACGATCTCCTTCACGACACCACGAGTGTATCCATGACGCTCAGCGAAGTCGAGCGTACGGAACTGGGCGGGAGCCTTGTTGAGACGGGTGTGGGCCGCTGAACGCAGAGAAAAACGAGTCTCGTCAGCAATTCTATATCTCCATTGTTGTTTCCTGCCCGTCGTCTTTTCGAGTTCGAAAAACGATGTCTTTGGCTTCGTTCAGGGTATTTTTCTTTTTTGCGGTCGCACTCACTGAAAATGGATCCACGTCCCTTTCTCTGATTGCGGATCACACGACCCATGGCGACTTTTTATCTGAGGACCTAACGTTAGTATCACGAAGAAGTCCGCCTGATGACCGGGTGGTGGGAGTGTTCTTGAATGCTCGTACCTCAAAAATCGGAAAATGGGCTTGTCGGGTTGGTTGTTAGGAGAGAATTCGTAGAAGAGCGGACTGTGTGGGCTTTAGGGCGGAATCGCTAATCTAACCGAGTTGGCACTAGTGCCCTTCTGGGTTGCCCTTTACGGTAGACCAAATAAGCGTTATTCCACGTTTACTTTGTATTTTAGTATGGATAAGTGTTAGGAATCAATCAAGATCCAATTAACTATTATCAACAGTCTTTTATCTATCATAATATGTATATTTCCAGTGGAATTCTCTTTGATCCTTAAGTTGGCATGAGGATTCTGTCGACCCTAACTAGCTTCAGCTGACTAAGCCGGAAGTCTAACTAACTAACTAGTTAACTCGTTAACTATCTAACGCAACGCGGTTAACCTCGCGTTGGAGGCTTGTTATTTGGCCATGGTCCAACTCATATGCAAGCGCATGATGTCGCATCGACACAAGTAGCTTGAGTGATGGAAATCGCCATCAATTTGATGGATTCTGTCAGGCAAGCTATATCAACTAGTCCTCAAGCTCTGGTCTCCTGCAGATATTTGACTGAATATCAGATTGGCGCAAGGCATTTGTTCCGCATGATTGCGTGAAAAGAATTCTGCTAGAACAGTCCGATCAGAATGAGATATATACAGCTACATCTGTCGTCAAGCTACCTTGAGCATACGGTATCGATGTCAATAGTACCACCCAGGCATGGTGTCTACGGAGAGAGAGACCCGACGGAGAATACGCGATTGCGATTGTCTTGGAAACAAAAGCTGAAATAATTGAGACGGTGCCCCCAATTACCCGCCCCGGATTCGAGGAAAGCGCATGGGCAGGGCATGGAAGTCATGCCAGTGCTAGCATGGTCTCCTTAGATGCTTAGACTTGCTCCTCGTTTGACATATCAGCCTTAAGACTGCGGCTGCTTAGACCAATCCGTTTCCATTTCTATATACACTCGTTTCGACTTCTGCCCTTTTCCGACTCTTATTTTACAATATCATGCCAGCTGCCGGCCAAAATTGATCTGTACAATTTTATCAAGTACTTCTGCGTAGTTTGTCGTAATTCGGAGCTTATCGATGATGCCAGACGGACCAGGCGCGTAAAAGCCGCGCATCAACCGAATTGAACGGCGCGCCCACTTAACTTTCTCCCTGCTTACCATCTTTCCTTCCCCGGATCCAGACCACCGCTTGTGCAACATCACCCCCAAGTCGAGCATGTCGTCGCTTTCCGACTCAGAGCTGTCGTCGCTATCGTCAGCGCCTCCTACTGACGATGAAAATGCCCCCATGGCCGTCGATGAGCCTGTTGGCATCACCAAGTACTTCAAGAAGGAATCCGAAACTCCGCCGCCAAAACGGGAACCCTCACCACCGCACGAATATGTGCTCGAAGACAATTCAGATATTGCTGTAAGTTGTGAACGGAGAAATTGGTTTATTAGAGTGCCTACATGACGCGTTGTTTGCTTGATTTGACACGCTTCCTGACTTGTCGCAATCGTGTAGTTCATAGTGATGTTTCGCGCGCGTTTCCACGAAGTGTTTCCCCGATCGACGCCTCACTACGGCCCGCAAGATATTGAGCGAGGAGCAGTGGAAAAACCACCGGGAGATTATATTGAGAGGTTGCTATGTGCATTGTTGGGCTTGGTATTGAACAGAAAGAAGGATGTTGAGTATGGCCGCCACCCTGTGCCCAACCCACTCTACGAACGAGAACCGACGATATTCTCGATTTATTGAGAGACGAAATCAAGTTAAGTATATTGGGTACAGTCTAATCATTTCTACTTACGCAGGCGAAATCATTACCAGCGCCCTCTGGAGGAAGCAGTTCAAACACATGCGTCTCAATGGCCCAAGGCTTGGCAAGACAAGAACCCCCTTCACGGGGGACGCAACTTTGCGTCTATGGAACCAAATGAACGGGTAAATCAAAAGACTATCTGGGAATCATAGAAATATTCTGACCATTTCTGTTTCTAGTTGCTACTGATCAAATCGTTGATCCTCTGGGCCCTTTCCTCCTCCGAAGCCGTCCAAGCGAAGATCAAAGAATCCTATAAGCAAGCGCGCCATGATGATGATCTGAATCAGCCTCTATCCGTGCAACCCTGGGGTCGCGATGGTCTTAAGCGTCGATACTGGCTTATCGAAGGCATGGACGATACACACTTTAGGTTATATCGGGAAGGTAACCCTGCGTTGAAGAACGTCACTTGGTGGAGTGTTGCAGGGACCATTCCCGAGCTGCAGAGCTTTGCCGATAAGCTTGGAGAGGACAAGAGTACCCATTCGAAAAAGCTCAGTGAGAGAATTAAGAATTCCGTCCCTCGGTTCGAGGGCTCCGAAGAGGTAAGTTTGCATGCACTTCGCTTGTGGCATATCGTGAACTGTACTGATATGCACTAGAAACGTAAACGACGCGACTACAGAATTGCGCGCAAAGCTGCATTTTCTCGACCCGAACCAGGTTTCTCTCTCTACGAGGGTCGTACTCGTGGAAAGAAGCTCAAATACACATATTCTGACGATGAGGAAATCTTTTCTGATGATCAACCCACAACTCGAAAATCCATTCGGAACGCCTCCGGTACCACCACTCCTGCAGAAGCCGCTGGTCCTCGGTTTACAGCAAGCGGGAGGCAAGTTCGGACTCGTGCTGGGGGTCTGTATGGTGAAGCTCTGCTCGCTAATCAACGTGACGATGCAGCAGATGGGGAAGACACTGGCAGACCCCAAAGAACGCGGACTACTCGCACAAACGGATATGCTGGCTACGACATAGATATCGGCTCGGAAGGAGGACTGTCCAGCGAAAATGAGTGGCAGGGCGGTGACGACGAAGAAGATAATTACTTTGAAGGCGATGATGAGGAGGAAGCGAGTGGAGACGAGTCGATGACTAATGGCGAAATCCCAAGTCTCGTGGTTCAGCTCCGGTATGGGAAGGGCAGAGCCTCGAACGGCCCTGACGAGGATACAACTCAAGAGGCAGTAAACCACTCCAGTGAACAACAGCCTCCTATTTCTACTCAACGGGAATCCAGTGTGAATGGAAACGGATCTACAGATACGGCACAGGATGCTGATTCCCAGATGCAACTGGATGAAACACCAGTGGCAGCAGGACAGTCGTTTGAATCCCAAAAGGAACAACCTAACGGCTTCAACCAAGGTCCCCATGTCACATCCGTTAGCCAACCTGCCGCTGTTGGCACTGAGACAGGCTAGCAGGTAGCAACTTGGACTATTTCGAAGACTTCATACTATTGAAGGGAAACCTACGTACTAATAGTGTATTGTGTTCTTTGTTTCTGACTAGAGACCACTTACTGTCTTTTCGCTGGATATGTATGGGATAAAACAAGGAGTTTTCCACTGGCGTTTGTAACATTAGAAAACGGGAACATGTCAATCCGAAAACATCTTGAAATTATTGTAGCAATTCATTTGAAGGTGTCCAGTCAGCACTTCTCATTTCTCACTCTGTAGTTAAATCCAGATCAAGCATGTATAACGTGCGCATCAGTTCTATACATAACCACCCATGATAATGACTTATACGGGATCTGATATATCAACAACTTTGCAGTTGATGCAAATGAAACGAGTGTTAAATTCCAACGCCGTGAACCTATTAACTCCGATTATGCAAACCCATCAACCCGGGTGGGAGTATTAACAAAGACTTTCAATCAGAACCAGCGTTTGCGAATTGCGTCTTGTAGAACTGTAAGAACTCGGAGAGTGTCAGCCTTTCTAATTCACACTACAACCAACAATGAATTCGACATTAGACACCATACAATTCGGAGGCGTGGACGGATTAATACTGGGGCGCACTTACATCTTCAACTTGTCCCGCGAATCGGGCGTCCTTTGTAAATTTCAACGGAGGAAGCTTCCAGTTGTTGACCTCGTACCACCACCGGCGTATCCTGCTTCCCAGTGTTCTGCCGCTCAGCGAGGCGTTGCGGTTCCAGTATCGCCATCCGGAGAGGGCGAGGGTCCAGAGAGTGCCCTGGACTAGCGGGAGGATGACCTATACGGGTCACTATCAGTCACTCTTTCCCTATCTCCTTTCAAGAAGCGCAGACCAACCTGATCCCTAATCGTAATCCAAGCAACCCGTCCCCAAGTATCCGCATCCTTCAGACTAGCCAAGTAGCTCTGCTCGAACCGCAAATCCGGCAATGGAGGGAGATGCTTCTGCCGGACCATAGTTCTCACCATTCGACTGGGATCAACCACATCGGAAGGAATGCTGTCTGTATCGTCCGTGATTGCGGATTCAAGAACATGATGCTTCTCCGAGGCGGAGGTGGTTGGGTTGATGTCGTGGGCCGGGGAGGGATCGGGGATTACAGAGGCGGCTTGGACAGTCCCTGCAATTTCAGATGCTGGTTCGGCCATGATGGCAATATTTGTGAGACAATTGGCGTGTGGTAGTAGCTGTCGTTGCTTTTGTTGATGGTAGTGGTAGTTGTATATGGATCTATTCTCCTGGCGCAAAGCGGAGAAGCCAAAATTACAGGTCATGTAATATAGTGACAATACATACATACCCCTCCAGCCAAAGAGCCTCCCCACCTTTCCGTCTTATTCCTGATTCTCACTTCTCTCACTTTCTCCTTTCCTTTTCCTTCTCCTTCACGCACTCCAAACCCCTGTCTTATTCAATTACTTCTTGCTCTTATCCATTGATCAATCAAAATGGCCGGATATCCTTTGCTCTGCTTGGAGAACCCTCTCCTTGGTATGTTGACGCCTATAAATAACAAATAACAGGATGCTAACATTGAACTTCTACAGACATACAGGCTGTCGGGTATGCTCAATTCGCTGATTCCATATTGGACATCGACTAATGACAGTCCAGTGACGCCGATCTGCTACAGAAGTATGGACTTAAGGACAACGACGCCATCCTCGCCGAAGACAAGCACATGGGTCTCTACGATGAACTGATGAAGCTTGACGCTAAGCTCATTGCTGGTGGCGCTGCCCAGAACACCGCCCGTGGTGCACAGGTAAACTCTAGTTGCAAGAACAGGAAAAAGAATTGCCGTTTTCTGACATTGTCCAGTACATTCTCCCCGACAACTCGGTCGTCTACATTGGCTGCGTTGGAAAGGACAAGTATGCCGATCTCCTCAAGGACGCTTGCACAAAGGCTGGTGTCCACACTGAATACCGTGTCGATGATGTCCAGCCCACCGGCAAATGTGGTGTCATCATCACCGGCCACAACCGCAGCATGTGCACTCACCTTGCTGCCGCTAACGAGTACAAGCCCGAGCACTTGAAGCAGCCTCAGATCTGGTCTCTGGTCGAGAAAGCTCAAATCTACTACGTTGGTGGATACCACTTGACTGTCTCCGTTCCTGCTATCTTGGCTCTTGCTGAGGAGGCTGCTGCTAAGAACAAGGTATGTGTACACCTTAACTGGTTCTGGACACGGCCAATCTAATGCTGTGGCAGATCTTCATGCTCTCCCTCTCCGCTCCTTTCATCCCTCAATTCTTCAAGGACCAGCTCGACACCGTCCTGCCATACACTGACTACACCTTCTGCAACGAGACTGAGGCTCGTGCCTACTCCGAGAGCCACGGCTGGGGTACCGATGACATTGTCGAGATCACCAAGAAGCTTGCTCAGCTTCCTAAGAAGAACACTAGCCGTCCTCGTATCGCTATTGTTACCCAGGGTACCTTGCCCACTGTGACCGCCTCGGCTAAGCCTGACGGTCAGATCGAGGTTAAGGAGTTCGCTGTCCGCGAGATCTCCAAGGACGCCATTACCGACACCAACGGTGCTGGGTAAGTATCTGATCTACAGACAAGGGGCCTCATTAAACTAATATATTTTGCAGTGACGCTTTCGCCGGTGGTTTCGCCGCTGGTATTGTCGAGGGCAAGTCTCTCGAGGAGAGCGTTGACATGGGTCAATGGCTCGCCAGCCTCAGCATTCAGGAGCTGGGACCTTCGTAAGCCACCATCTCTTTCTGACAAATGATGAATTAATTGATAACTAACCTTGGCCTTCTCACGTCCAGGTTCCCTGCCACCAAGCTGACCTACTCTAAGCAATAAATAATTCAATAATCCCGCCGCAAAAAATAAAAAGTCTTCAACATTAGCCCCGTCAATCGGCCACGGGGCTTATAGCCTACTGCAGCTATGATTCTTTTTCTTCTCTGATTGTTTTCAACCTATACCCTATTTTGTCTTGACTTTAACGTCCTAGACCATGTTTCTCAGCATACGCAATTTGCATGTAACGGCTATCATGCGATATATGTGACGTTCTCAACAACGATTTATGAATAAAATTGGTTAATATCATATGGAGCATTTTTCTGCAATGAAAACAATAAACCGCATAGTTCATGTTTGAGCTAGCATACTTCGTAGATAAATGTTCGCTCTTCGCCGGATGGAGAAAATACATAGGATAACTGTTCATTCCTTCCCCTTGAATTCTATACTATCGTTCTCCTAAGCAAATTGGCATGCGGAGTAACAGTAGCTACAGCCAAATATCAGTCAGACCAGCGAGAGTCAGTAGACAGCATAGGATCCAACTGCCCACATTTCCTTTATTCCCATTATCACTCAGAAATACAAACGAAAGCATGGAGTTTCCGCGTTGCTGTCCATTCGCGTGTCTCACAATCAACTTCTCTGACTCTTTCCCATAGAAAGGGACAAACATGTAGTTAGTCGGGTTATGCGGCCAGCCCTAGAGACAAGAAAGTTGCATGCACGCATGTAGCAATGGGACTCCATCATTGCCGTACCCGTCTGGATAGGCAGAAAAGGTACAATCCATGACTCACTTCTTTTATTCAAAAGCAAGCAAAAATCGAGAAAAGCAATCAACCGCCCTGTCCACAAGGCGGCGTCTCACCAATAGCACCAAGCTGTGTTCCAGATCTGCGACTGTTCCCGAATCCAGGACTATACCCATGTACACCGGGGTATCCCATTGAAGAAGGCTGGAAGTGACTGTTGCTAGCAATGAAGGCATCATTGGGCCAGGAAGCGTTTGCTAGCACCCTCGCACTCGAGTTCGACATCAGGTTGCTGGGTGTGGGCGCGGGTGGACCGAACGGAGCTGGCGCAGGGGAGGAGGTAAGATTGTCCCAGCCAGCGCCTAGTCCCGAGGAGCGGTTGTGCATGGGCATGCTGTTTGGTGAAGATGGAGTCCATGGAGAGGACAGGGCAGCGGATCCGTTGAGGTTATTCGGATATTGGTTTTGGCGCAGTAACTGCTGCTGTTGTTGGTAGAATATGAGATCGTGGGCGACCGACGACGGCGAGCTTTGGGATGGACGGAAACCGGGGGTGGCCATATTCATGCTTGCTTGATACATCGAAGTTGGCTGTTGTTCCAAGCCCGGGGGTGGCCTGGGGGTTCCCAAGGACGAAGGCTCTCCGGATGGAGAAAGACCGGTATTCCAAATGCTGGGCAAGATCGAGGGCAGAGGCGTAAACGACTGCGGCGACGCTAGAGCGGCAGGATGGGCCATGGGTGGGCCCAGTCCCGGAGGTGCCATTGACGTGCTGCGGGGAATCATGTTCTCTTTCCGGAATACAGAAGAGCCACGATCAGACTCGAATGGGTTGCCAGAGGGAGTCGGCTGTTGGCTGTTGCTAAGGAAGCCCTGTTGCTCGGGCACATTAGGTGCATTCTCGTAGGTGTCTGACTCGACCAGTTTTTCTACGTCTTCGACAATGCGGTGCATCTCGGACATAGAAGCTGAGGCGGACTGAGAGCCACCATAGACACTTCTGGAATCGGCAATGTTGTTTGAATCCTGCACTGCTCGTTGGATATCGTCCCGTCCGATGCTCGTAGATGAAAGCGTGTGGTGATGGCCAGATGGGCTGGCAAAGAATTGGGACGGAAGTCCTTCTTCCTTGTAGATGAAGCTCTTCTTGTCGTTGTCATCCACAAGTGCTATCGGAATTTTCTAGATGTTGTTAGCATACCTTGACTCAACAAAGCATAGGCAAAGGTCATACATTTCCCACGACAAGATCAAGACCGTCAATAACGAATTCACGAATTCGATAAAGCATTTCAATATTCGGATGGCTTCTCTCCACGCCTTCATCGTGCATTCGGGGCTTGCGCTTCTCATTTGCATCCAAGTATCTACGGCACGTAGCTTTTTGGTCCAGCGGCGCGAAACCGAGCGTTTCTTCGTCTTCCTCCAAGAGATAATCAATGTCCGGAAGATTAACCACTTCAAATGTCGACGCAAGAAGTGTCAGAGTATTGGCGTAAATTTTCCAAAATTCGGCAATCTGGACAGACATTGGCGTATCTTTCTCCTCCTTGTACGCCACCAGCAGAGAACTGACGGTAAGGAGCCAGGAACTGTAGTTGCGAAGAGCGGGTAGGACGCGACGCGCAACAACGGTGACTTTTTCAGGTCTGGGCTTTCCGTCTTTTTCCTGGTCTTCAACCGCGAACCGTTCCAGTTCAGCCAAAAGAATTTGGAGCAAAGTGAAAAAAGTTTTCACATTGATCCGCTGGAAGAAGAGACGTGCACTGGATAAGGGCTCTTCTGGATTTAAAAATCAGTAAGATGTCTTATTTTAATATGGTAATGTCGAAACCTACCATCAGAACGTTTTCTGGCAAATGCCTCCGCAGCAATGTTGACCAGGCAGAATTTCTGGAGAGTGCCTTCAAGAGAACGCTCCTTAAGGTCAACAGCAAGCTGGCTGAGAACCTCGCTTTCCAACTCATCGTGTTCGGGAAAGTCAACACCCTTGTAGCACTGCGCGTGAAAATAAACAAACCAAGGAGCTAATGCCCTGCCTGGAATACCGGCATCCTCAGGACGAATTAGTTCTCTTTTGGTCCACGCACTCATAACCTTTCTAAACTCGATCTCCAAGTTGCCCCTAGCAGATGGATGGGGGTCATGGGCGGACAATGCCCTGTAGAGATGGTAAGTGGCCCTGAGGTGGCTCCCATCGGCGAGCGCAATGACAGCCAATTGGTTATGCGATGCGCCAGAGGCCGGATAGATCACCATGGCCAGATCATAGTATCCGATAGCAGGGCCCCAATTGCGGTCTTTGGTAACAAGCTCGGTTTCACGGTAGCGTGAGAGATCACCGAGGCGAATGAGAGTTGCATGGCATGATTGAAGTATACGAGTTTGAAGGCCTTCTTCCGCTATCTGGACTGCGGACTGCGCCAACAGGTCTGATATGATCTTAACAAAGACTTCTTTGAGAAAACAAATTGGAAAGGCTATGCTTGCTCACTTTCATGGTTAAATTTCTGCGTGACTTTCTCCAGTTCGGGGATGCCCCCGAAATGCGACGACAGTTGCTGGATATACCCTCGATAGAATCGCTGGCTGGATTTTATGAATTCCAGATAATGTTTCTCAAGTTTCCGTTTCTCGACCGGTTTCTTTTTCTTCCCATTCTCTTCGCGATACTATCATATATTGACGGATGATTAGAAAAGAGCATGCAATGCCAACCTTTCCGGACCATATGTATTGAACTCACGCGGGAGAGCAGTTTACGGAAACGACTGTTTATTTTGAGATGCGCATCCCATAAGCGACCTTCTACATCGATGGAACGGGCGGATTCGAAGTCTTGTAGTATGGCGTTCTGACAAGCCGCGCGGAGTCTGTAAGGAGTTGAACGAGAGTCAGATCAATCATGGCGAGCGAACCATAGCACTGTGGTGAATACTGACATCGAAAGGTAGTGGGAGATCCCAGCAAACGTAGGCTCCTTCTCAGTGAGACTCTTAAAGAGCTCCCTCTCGGCTTCGAGCGCAGTCCTAGATGACACACAATTCAGCCTAAGTTAGGATAAAGGGAGATATTGTAACCACTGACTGCCACGTATTCTGGAATTCGGACGCCATGCTCAAAGATCAAGACGAAATAAGTCCCAAGACCCGACTCACTCCACCGTTTACCTCGCCCGTCAGATGGCTATGGCTGGCTGGAAGTCTGCGGGCGATAATAGCAGTAAACGATCCATCAGTATATCCTATCAGTGCTGAGCGCGCGGGCGACGACCAAGGATTGTCAGGAGTGAAAAGTAGACGAGCCCTAGAGAGAAACAAAGAAAGAACGACAAGTGAAGACAACGAGGGTGAAGAGGCCGCTCGTTGGAGAGAAAATCCTCATTCCTTCACGTCCGCTTCGGGAACTTTTTGACGCCGTCCGAAAAAGGTCTAAGAGGGATGCCCTTGTGGCTGAGCAGGCGGTGATTGGATGTTTACTGTGGCTGGTGCAGGAGAGGGTCCGGTAATCTGTTTACCATACAGTACGATCTGACGTATAGATAAATTACAGCTGGAGATAGTTACAACTATCGTTGTTTATATTCCAGTCAATAGGAAAAGCAGAGAGATTACGAAAGAAGACGACTACCCTTGACATATACTAACACAAACCAGACTCATAACATCACAGCAAGTCTCCATACGGTAAGTGTACAACCTGCAGTACCAACTCAAGGTCTCAAACTGACCTATCATGTACAGTACCTGCCCAAGGTCCAATCCAGCGTACATCACCACCTAGAAATTCTACCTAATAAGAAAAAGTAAGCAGGGACAGCTCAAATCATGTCCAAGCGCTCCCGAAGTCTTTCAACCTCCCCTCCAATCGACCCGTCTCCGCTCGAGACCCGGGCAAGATCCTCTTCTCCAGCATCATCAACACCTCAAGGACGCCCAAAACAGCTTCATCTCCAGGGTACAACCAACTCCGCAGTCGAGGTGATGCGCTGTTCCTTGCCGCCGCATAGGGAGACACTCTCGTTCGCCTCGTATGTGGATTATGAGGTCCATTATCGACAAGCACATGTGAATCGGTGCGTTGAATGTGGGAAGAATTTCCCGACGGATTTGTTTTTGAATTTGCATATTGAAGAGAATCATGATTCTCTGATGATTGCGAGGAGAGAGAGGGGGGAGAAGACTGTGAGTACTCATTCCTATCGCTTTCGCATCTTGGTTTATCTGCTATGTGCAGCTGGCTGATTGATTCGAACAGTATGGCTGCTTCATTGAGGGTTGTGACCGGAAATGCTCAACTCCTCAGAAGCGTAGAATGCATTTGATAGACAAGCACATGTTTCCAAAGGTAAGACATAAAGTTCCCTTGGGAGATCATATATAGGTCCTTGGGCATCACAGGGGTTAACACTCCCAGGCATATAATTTCTACATAGTCAACGACGGAATCGACAAACAAACATCCCTGCTGCGACCGATGAACTCTAGCAACAGACGTCGATTTTCAAACGCTCCTACGTCACCAAAGGAAGGACGTCTAAGAAACCGTCAGACTTCCATATCGCAGCCAGGGAATCAACTATCTCCAATTTCATTGACTGGAGCAGTATCTCAAACACAGGCCGAGAGAGATCCCTATGATATGGACATCGCAGACCTTGAGAAGTCTATGTCTGCTTTGCGATTTGTGCCTACGAGTGTCACGAGGAATCAGAGGAAACCTGGAAGTCGGCCCTGATATATAGACGAGAATGAGAATGCTTGATGAAGTAATAAAAATTTAAATTTTTTAAATAAACCCATAAATATTGATGGTAGAGAAGTAAAAGTGGCTTTGAAAGGCCCTATAAACTCCATAACCCCCCCGAGAATAACAGTTCCAAGTCCACCAGTGGAAAGTGCAGTACAATGCTTTTACATAAAAGACAAGCAAGAGATAATAGATATGGGTATACAATAGCAAACCACATCAGATCCCAAAAGACCTATAATGCAGCTGGAGGCACCAATCATGGCTGCGCCTCCAAGAGATCAGCGTAAGCATCCAAGCTCAACCCAACCAGATCAACAATAGCCCAACTGGTATTCCCCTTGAAAGTCCGCGCCCAGACACGAACAATAGCAACACTAAGTTGTCTCGCTTTATATGGGTTAGCCAGGAAATCCACGTCTGGTGCTCCCGGCGGATCAACAGCCATGTCGGTTTCGTCCATCATACTCTTAATCCATAAGAGTAATTTCCGTTCATGGTCTGTTAACCGTTGTTCTGCTTGTGTGGTTGGGATGGAGAGCAACCAGCGGCTTAGGAGAAAGGCGCATTCAAGGCTGCAAAGGGAGTGCTGGATGCTCCAGAAGAATGAGTGCGTTCGTGCGACGAAATCGATTCCCAGACGTACTGGGATCGAAAGCGCATGCGCAGAGTGTAACAGTGCCATTATGAGACGGGGACTTCGTGCTATAGGTGGGGAATCATTCAACGCTCGTGCGATCTGGACCGGGTCCTGTGTGATCAGCCGACGACAAGGTCCCATGTCGACATGTAACCTAATATAAGCCAAGCCAAGGAGAGCCGTAGATGTGAAAGCAATCGGGCCGGCTGGGTTTTGTGGGTCGATACTGGACTCCGGGGTTCGCTTCCATAACGCCTTCCAAGAGCTGAGAGAATGATCCAGAATGTTCAGATCTTCCTGTCTCAGACTAGTACCATGCATAACCGGCGCCGAGAGGCAAAGCTGACGAGCAAAGAATATCTGCTGAATAAGTGCATGTATGAGAATGTAGTTTCCTAGAGGAGAAATCGGCGCGGAAGAACTCGGTATGCCCGATTTGAGAAACAGTTTAGCAAAAGCTTCCTGGAAGGAAATCTCTGTTCCACTTCTGGCGCGATGAGCCCGACGCCACTGGACTGCGTTATTTGCTTTCCACACGTCAGGGGAACACGGCATGTTCAAGTGTAACTCCGCATTCAAGAGCAAAGGAGGGATATTGTACATAATGGAATGAAGGTTGAAGAAGCAGTATACAATAAGCTTTGTGCGCCTGTTGCCTTCTCCCCGTATCCATTCTTCCCAGCTGCTTGGGTCAGGACTAGGAGTTGGCTCGGACAGGCCGTGCTCCCTGACGAGTCTCGCAAGAGTGCTCTGTAACGAGAGTATCTCTCGCAGTAGTTCGGGCTGTCTTTCCCAGGAAGCAAACACAGTGAGTAGCAGGAAAGTGCGAATAACTTCCATATGAGCGTCTGAGTCATCGGGAATATATTGTGCATAGTCCATTGGATGCCCCGCCATGTGCTGATTATGCTGGAATGGGCTACCCGCATGATTGGAGATGATCGACGAATCTCGGGAGTTATAGAAACCACCGGAATTGGGAGAGTAAAAGTTCCATGTTGGACACGCCACCTGCTTGCTATCCCGTCTCCGAAGCCGTTCCAACAAAATGGCTTTTGCCGCGTGGAAGAGTTCGATGCCCCGGCTGTTTTCGAATCGATAATGTGACCCCGCGGCGGCCAATGCGAGCGTAAGTTCTGGGGAGCACTTCGCGACGGATAATGTCGGGACATGAATGAACGGAAGATGCTCGTTCAGACCATTAATATAACCGGCAAAGAAGCGAGAGAGGGCATGCCTTGTAGGTTGAACAAAGCCTTTGGGAAGGACATGTGCGAATTCTTCCAACTTCGAAATGAAGACTAGTCGATCCGAATTCGATATGTCCCATGCGGGCCGTGGGCTTTCATCGGTGAACCCGAGTCGATCATCCACTTCGTGAGGTTCTGGTTGCAAAGAGGGTAGTCGAGACCCAAAATTTGAGAAGGATGGAGCGTCATCCGGCGCGGTTCTCGGGTCGCTCATCAGATCCGGCCCGAGTCTCGCTGGTGCCGCTTCGCGAATTGGTGTTTTAGTATCCATGGGAACACTGGTCGGTAACATGGGATCTTCGACAGAGGAAAACACCCCGGAATCCCAGTCAGAGGAAAGACCAACACTTTCCAAGAAGACAGTGAAGTCTTGAACCGGATCTCCTAGATCCGTTAAGTCAAGGATTGATGGCTCCACACCATAGTTGTCTGTGATCGCCCGATCTGGGGCCGGGGGAAGTGGTTGAGGAGCACTCTGCGTGTGCGGTGGCTTTCGTAACGACTCGAGTTCTTGCTGACCTTCCAGTGCAACATGGCTAGCGGCATGGGACAGAAGATTCAAGTCATACCCCCACGACGGGTTGAAATGCGTTGTGTCCACGATGGGCTGGTGTTGGACATGCACCTCTGGCTCCGGCTGTTGTGGGATTGGCTGCGGTTGGACCGGCACTGCATCCGCCAGCTCCAGCATCCGCGAATCCTGAGGGGCAGGGGCGGGAGGAGGAATCAGAGAAGTTGGTGTCGGGGGCACATCATGATGGTGGTGACTATTGTTGTTATTGGTGGCGTTATTGCCGTTACTATTATTATTATTGTGGCTCCGCTGTTCTCGGCTTGCAGCAGCTTCTGACGGATGGACTAAACGTTCATGGCGCACAAGCAAATCACTACACAGAGTTTTTTTTTTTTCCCCGAATTAGCATGGCACCGTATGTGTGAGGTGGCTGACTGATTATTCCCCTTACCTTCTAGCAAATGATTTCGAGCAAAGGTCACATGAAAATGGTTTCTCTTTCGTATCTGTAATGTTAATATTCGGTTAGCTTTGTATCTTTTTAGCCCTATCCAGGGTCCATCGGGGTTCAGTGTCACTCAACGGGTGCGGAGATGGCGTTGGAGATGCTCGAGACGCGCGAACGGCCGGCTGCAATACTCGCAAGTAAGGGACTTGCGGTTGGCAGGAGCAGTTTTCTTCTTCGCTTTGCCGGGGTTAATTTTCTCTTCGTCCATCGCGAATTGCGTAGGAATTTGGAGTCTGTCCTCAACTTAGAAGAGCAGCCGAGCGGGGAAGAAAACCTGTGGGGGGTTGGCATGAGGGGGGAAGCACGTGATCTGCTGCTTCCGGCAAATGGCAGCAGAGCATTACTACGACGCTTACAGGGGAGATACATGATACTAGAGGATTTCTCTGGTAGATCGATGCTCGATAGGTGTTGTTAAGGTAGGAATAAAATACCCTTTTGGGCTTACTTCCAGGATCCGGTGTCATTTATATATAGCTCTCTGTATCTGGAGCCAGCATCTTAAATGGCGGTATGGATACATCGACATGCTCTCCAACACCCCACTGGTGCGGAGACTGCACGTCTGTATCTATGCTTGCATACCCGATTTTCTCTTCTGTCAAGACAAGCATCGCGGTCTCCTCACCGTCCAAAGCTTTGGGTTAAGCTTATGTCAATCGGTATATTCTCGGTACGGGATGCTTTGACACTCTAAGTCTCAGTTAGTGGCAAATAGCGCAGGCACATGAGTCCATACTTTAAGATGGTTCACAAATCCCCAGCTCTACTCTAGAGTAGATAACATGGTGAGTCCTACCAGCGTACTTTCTGGTGCTAATGGGTTATATTATCAATTAACTAAATAAAAATATAGCTTCCACCAATCAGACACTATGGCCGAGTGGTCTAAGGCGGTAGATTAGAAATCTACTCTCTTCGGAGGCGTCGGTTCGAGTCCGACTGGTGTCGTTTTTTTGCTCTTTTGCATGTCCGATATCTCTTGAGGACCTCCACTGAGATCATCAGTCTGACATAAATGGCGAGTATGGAATCCCGGGACACTGATCTCATCGATGTTTTGGAAGGGCCGTGTGCAGCGTATGGTGTCCACTCAACTAGCTCTCAACCATAGCGAAAGCAATTTGCCAGCCTTCGCAGTATTTGGCATCGGCGTTGGAAGTGAGCTAGGACTGTATTTGTACTCCAACCTTGCCTCGACATCAAACAGAGGACTATCATTCTCGATACAGTCAAACATGTCGGACTGTTCAAGCGGATTCGAGTGCATCTATGAATAACGTTCGCATTCCCATTATACAATGCCTACGGACTTCATTCATTCGTTCAGACACAACGCTTCCCACTACTGCTCATGGACTCCCCTCCTATGAATATGACCGTAATCGAAGCCTAACAACTCACGAGAGACTCTCAATGCCATTCTACGGGGCCAAAAATCAAAAAGCAAAAAAAGAAAACGACACCAGTCGGACTCGAACCGACGCCTCCGAAGAGAGTAGATTTCTAATCTACCGCCTTAGACCACTCGGCCATAGTGTCTAACTGAAATATTTGAGTTTAGTTTTTGGTTATATAAACAACTTTATTGGCGATGAAATCGGGGATCATCCGAGAAACCATCTGGTAGCGACTATATGCTTTTCAGTAACATGTGGAGAAGTAAATGATCTAAGAGTTGATGGCTCAGGGAATTCGGGTAAAAAGGTATTTGGTGTTCATTAAGCACCAGGCAGTGCATACATGGATAGTTTATTGTTGAGCAAATATTCGCGAGAATAGAGTTCTCCAGATACAAGTTATGTCCAATATATATTTGAAGGGACGCTGGAGAAATCATCAGTCAATGGATATAAAGGCGAAAAATTAAAGCGCCGCAAATGTCTGTCGTTACAGAAATGCATGTCATAATAGTCATATAATCGTTTGTCCCAAAGCTATGGTTCGACATCATCATGTTACAGACCTAGCCACATCAGTTTCACGTGACTATGCGGGGAGGTAAGGCAGAATCATTGGGTTACAAGGAATAATGGAAATACAGAAGGAACAGGGATTCCAGCTGATAACCCAAAGACAAGTCACGTGATTCCCTACCATTTATCTACCATAAATGGTATACGGAATGGTATACGCTACCATCTATCTACCCTAGATGGTATACAGAATGGTAGGAGAACGGAAGATATATAAGGACACTCATTTATGTACTCAGTTTAGTTCTTCGCAATCAATCTAGTTAATCAAGCATTGGTTACCTTCTAGTTTCTGACTCGTCCGCACTTAACCAACAACCCAGCATACGTGCTCGGTTGGCCTTGTTTCTCTATTCGTTACCTTTATCGATTCTACCTGTTGACTACCTTACGGAGCCTGGAGGGGGCGAGATACCTTCGACGTGATATACAGAGGACCTGGATGGTCATTGAACCTACGATTACTTGGAAGACACTTAGGGTAAGTGTCCTGTCTCGAAATACAACTAACTAGAACCCTAGGTACGATACAAGGGAAGCCAGGTTGTGACACATCATTTGCCCTAAGTGTGACAGTCTCGAACAATAGAAATTCATTGTTAGACTCTCTGCCGAAATACTAACATGGAAAAGGAAAGAAAGAAGCTGGGCCTGCCAGCGTTGCGCTATCTAGTGTGCGAAGGGGGTTCCTGCCCTATACTCAAACAGGCCAAAGTATACAAACATCTTGCGTTGTTGGTGAATGTCCGTACTCCGTGACACTAAGTATCCAGCTGCATGCTGTCGAGTATCAGGGATACAGAAATTTAAATACACCCCAAACCAAAGCATCAGGCAAGCATGATTGACTAGTCTGCTTATGCACAACCATCTCACGATTCTAGATGCATGGCTAGCATGATTGTCGGAAGTATATCCAAATGCATAAATTCGGCAACGAACAGTAATTACATGATTTTCGTCAAAAACAGACCCTGATACCAGTCATATATACAGGGGTACCCTGGAAAGACGCTTGTGCGCTGGCGCCCCTGAACAACACAGGAAACCTCTGACTGACATCATCAAAAGCCACACATGAAGGTCAACATAGGCCCCTGATCATTCAAAATAGTCTTCTTCTTGATTGGCAAGTGAAATCCATGGGATGTATAGTAGTGGCGCCCCAGGCCTACCAATGTTAGTGCATAACATAGTTAAACGCAGGTCCTGGTCATAACCGTGGGCGCGTTAGCTAGCCAAACAGAGTTGCACTGTCATTGAATGGTGAGGATCTGGAACGTGAAGTGAAACCCCGGCTCTGAATAAAATGTTAATGTCACCGGCGCAAAAAGCTAAGGGCGACGCTGTTGACATACTAGCACCCGGGGAGTTATGTTTGGATTCCAAGCCACTCTGAAGTATGGAAATAGTCTGCGTATCCCCGTACTACGGATATTTAAAAAAAAGAGAATACGGGGCTCCAAAGCAAAAAAATATCGACACCAGTCGGACTCGAACCGACGCCTCCGAAGAGAGTAGATTTCTAATCTACCGCCTTAGACCACTCGGCCATAGTGTCAATTGATGGTTTATTTTGCATTTTCCAGATTATTAACCAATTTCCCACGATGCAGCATACTGGTAGGTTTCCCTCTGCACGATCAGTAGTCACTTATTCTAGTATGGGGTACATGCATGTCTAATGCTCCTAGATCATTCAGTCTGATCCAAGACGAATTCCAACCGATTTGTGGCTTTCGAGTAACCCAATGTTTGAGAATCTTCACCAGCCACTACAAAATATCCCACGCCCACTGGTCACATGACCCATAGACGCTGCCTGTCAAACACGATCAGCTCACACCGCACAGAAGAATGGATGGCACTAAGTGTATATGGAGACAGGATACTTTGTAGGAATTGGTTCTTCAGGAACTCCTGGACTGTGTATTTCAGCCCACCTCATCGGTTATTGCCCTGCTCCGATTGGCTCTCCTATGTGTCTCATTCATAACCACGAGTATCGCGTAAAGGGAGAGGGAGAAATCCGCCAATGTCCATATCTAAATCCTGTAATTTAAACCCAGAGAAGAACTCGTATTCATCAACTGCCCAAACTTGGCGGTGTTTCAGAAATGCGGCGGGCCCAATCCGTGACCTGAGACAACGATCGGTGGTTTGTTTCATATCGCCGTGTCGCCCGGCGATCGCTTCTTCTTTTTCCCTTTCCTCTCACCTCTTTTTTCTCACCTTCTTCAAATTTTCCCTCTTTGTTTGGTGTTTTATTTCTGTCTCCGTCCGCGTCTCATCTTCCTCTGCCCCTTTTCATTCCCGCTTGGTCAACGGGCGTCAGGGCGTTTTGACGTCTGCTGCCGCTGTCATCTGGTCACTTTGAAACGTTGGATTACCATTGATAACGGTTACCATTGGGAGAAGAAGAAAGAGATACACAGTGAAGGATTGCAGTGTGCTGGTCTATGTCTTTTATCTTCTCTGAGCAGTTAAAGGGATTGATTTATTGTGAGTTTATATGACTACTCAGTCTGTAAGGACATGAGCCCCCCTCGTTTCCCCGACTCTTCATTTGATTTGAAAAACCATTCTCTTCTATTCTTCAATCCTGCGCATTCCTTTTCTTCATACTCCATACTGGTTGATTCAGTTGGTCCCCAGATTCCAAATATGCAGAACCGTGAAGCTAACAGAATGCGTGCGAAGTTTAGGTACCAACCCCATGTATTAGTCGACGTCCCATCCGTTCTCGAATTTGTATCGGTTTTACGTCCCACAAAGAGTCGCACAAGAGTCGAAAAAAAGTTACCTGAAGCTGCTGGCTGGCTGTCACATACGGGGTTGTTCGAGGAACACCGTCTCACAAAACACCCGCAATAATACCTCGACGGATAAATTTGCCACAGAATCTATAGCACACGAGTCAGTCGGATTTCAGAAAAACAATGCTGGCGTCCAAACCTTATTCTGGTTCGCTGGGTATGCAGGCATCCCAGACACCGACACCATCATACAGCGTTGGTTCATCGCAGAAGTCTGCAGGACTGAAACTACAAGAGGGAGCGATGTTTACTAGTCCTACGGATTCGGACTTTTTGGATGGTCATGATGGACTTGAAACTGTTCGGTGGGTTTCAATAAAGTGTGAAATTCCAAATTCTCTGTGCCGTACTAACAGATCGCTAGTTCTTGGGACGAGAAGCAAGTTATTGCTTGGCTTCATAGCATCAACTGCGGTCAATATGAATATTTGTTCAAAGGTACATACACAGTTGATCTTTACTTCCAGTTTATTGAGCGGAAATATTGACGTTGTCTAGCAAACAATTTCAATGGGGACAACCTCATCGAATGTGACCAGAAGATTCTCCAAGAAATGGGAATAAAGAAAATCGGCGATCGTGTACGGATATTTGTTGCCATTAAACAACTTAGAAATAGATCCGTCGCTAATCGCAAACAAAAGAACATGGTAAGATTGACGTGCCAGTGCTTCAGAAGCTCTTGCTGACCTCCGGCATAGATTCAATTGGCTGCACTTGAAGCTTCAACTCTTGGATCCTCTTCGTCGCTTTCTAGCTCCCGCCAGCTCGGAAAGTCATCGTCACGTCCCGTGTCGCCCCTGCGAGCTCAGCGGTATGGTAGCCCGGCTGAGTCTGGACGGAGAGACTATTTCGGTCACCACGTTTCCAATGAATCCAACTCTGCGCGGAACCCCGGAACACCAGGTGAACAAACCCCTGGTGTTAAGGGCTCGCATCTCAGGCGAAACCCCAGCATGGATGGTTTGACGATGGGTCCTTTGCCTAGATCGCCAATTATTAGAGTTATCTACACTGGTGGGCAGACGAAGGTCCTGGACATCAAACACTGCAAAACCCCAGATGAAGTCATCCTCTGTGTTCTGAAGAAGCTGCAGCTTCCTGAGCATCAATATCGCAACTATTGCTTCTATGTATTGGATGGCTTGGACCCAGAACCGGCCAACTGCAGGAGACTTTCCGATTCTGAGCTCATGGAAGTATGCGAGGCATACAACCGCTCAGAGCGAGGTCGCTTGATCCTACGTATGACTCATTCTGGCAAACCTGACCTTGATGAGCTTCGCCGTGCTTCTCAGCTCGCGATGGACGAAAGCCAGATCACGCATAGCAATGCTCTACACAACTCTAATACGCGAAACCAAATGAAGATCAAACAGATTACTGGGGAGGACTTGAAGAAGATTATGACGAGACCAATGTCTCCCGCCAGCAAGAACTCGCGTCACTCGAACTCAGATCGCAACCCGGCATCCAAGCTGCAGTCATTCTTTGGTGCCAGACCTCCAAGCGAAATGATCATCCACGAGATCCAACAGTATTTCCCAAGCCACCAGCGGGAGGAGATCGAGAAGACGATGCGCATGTCAGTACGGAGGTCACAGCGTCTTAGCCGGGCTGCAAGCCGTTTAAGTGTCGTCAGCAATGCAAGCTATGCATCCAGTTTGCGCGAGGCCAGCTTGCGCGATGCTCCACCAATCCCTAGCATCGCTGACACCTGGCGCACCGGCGCAGGACAGCCCAATGCTCAGAACAATGTGCAGAAGGCCAACAACCGTCTGTCGAGACCGCTTTCGGTCTCATCACGATTCAACCTCCCCCAGACGTCGTATAGAGATTCTATTGCATCTAGCTCTCTCCAACCTCTCCAAGAGGAGTCGCCTATCGAGCCGAATCGCAAGTCATATGTTTCCTTCGATAGTGCGTCTGAAGATGCCGCTACTTTTCGTCAGAGTATCATCGATGATGAGAACGCTAGCGTTGCTGCCACCGATGGTGGCTCACTCAGTGAACGGTTAAGCGTTATTGTTGCAGATGATGAAGAAGAGGAGGACGATGAACTTCAAGATTTCTTGGCTGGAAACAACTTCGCACCACAGAATTGGATGAAGGGTTCACTCATTGGTGAAGGATCGTTTGGAAGCGTTTTCCTTGCCCTTCACGCAATTACTGGAGAGCTCATGGCTGTCAAGCAAGTCGAGATACCCTCGGCAACTCAGGGTACTGAGTTCGATAAACGGAAGAACAGCATGGTTACTGCACTGAAGCATGAGATCGATCTCCTGCAAGGCCTTCATCATCCGAATATTGTACAGTACCTGGGAACTATCGCCGACGAGCAATATCTGAACATTTTCCTGGAATACGTCCCTGGGGGTTCTATTGCTTCGATGCTCAAGCAGTACAATACTTTCCAGGAGCCATTGATCAAGAACTTTGTCCGACAGATCCTGACCGGTCTTCAATATCTTCACGACCGTGACATCATCCACCGTGATATCAAAGGCGCCAACATCCTGGTCGACAACAAGGGTGGCGTCAAGATCTCTGATTTCGGTATCTCCAAGCGTGTCGAGGCTTCCACTGTTCTCGGTTCTCGAGCTAGCGGAGGTAGTCATCTCCATCGGCCCTCTTTGCAGGGTAGTGTTTACTGGATGGCACCGGAAGTCGTACGGCAGACAGCCCATACCAAGAAGGCCGACATTTGGAGTTTGGGTTGTCTCGTCGTTGAGATGTTCATCGGAGCCCATCCATTTCCGGATTGCAGTCAGCTCCAGGCTATCTTCGCCATCGGCAACCACAAAGCACGTCCTCCTGCCCCGGAGCATGCGAGTAAAGAAGCCACCGCATTCTTGGACATGACGTTCCAGATAGATCACCAGAAGAGACCTGATGCGGATGAGCTGCTGAAGTCGCAGTTCTTGTCTTTACCACTTGCATGAGCTATCTATTGTACGGAGTACGGATGGCATAACGATTCTACCGCATCTTCATTAAAGATTTACGAATACCCGGAGTTCTTTAGACATCAGCATTGATATCTTTTGAATTGCTACGCGTCTATGATCAATTATTCCCACAAGTCTTGATGGCTTATGCCAGTGTACTGCATGGCTTTTTTACTTCATTTTTTGGGTTGTTTCAAATGTACTAGGTTGCATTGGATATTGCTTTGTAATTTCCTTCCTTTGATAGGAAATACTAGAGCTGGTCTTGTTACTTCTGTCCTCTCTACCTTTACCTCTTATGGTTGTGTCTATTGCCCCATAATCCACCTAAATGGGCAATCGAGGAAGAGATAAATTGACCAAACTTAATCTACATAATACAATTCGCATAAACTGGACTCATGAAACATGAAATCTTCGTTAACTAAGGTACTAAAACAGAGAAATACATAACAGGACTAAGAAATGCAGGCTTCTATGTTACATGTTTATTGCCAACTGCCAAACCATTTTTCATTTGCAAGGCGTGCTTCCGTCCGATTAGTCTAGACCACTCAGATGGAAAAGTCCATTTTTTAGTCGACCAGCTTGCCATGGAACGGAATACCCATGGCACTCAGCAAAAGCCGGGCGTCCTTGTCGGTTCTGGCGCTGGTGTGGAGGGTAACGTGGCAACCGGGAATCATCTTCGGCGGGTACCTAGTCGAATCTGTTAAAAATGAAACGCCTTGGATGGGAGATAGATTGACTCACATATCGTAGTTGACTTCAATCTCAGGGAAGAGAGCCACATTCTCCGGCTCCAGACCAAAGGTGATGTTTCCACTGCTGTCACCGCTAGTACCTTTGATACCATCCCATTCCTTGATTCTGGGCATCACGACATCAATCAATTTCCCGAGGAAGTGTTGCATGTTCTCTCCTCGCAGCTCCGCCTTGACAGCAACGCTATCTCTACCAGGCGCAATACCCCACGTAGATACACTGGTCTTGGACTTGAACGTATCAACACGCACATTCGAAATAGCCTGCATCGCCATACCCGCAACATGCAACCACGACGAGTTGTCCGTAGCAGCCTGCTTTACGTAGCTGTGGATCGTAACCCGTTCGACCACGGGGATGTTGTTGAAGCGAATCGGCTTGCGCAGCAATCGCAGAACATCACCACCGCGGGGCCCACGTAGTTGACGGTTCTTGTGGTACGGCGAGCTGTCGTCCCATTCGCGGAGACGGGGGGCTTTTGGCGGGGGCTTGAAGCCGGGTGGGTTGTGGACGTAGCAGAGGGTTAGGATATCCGGGGCAACGGTGGATTCCCATGTCTGCTCGGTTCGGGGGAGGGAAAACGGGCCTGGAACGAAGAGACGGGAGGAGGGGTCCGAGGGAGGGGGAGGTTGGTGAGGGTGTAGCGGGCCACGGTCGTACTTTGGTGACCGGAATTGGTAACTATTCAGTGTTAGACAATGTGCATAAGTGGATGAACAACAAACTCACCGACTCCGTGGTAACTGGCCCTTGCGTGACTTCGCTCTTGCAATTGGATCAAACGATTTCACCACGTTCTCTGGCACCGCAGTGGCCAACGAACTCGACTCCAGCTCGTCCGCCGGAGACTTGGATGCCGCATCGTCGCTGGCATTGCGGCGGAAGCAGACGCTCTGTGGGCGAGCTGACGGTAGAATTGCCCGGGAAAATGACCTTGCCAGGTATCTAGATGGCTCTCTAGCTGCCATCCTGGTCTGCAATTGGCGTTGTCGCTGCTGAACCGGACGAAGGCCTTTTTCCAAAATTATTTGCTGGGGCGGAGAAGAAGCGTTGATTTCGGGAGTGCATCACGTGTAATATCTGTAGGCCTGAGATAGCGGGCACCAATTTCCAGGCACTAACGCCTCCGCAGCTCCACATGTGATCAGCTTCATCATCTCCGCCAACAGCGCCTCTACCACCACTACAGAACACTATCTTGAGCTACATCCGAGCTATGATCTTCAATCGGCGTCGATCAGCTGATATACTCGCCTGAATCAGATTTGAATTTTTATAGATTTGCTGTCATAATTCTCTTCACGGGTCACTTTACTCTGCTTATTCTCATTTCGACGTCCCATGGTGGCGAGGGCGATTCCGGATGGATTGGCAGCTCCGACGTCGTCAGAAGAGCCCGGCACCTGATATGATCATTGATGACTTGGCGAGAACGATTTCTCTTCGAAATCTCCATGCGCGATCTCGGGATCTAAATTGAACTCTGCGACTATCGATAAATCTAGCATAGATCCTTATGCTTATCCTGGCCCCATTTCTCGATTCGCATTGAGAACATTTCCGGCTCGGTTTTAAAACGCTCCGCCTGTACCACTCGAGCTGCCAAAGATGAGCAGTTTTCAGAAGTTCCTTACAAGACGCGAGCGACATAGCAGATATAGCAAGCATCTTAAGGAAGAGGTATGGCAACCAATTGTCTTCACTTGGGATATGGCTGATTTGTCTTTCTGAATAGACATCGAATATCCTCACCCGGCCTCTATTTCGCGGTTTCTTCTCGTCACAATCGGCTTCGGAAAATGGCGACAACCAGAATCAGAAGAAGGTAAGAGAAACTTCATAGCTGCCATGATCCACAGTGACTCATAGACCTGCGGGGACAGATAAAGCAACTTGAACGTCGCATCGCACAACTTGGAATCACCGATTTGAAGGAAGAACATATCGGTTATGCGTTGCAGTCAGCCCATGCGCAGGGGGATGTTGACAAGGCGTTCGATTTGCTTCTTCTACTCGAGGACTCTATCGAAGGGATCATCAGAGGATATACGCCCAGCACAAAACTTCTTGGAGCGGAAAACCGACAAGGTGTCACCTGCTACCTAGATGCGCTACTCTTTGCTATGTTCGCACGTCTCGATTGTTTCGAACCCATTCTGCACAAATCCTTTGAAGATGAACCCCGCCGGAAACTCGCAGTTTTACTAAGATTTTGGGTCAATATGTTACGTTCTGGGAAGCTAATAACGAAAGACATGGTGCGTTTCATATTTCATATGATCGTGGTAATGCAAGCGGGGTTACTGACTCGACCATTAACAGACAAAGTACCTGCAAGATGCGCTTGCCGAGTGTGGTTGGAGGGATGCCTCCACTCTTCGACAACAGGATGCGTCCGAAGCATTTACATTTATCACGGAGAAACTAGAGCTACCGCTGCTTACCTTGAAGATGGACATCTATCACACCGGAAAGGAAGATGCCAGCGGTGATCACAAGTTCATCAACGAGAGGTTATTAGAAGTTGCGATACCCGAACCGATGGACGGGAAGACAGTCACATTGGAGGACTGCCTGGAATCCTACTTCAACAATAAGATTGAAGTAAAAAGACATCTAGAGCGACGAAACACGACAAGGTCGGTAGATTCAATGTCAAAAGGCTTCACGGCACACATTGAAGCTATCGAAGTCGGCTCTACTGGGTCCTCACCAGTCCGGGGATCTTCTCCCCGGCTGGAAGATGTGACTCCCTTAACGTCAGTGACGGAGTCAATAGATGAGTCCGCCACAACTTCGTCTACTTTGGATCGACGGGATAGCATCGTACAGGAGCGTTTCGTTCCTGATTCAAGCGAAGAAGGAAAAAGCGACGAGGGAAAGAGTGATAGTGGCAGTGGTTACAATCATACCCGGAAAGGTTCTTACAGAAAAGAGGTCATGATGCCAGCCTGGCAGTTTTTTAGCTTGATACGTTCGTCTCTGCTGAGCTCTTATGCTTTGGGGCATGTGCTGACTCGTTTGCAGCGTGGTACACGGATAATACACCGAAGACCGACGCTCAGGTAGCGGAACATATCTCTGTGAAAAGACCTATTCTCGGAATGTGCTTGAAACGTTACTCAATGCTTCCTAATGGGAGAGCAGTTAGACGCAGCACATTCGTTGATATACCAACTGAGATTGGCTTACCCCATTTCATTCAAGATGACAATATGGATGACGATGCTCCCATATATGGTAATTTTAAGCTGGCTTTACAGTCTCTAGTCTGTCATCGTGGGAACTCCGTCGACTCGGGCCATTATATAGCAATCGTCAGAGGGACCAGTGCAGGGGCTGCCCCGGCCGTTTCCAATGGTAATGGTACTGAGCAGACAGTTTCGGATGATTCACGATATTGGATGCGCTTTGATGACTTGGCCGCGGAGCGGGTGACTCTAGTCGATATCGAACAGGCCTTGAAAAACGAGTCGCCGTATCTGCTGTTCTACCAGATCCTCCCTATTGACGAAGATGCCGCGAAGGCCAATCTACAACACAAGGCTTCTTCCGAGTCTTCAGACGATACCTTGGAATCTGATGCCGCTGGTATCGCTCGAAGACTGAACGGCTTATCTATGGGGTCCTCCAATGCCGAGGAGTGCACGGCTGGACGGCCCAGTTTTGAGATCACCGCCCCGATAGTCACGGAGACTGAAGTGGTTGACCAAATCGGAGCGCCGCAGGGCTCCATATTCTCCAACACCGACCCTTCAACCCAATCTGGGGGTCTCCACGTACACACCGCCTCTTCTACATCACCAAAAATTGCCCCGAAGGACAAAGATGAAGATGGAACGAGTTCGAATCCCTTCTCATTCTCCAGACGCGGTTCTCGGGTGAAAAGTAACCCTGGCAGCCGTGCCGGCAGCCAAAACAGCGAGAACCGAATCAGTGCGACTTTCTCACGGTTCACCGGACGACTAAGCCGGGACAAGCTCAACAGTGATGACCAGTCTACAGAAGGCGATGGTGACGACTACGCGGTAGAAAATGAGCTGGTTGGTTCGAACGGCGAGAATTCCGCCATTTCTAGCAATGAAAGCAAAGAAAAAGATAAAGATAAGGATAAGAACGCCCGGGGGCGGAACAAGGATCGTGATAGATGGAGAGGAAAGGCCAAGGATAAAACAAAAGAGAAGACGGGAAGACGGATAGAGAGGGAATGTGTTATTATGTGATGACGAGGGTAATCAGTGCCCCTGTCCCATTCGTATGACTGTACTTGCGGCATTGGAGGTCGGATTGATATGATACCCATGAATAACGCCAAGAAATATGAACAGTTTCGGGTTATTGGCGTTCCTTTATACACAGCATAGAGTATTGACATAGATAGAAGAGCATGTCACTAATATAAGCATACATCAGCACCGCGGTCAATTAGGATGTACTGTGTAGTATACAATTCGTCCAAGGGATATCGTTACGGAAGCTATCTTTCCTCCTGACTTTCTTGCCACTGCATCATTACCCATTATTCATCAGCAAACACAGTTCCGCAAAGAAATTAGAACATGACCCTCGGTCCATTCAGCTCGTCATCCAATTTCCTGCGCAACTGGTAATCCCGCTTTTTAGCCTAGTAACTATTATCGGCATATTTCAACATGTTAAGCCCGTCTATGATGGCTTGTTTCTCCTTCTGCCGCGCTTGCTTTATCTCTGAACTCTCCATATCACACGTCCACCAGCCTGAGACGAGCTGAATTGAATCCGAATTAGGTTGGTCAACAGGGCCAGCGGAAACTCTTTTGCCACCAGGCCCATATTCATAGTCACGCGCTCGATCCATAGGATATCCATTGGATGTAGCCTGTATACCTACCATACCGGCAACCATCTTGGTCTCATGCACACCGCCGTTATCGTTGACTGTCACGGGAACTGAGGTAAGTACGCTTCGGATATCGTTCATCTCCACGCGGTGAGACAGAACCTTTTCAAGCCCAAATTTCTCAGGTCCTTCAGAGACATCGATACTTTCACGATACAGGAGTCATTCATTTCGCCCCGGAAGCAGAAAGTAGCGATCAGTCCGTGGAGATAGTGGGGACCGCTCCCGCTAGCCTCACGGGCACATTGCGCCAGAAGTCGACAGCATTAGGGTCATTTGGGCGATCGAAGGTGGCTACGAAGCGTTCTAATACCGGGCGGAGAAGACGAGCAAAAGTTGTGGGGCCCCTTTCCTAGTGTAGGGATATTGTCGAGTTTTATCACCAATTGCTCCCAATCCTCGCGGTTTCTGAGTAATGTCACCGATGAAATCCCGTAGCAGAGTGACATTCTGTACGAGAAGTACTTCTGCAAGGAGCCCATCATGAGGGTTGCTGCGACGACTTTATCCGAGTCCGCGGTGGTACTAAACGAAGGCATGATCCACGTCCGGAGCTGAGGATTGACGACATTCTGCTCAACCATGTCAGTCATGCGAACTGCCAATTCACCCAATTCCACAATATTGATGCTCCCGTCCTCTACCTTCTGCCCTTCATGTGCGAAAAAAGGAATCGCAGTTCCTCAGCACGCGCGTTGATGAAGGACGACAATTGTGACAAATTCGAGAACCAGACATCTTCTGGACGCAGCGTGATATGTTGATGGAAGCTATATGCATGGAAAACAGCTCGAACAAAACCGTGATTAGAAGGGCTGATGTGATTTTTTTGCAGCACCTGTGCTCCGTCGATGTTCTTTTGGACATGCCCGCTCGGTAAGCTCATTAGCAATGGTGGCTTTGGAAACCGTTCATCTTCAATTGGTGTGGTTCGCCGTGGTCAGCATAACTGGCATTCTGATGGTGAGATGGGCAAGGAGGTAATTTGAGAGATGAGGATAGTAAGGAGAGGTTTGGGAAATGGTTGGGGAGAATTGGGGAATGGTTGAACAGGAGGAAGGAAAGAAAAAAAAAGACTTCATATATACATAGAATAGGATTTATGACCCAGGAGCCTTGTACAGACGTATCATAGATAGTTAACTAATAATGTAGCCCTAAATAATATTCGTCGCCTAAGGTGTCAATTTATATGCCTCACCGACAAGGCATAGCTGTTCTCCGCCTCACTTGCTCTCGATCTCCGACAGCGCTCTACTTGTACGGCCCCTCAATCCGTGCTGGCCACCCTCCCTGTTCCCTTCTAGACATGATATTCACATAACCCCTTGAAATATTGGCGCATCATGGCGCTGGACGCACCCAGCGGGTATGTTGCTCCCAGCAACCTCGCTGAAACCACCGATTCGCTCCCCATGTTCGATGTCCAACATGTGCAGCTCCAGTTCTCAATTGCTGCCGACTTTGTCGCCGCGCAGGTTGCCAATAATGTGTTGATTCTGGCTTTATCCACGGGCAGGATTCTCCGGATTGATCTGGATACGCCAGAGGATATTGATGGTGGGTTGGAATCTGGCTGTCAAGCTACTGCTCCGTTTACTGATAATGGGTTTTGATAGATATCGATCTTCCTAAGAAGTCTTCGGAAATAGGAATTATTCGTCGCATGTTCCTTGACCCGTCTGCGTCGCATTTGATCGTTACCACGACCCTGGGCGAGAACTACTATCTTCATACGCAATCGAGACAACCCAAGCCACTCACACGGTTAAAAGGCGTTTCGATCGAGAGTATTGCTTGGAATCCTTCAATACCAACCGCGTCGACAAGGGAAATACTGTTAGGCACTACTGATGGAAATGTCTACGAGGTCTACATCGAGCCGTCAACCGAGTTCTACCGCCGCGAAGAGAAATACGTCACCCCCGTTTACAAAGTACCCGAGGCGCCAGCAGTAACAGGGGTATGGGCAGATAATGTACCGTCGAAGCCTGAGCAGAAACGAGTTCTGGTCGCAACACATGGCAAACTGATGTACTTCTTGGGTCGTGCGGAGCGACAAGGAAGAGAAGGTGGGGGCTCGATATATGCAGACTTCTTCCAGCGGGAAGCACCAGTTGTTCATGAGACACAGAAGCCGTCGAGCTCTGTACCATCTGTTCTGGCTGTTTCGCCTGGTGGATCTGATGGTCACCATGCAGACGGCCCTTCTGATACGGAATTTGCCTGGCTTAGCTCGCAGGGTGTGTATCATGGCCAGCTTCCGTATGCACAGGAGAAAACACACCAGCCATTTGAAGAGTCGCGGATGCTCCCGCGAACCAAATTTCCAGCTTCTGAGTCTGCTCGAGGTGGCAGAAAATTGATCCAAGATCCTATTACTGCAATGACGTTGACGCAATGGCACATCTTGACCCTCGTAGAAGGAAAGATCGTCGCTGTCAACCGGATGAATGAAGAGATTGTCTATGAACAATCAGTACTGGAACCAGGGCAGAGAGCCCTGGGGTTGTTGACGGACTCGATGCAGAACACATTCTGGCTGTTCACTGGCCAGGATATTTACGAGATTGCTGTAGACGACGAGGATAGAGATGTTTGGAAGGTCTTCCTACAGAGACAGATGTTTGATGAAGCACTCAAATATGCCCGTGGAAGCGCCCAGAAGGATGCTGTCGCAACGGCATCCGGTGACTATCTGGCCAGCAAAGGCCGTTACTCGGAAGCAGCCAAAGTATGGGGCAAGAGTAGCAAGGGGTTTGAAGAGGTGTGCCTGACGCTGATCAACCGTGGAGAGCATGATGCACTGCGAAAATATCTGCTTTCTCAATTGTCGATATACAAGCGATCGTCGTCGATGCAGAGGATCATGGCCACAAGCTGGCTGGTAGAGGTGTTTATGTCCAAGTTGAATTCTTTGGATGATAATGTCGCCACCAGAGCCGAGCTGGCCGAGGGCGCCAGCGCAGAAGAAGTTCATGAACAATTGAACAGTGTGCGAACCGAGTTCCAGGATTTCGTGAACAAGTACAAAACGGATATGGACCAGAAGACGGTATACGACATCATTAGCAGCCACGGCCGAGAAGAAGAACTGCTCTTCTTTGCAGCAGCGGTTAATGACCACAACTACGTCCTTTCGTATTGGATCCAACGGGAGAAATGGACCGATGCGCTTAAAGTGCTGCAAAAGCAGAGTGATCCCGATGTGTTCTACAAGTACAGCAGTGTTCTCATGACGCATACGGCGACGGGGCTGGTGGATATCCTGATGCGACAGACAAATCTGGACCCAGAGAAGCTGATACCAGCATTGCTAAACTACAACAAAACCGTCAGTGCGCCACTTAGCCAAAACCAAGCAGTCCGGTACCTCAACTTCATCATCGTCAACCACCCCAAGCCCTCAGCAGCGGTGCACAACACCTTGATTTCCATCCACGCATCAAGTACCTCATCCTCAGAGGCCGGCCTCCTCACATACCTCCAATCCCAACCCTCAACACCACCCCCCTACGACGCAGACTTCGCCCTACGTCTCTGCATCCAAAACCAGCGCGTCCAATCATGCATCCACATTTACAGTACAATGAGCCAATACCTGCAGGCCGTCGAACTCGCCCTAAAACACAACGACATCGACCTCGCCGCCATCGTCGCCGACAGACCTGAGGGCAACAACAAGCTCCGCAAACGTCTGTGGCTGCTCGTCGCAGAGAAGAAAATCCGGCAACCGGGAACTAGCATCAAAGACGCGATCGAATTCCTGCGTCGCTGCGAACTCCTCCGCATCGAAGACCTCATCCCCTTCTTCCCCGACTTCGTAGTCATTGACGACTTCAAAGATGAAATATGCACCGCACTGGAAGACTACTCCCGTCACATCGACGCTCTCCGCCAGGAAATGGACAACTCTGCGCATACAGCGCGACAAATCCGCTCCGAAATCGCCGCCCTAGACACCCGCTACGCGATAGTCGAGCCTGGTGAAAAATGCTGGATCTGCTCGTTACCCGTTCTTAGTCGGCAGTTCTTCGTGTTCCCGTGTCAGCATGCGTTCCATAGTGACTGTCTTGGTAAAGAGGTTCTAGAGGGGGCGGGCGGGAAGAAGAAGTATATTCGCGATTTACAAGCGCAGTTGGGGAATGTTTCTGGGACGAAGAGAGAGGATATTGTTAGGGAGTTGGATGGGATTGTTGCGGAGGCTTGGTAGGTTCCTTCCTTTTCTTACGGTTGAGAACGAGACTAACCGTTATAATACAGTATCCTATGTGGCGATCATGCTATTAAGCTGATAGATAAACCGTTTATTGTTGAGTCAGAGGCGGATGACTGGGCTCTGTAATCATTTGATATGGTATGAGCTTGGTATGAAATGATGTGATGCGATGCTATAGTTCTTGTTGCTTGCAGTTATTACATGATTATTGACATTATTGATACCATCTGAATATGACCATCATGTTATCATTACACATCCCATATACATCTACTTTTATCATGATTAGTCCAGACTACAAAAGTCTCAACAACTCCAAATCCTGCGCAACAGCAGGACTAAACGGCGCGCAGTCCTCGAGGAACCGCCACATCTCACTATTCCATCGTTCCCAGCCGTCAGGTAATGTAGCCCGTATTTTGGGTGATGAGGAATGCGAGATGCAATAGAATAGTAGGATTTGCCCAAAGAATCTTTACCATCGTTAGCTTTCTAACCTCAATAATAAAAAAAAAATAAGTGAAAGAGGACGTACTGCGAGCAGAACGCAAACTTAATCGGAATACAACTCTTCATCTCCCTGAAAATCCCGCCCATGACAGGCCAATCCATCGCATACTGCAGCCCCGCGCGCACCTGCTCGAGGTCATGCTCTGTCAAAGACGTAGGGATACGGAGGGCTTTGTAGAGGTATGGTCTGCCGATGTGGAATTTGGCGATTTTGTAGCGCCCGCGGAGCATGGCGTCTGTTACGGCTATTGCGGGGGAGGGCGGTGGGTTTGTGTGGGTATCTAGTGATGTTGATGTAGATGTTGCTGGTTGTGCTGGAGATGTTGGGGCTGGGCTTGGAGTGGAGAGAGCTTCATTAGAGAACTTTAGAGCTGGAGGTAGGTTGATGCGCCATTGTTCGAGTTGGTGGAGGAGTTCTGCATTGACGGCGGGGAGGGGAAAGGTTCCCGAGTCGGCTAGGGTTGGTTAGATCTACATGATATGATGTTTTCTTTTTGGGATGGTAAAGAGGGGCATACAGTAAAAGTATAATGAATGCCGGATGCGGGTCAGGATAATGCGATGCGCAACCTGGGCGAGGAAATGGTACTGAAAGAACGCATCGTCAATCTCCCCCGCCGAGCTATACAAACTCGCCGATACAAACCCCGCCGTTTCGAACGGGATGAATTTCGGGATTGGCACGAACTCTTCGAGTCGTGCAAGACCGCTTGGAGGGAGGTGTAGCTCTTGGACGAGGATGGTCTCGTTCATGAGACAGTTCCAGTAAACGCGGGATTTCATGTCGCCTTCCCATTCGTCGAAGTTGACGTCGTGGCTGAAGGCTATTAGTTATGACTTTATGCATTGGGTCAGACGATCGCTTACTTGGTGAGCATAGAGAGACAGCACGTCGCAGCACGATGTATCATAGCCCATGCATCCATTGGACGAAGGATTTGGCTGTAGTACACTCTGCTGGGGTCAGCACGTGTCCTTGTAAGGTTTTGTAAAAATATTGATAGGTAACGTACGAAGATAACAGGTAAAATTGACAACTCTGGATATCGTTGTCACACATCAAAAAGCCAACCCGTCGACGTGCTTCGTTAAAGAACCGTAGGCCAGGTGGCTCTTCATCAATTACGTCCATCCAACCTGGGGGTTCGAATCCACTACTTCGTGTACCTGGCAAGGGATAGTTTCCTTCCTGATGGGTCTGAACGGCCAGACACCCCAGGGCCAGAACATTGAGAAGCAGACAGCTCTCCATGGTGTATCCAAAGCTGCTTTCGATGGCTGCACCAACGGTAAACGCAACGAAGAAATTCCTGTCCATGATTGGGGTAAACGGGTTAAACGTGGCGAAGAATGCATCTGCAAGACCTTTGACCATTGCCAACGGAAGAGTTTCCAACCAGCTATCGGCAGCCTGCGGAGGAAATGGACAAATGTACATGGGTAATGACGGTCGTTTCATTTCCAGATCAATCACGTAATTCTTCCCCAAATGTTCATGAGCCTTGAGGAGCTCTTCGGGCAAGATCTCTCGAGTCCCGGGCCAGAGAATCACACCATGTTGACTGAAGGAGATAGACACATGCCCATTCGAGTCTTTTGTCGGTTGCTCGTCGAACTCAAAGTCATCCGGTGGACCCATATTCGGCGTGAGACCCTGACTGAAGGGCTGCTTATTGCCGTTGCTACTGCTACTGTTGCTGCGTCCATGGGTTCCTGGAAGGTTGGCCTCCCTAGTACCCTGGAGAGCCTGGACCTGATCACGAAGCACCGGCTGCAAGTCATTACAAACGGTTGACGGGAGATGCTCGATCTTAGTCTCGAGCCGATGCAGAGTGCTCATGATCAAGCTGAGGGACTGATCCCGTCTGGACGGGTTAGCAAATCCTCAATGAATTAGTGACAAAAGACATACTTGGAAGACTTGCGCTCATTGTAGACGCAATCCAAGCCCAGAGACTTGCATAGTCCGCATTTTGGACGGGATTCGTCGCATCTTGTTTTTTTGAGGCGACAATTCTCGCATGCCTGATTTGTTAGCACCGAGCATAGTGATGTGATGGGAGACTTACTACGGAAGCGATAAAGTTTCTAGGCCTCTTGGACGGCCCTGGTGAGTGGTCCTCCTGGGGCGAGAGAAGATCGTGGATGGGCAGCGGCAAGCCATTGTGGTGCTGATAAGCGTTATCGGCGTGCTGCGCTGGATGCGAGCTCTCCTCGTAGGGACGCTTGCTCATTGTGCATGGTTGCTTTTAGGATGGTGAGTTATGAATGGACTATTGCTTGATCATTGCGACTAGTGTAGTATGGATTTGGTGATTGAGAAGTTGAGGCCGATAAAAGGTATTCCGCCATGACTCAGCGGGCGGCCAATCAGAGGCGGCCATAGTCTTTATGAGACTATATACAGACTATGTTTGGATTGGAGTTATAGAGTGGTATATAATTGCATTTAGACTGATCGAACTGAGATGATTTAATGGGTAAAGACAAGTCTATGGGCTGTGATGTGTAGTGGTTGCTGCTAGTGTCAACTCCATAGGAGATGGAACGGAGTAAACAGAACCGTGAAATGGGATCATGCAGGATCAATAGTCCAGTCTGCACTTGAAGAATATCAATCCTGTTCGAATCTTCTGTAAGTATTGCATCTGAATGCAGAAGCAGTGTACCGAGGACCCCGTATCTTATGTTGATATCCGAGATTGACATGCTGGATGCCGGTGGATGTCAGCCGCCATTGTCAGCTGCACTTGACCAGTGAATAGCCATTGTATGTTGTGTTGTAGTACAAAGACAGATATTGAAGTGCGATATCTAGTAAATAAAAGAAAATATCTCTGACCCTGACTGAAATAGAATACAGATAAATAGAGTGGGTCACGATAGACGCCATCGATACATTAACATGCCTGGTAGAAGATTGACAAGACAAGAATGGCAAATGAGCAGGTGTCAGATGCTGATTCTTTTCATCAGATAAACAACTGCATTCGACAGCGAAACGCCGTATCCGGGGTATTGGCATGTTGAATATCCGGATCGTCATAGGGAATGATAAAATGGCCGGGATTGCGTGTTATCCTGAAACGCACGTATCCAGTTGACATCTTGGAGTCTCATTCGTCCTTGATCCGTGTACCCTATTGCAGTACTCCATGGAACCGCTGGATATGGAGATTGGCATCACCTCAGCGTCTCGCCGGCGAAGTCTGGACTCGAAGGATAGTACGGAGATCATACAGGGGTTGAATTCGTTAATAACCGAGCGACTGGGGTTATTCTTCATCACCCCTGTACCTGTAAGAGTATGTATGTACTTCTTTGACGGCCTGTGTTTGGCTGTCAAACTCCATGAGGTCAGAAGGAATGCGGCATGACAGCCAGAATGATGTTGCTGTGCATTGATTATCAGTGTACAGAGTGCTCCGAGTATCGCTACATACTGCTATCCGAGCACTGCACTGTACTGTGCACCAGGAGTCCTACCAACCACCATTGCAGATGCATGTATGTACTCTGTATGCAGTATCAATGCGGAGAAGTTTGCTGCGCGATTTTCATCTTCGGTCTCGTCAGTTGTGCCTCAGAGCAATAATAATGTGTTGTCAATCATTAAATCAGTACAGCGTAGTATATGCAATATGGCCTCAGAAGAACGTCTCCTGACAACACAGTGACTGAACCCGGGGAACGGAGAGTTTCGTATCCGGATTGGGAATGGTGAATGTTAGATAACTAGAAATTGCGACGAAGATCGTGCGGGGTGATAACTGTATGTACAGTTTTTCGGTAGTATGATAGGGAGCAGGGAATGATCCGAGAGTGTGTTGTCTGATGCACTGTTCACCGCTTTAGTGTTAATAGACTTTTGTACAGTGTATCTCTACAGTGTATATAGAGAACACTCTATACAGCACCTTCCATGATGCGCTCCAATGCACTCCGACTGATAGGGAATCTCCACCGCTGCTGGCGTCATGCAGCCCGAGAATAGTGTGCCTGTTGTGATCAATATGATTGGTCAGCAGCCCTCCGCCACCTGAATGGCGAGGCGATCAATTTGGAGAAGTATCGGTACCTGTCCTCGATGCAGCTTCAATGCAGATAGATAGTGAGCAGTGTATTCTGGATGTACGGAGTACTACTACTACGGTACTTACTACTACTTGGACTCAATGACACAGTACCCGTCAATACCACCAAAAATACCATAAAATACCAAAAGAAACACGTAAGACTTAATGTCTATCTGGCACCTTCTAACACATCCTATTCTGGAAACCTCGTGGCGTGCTCTGAACCGTGTGACTCTTCATTGACAAGTGTTAAGAGTCAATCAATCAATAATTCAGGGGTGTGGATCTCTCCGGAAACAGCTAGACCGTATGTATGTATGTATGTACTGTATGTATCGTCACCGTTATCATTCCTCTGATATCATTGGCTAACCGCCCTCCCTCGGGCCCATTCCATCCCGGCTATACTTGTTCTGGACTAGTCTAGGCGTTCTTGATTCTCGCTGGTTCGCCCAACGCCCGCCGTCTTCCCCCGGTTTCCTTGAGCCTGGTGGTCCCCATAACAGTACAGTACTATCTTTACATACACGCGGCCCTGTTACTGCTCTATTTATTTCTCCTCAATACCATACATTTACAATACCATCAAGCATATCATCATATCATTGCGCTATCTGCCTTGTCTTGCCTGACTGACTGACTACTGACTCCTGTCGATTCCCATCTCTTCTTTCCCATCTCTTTCTCCCTCTGTCTCTCTTCTTCACATTCCTCAGTTTTCTTTCGGTCTCATCTCTTTATATCTTTCCCTTCTCTTTCTTCTTATCTCCTTTCTCTTTCCTCTTTATTCCTATTCTTCCCATTGCTCCTTCCGCTCGCCTCCCTGTTCCGCCTCGGTTGCAATCGCCTCCCTCTTACTTCCTCTCCTCACTTCGCGCATCCTCTCCCTCCCTCCCTCTCTCCCACCAACGCTTCGATTTCCTATAATTCGCCAGAGTTAGTGTGTTATTCAGTGACAGAACTTGATTTCCTGCATCTGTTCATAAACAACGACAACCGTGCACGCTTTCGCTCTTCGGCTCTCCGTTCTCCGCCTCTCCCGAGTCCTGGCATTCCGACTACCCTCGTGACTCATTCTCGTCGAACAACTGTCCTTATCTTCCAATACTTACTCATAAGGCTGCAATTGTTCAATTAATCGAGTGTTTCGATTTGGTTCTGGGATTTCCAACCCGGTCATACGTCGTTATCAGGTGCCCGTTCTGGTCCGGACTTCAACTTTGACAACCCCGGGTGTCTACTCTCTGTACACGCTCCGGTCTTGTCTGGTGTCCACGTACCTGTATATACCCTGCTGCATTCTTCCGTTCGACAGCCGTTCGCACTCTTGTCGTTCAATCCGCAGATCTCTATGACCTTATAGTCCTCGGCTACAGTCCCTCTTCCATCTCGGTCCCTCGACTCTTTGAGTCATCGACGACTCTTCGGTCCTTCGGCCAGGTGTTACGAAGGTCTTCTTCTCTTCTACTTTTGCCTTTTTCTGTATATTCCGCATTAAAGTTACGACATCACGCAGCGTTTTCTCATCTCGACTTCTTTTTATCTTCTCTACTTTCAACTTGTGCATCTTCGCTTCTCAACAACTCCATTCAGACATCGAGCCAATCCTTTCGTTGATATTTCTTTGATCGTTTCAATCTCTTTGGCCGTTTCGCCAATCCAATTCTCCAAAAAAAAAAAAAAAAAAGAAACCAGCGATCATACATGAACTTATAACCGTCACTACAGCCTCTCTTTTACTCTTTCTACTTGCATCCTTTACCCATCCGGGTATCGTCGAATCTCAGTTTCCAGACACCCTCGTCCGTTTCTTTTGTCTCACTTTCTGATATTTATATGAACCACTGATTCAACGGTCCGGAGTTCGTTGTTATCCAATTGATATCATTATTTTTCTCTCCTCTTGGTTTTCTCGGTGTTCATCAAGGTCTTTGGGAAATAGCAGACCTGACTCTTCTCTTCTAATCATATCATCAGCCTGGTTGCTTGTTTTGACTACTTTGAATTTGTCATTTATTTTCTCTTCTTCGGCCCTTTTTCACTTTAGCGTTTCCAAATTCCTTTGCTTTTTCATTTTACATCAGGGCCTGCAGCATCTCAACAAACCCGCCCTCTACATACGCATCTCTTCTCCCTATTTTACCGGACAGACTCGTCACATTCCTCTTCGGGTACATTTTTGAGTGATCATCATCATCGACCATGGCATCCATGAAGAACAACTTTGTCGCCGGGCAGATCTTGGATGGTCGCTTCCGGACCGTGGCGCCATTGAACCATGGCTCCTTTGGCATGGTATTCGTTGCAAATGACAACCAAACTGGTCAGGAAGTTGCCATCAAGTGCATTGCCAAGGCGTCCTCCACGGATACTATGGGCCCCTTGTCTGTTGATGGTCGTTTCGAAGAGCTGGAGTGCCATCGCCGCCTCCCACATCATCCCAACCTGGTTAACCTCATTCACTCCTTCGAGACCGACTCACATGTTTACTTGGTCTTGGAATATTGCGCCAACGGTGATCTGTACGAGGCTATCCGGCTCAACCGGGGTCCCTTGGAGACCGAGCATGTGCGTGACTTCATGCTACAATTGGTCAGTGCCATCGAGTTCTTCCATGCCAACGGCATGTACCATCGCGATATCAAGCCAGAGAACATTTTCTTGACGCAGGACGGTTCAATGAAACTTGGTGATCTGGGCTTGGCTACTCGCAACTCCTGGTGCCATGAGGCGTGCGTGGGAAGTGACCGTTACATGGCCCCCGAACAGTACGACCCGGGTACCACTGGGTACTCTCCCGCTCAAGCCGATCTTTGGGCAGTGGGCATTTGCTTGCTCAATGTTCTGTTTGCACGCAACCCCTTCGCCATACCCGCTGAACCCGATGTCTTGTTTGCCGACTACGTTCGGGACAGGCAGTCGCTTTTCGACATCTTCCCCAACATGTCTCAAGACACCTTTGAGATCCTGAGACATGCCTTGGCACTTGACCCTGAAAAGCGTTCGCTGTCTGCCATCCGTGAAAGCATCTTGCGCTCCCTCTCTTTCAGCACAGACGATGAGCCCCTTGACGAATTCTGCACCGACGACCGCGAGGTGGTGCCCGCCAGTGCCAACCGTGAACCGCTCCGCACACCTTCCATTCAGAGCCCGCACGTCAACCAGGGGGATTCATTCCCTTGGGCCAAGGCGTTGCACGCGAACCCCCTTCAACCCGTCAGGCAGCTGTCTGCCATTCCCGACAACGACAGCTATTCCGAAGATCTCTTCCCTGCTTCCGAGACGGCTGGCACCTCTTGGTATTCGCTTCACCAGGGAACTCCTTCAATGGAGTCCGTTTTGGATTCCACCTTGGGAGAATCGTACAAGTCGACAACTCTTCACAAACCGACCAATACTCGACAATACCCACCACCTTCCGACCCAGTCCCGATCACTGGTTCATTGCCCAGTCATGCAAACAAGCGACTTCCAACGCTCTCCATGGTGTTCGGGCGCAACAAGAACGACCAAATCTCAAAGAGCTGGTGTGATTTGTGGGATGAGGAAGAAGAGGAGGAATCGGAGAACGAGGATTGGATGGTTTTCCAGCAACAACCGGAGCACAAATCACGAAGCTGGAGCCATGAGAGCCGTGATGTGGACAGTGGTGTGGACATCCAAACCGATTTGCAAGAATCTGCTTCCTCGATGACTCTTCATCCTTTCCAAGACGACAACAAGGGCGCCGCTGCAGACTTGGGAGTCTCCAAGTCTGGTGTGGTGACCGTAGAGCCGGTCGACATCCACCGCGAGCCTACCCCTTTGAAGGAGACCACGGCGTCTCCCCCCAAGAAGTCACTTCTTGACAAATGGGCAGCGCTAGGCGACAAACGTCGGGACGCCAAGGCTCAGGAGGAATCGTTCAGCCAGAAGAGATCAACTAATAACTGCACCAGTTGGAGAAGAGATTGGGGTCTTGGCTCCTCCGGGTTTGACTACAAAGCGTGGGCGCGGAAAGCAACCCCCACCTTCCACGAACGCCGCCGTCCATTCTTACAAAAGGACTGGCGTCGTGACGCTGCGGACGCCTCCAAGCTGCGACCGCCCAGCGGATACGACGGCAGTGTCGATGAAGATCTCGACCTAGTTGGTGGCTGGCATGAGCTCCACCTATAACCATCTCCCCTCCTACCTCTCTTGATCGCTGTCCACCACGTGTTTCAAGCCAACCCTATAATGTTGTTCCATTCCGATCGGTTCTTTCCCGGAGCGAAACATAAATGGAAGAAGATATGCCAATTTCTTAAAAAAGATTTTTTTTTTTTTTTTTTTTGAAGAGGGAAAAAGCAAGTTCATTTTATATACGGTTGTTTTTCTTTTCCGGGTTGGGTGCAACGGTCCCAACTTTGGATGTTATCTATCGATCGACTCATTGATTGTCTCTGCGCGACGCTCCTGATATTCTATTTTAATATCCCCACTTTTATCGTTTTGTACGATTATCGTCGAGCAAGCAGGAAGCGTCGAGAATAGTCCAATGGCCAGATCTTTAAACTTTGGGAGGAAACGTTTTGTTTTGGGCAACATGAATAGGTGTTTACTGGGTACTAGTGACTGGGCATCGGTGAGAGGAGCATTAGTATAGAGCAGAAATATCTACAATCGTTCAATTCTGCCAGGAGGAATTTGGAATCTGTACTGTAGTTAGCAAGGACGCCCACCTGCAGTTGGTGCGACGCAAACAATAATCAGAAACTAGGTTAAGAACCATTTATTGTGCTTGTGTACTCCGTAGAGGTCATCTTGCTAATGCTTTTTGTCTGTAGATAAATACTGCCACAACATCTAGGCGGTCTGCAGGCGGTCACGACACGGCGTGTTCAGACCGTTTCATTTGAGAATGCAGTCTTGTCATTTTCTTTTCTCTTCGCAGGGTCTTGTCTCTTTGTCTTGGTTGAATGCAGTTGACTATTATAATTTTTCTATTTTTGTGTTCCAGGCCCCGCATTGCCATTGTTCCTCTATCATTATCCCTGAGACCCTTATCACGAGAGACCTGCGGCCGCAAGGCGGCGTATATGCAGGCCTAGCGCCCTCCTGAACTTGTATTACGCTGCATCTCCTCATTGTTCTAATTTACCGGAAATGTATATCATCTGAGCCAATCAGCGAAAGAAAAAAAAGATGCCTTATGTTTTCCCAACGCCTATCCTTTCTAGATAACGCATCGATCGCTTATCTATAACGTGCGAAACCGAGACGAGAACGAGACGAGATACGAATCCCCCCACGAACATACCAGAAAGTTTGATAAGGAGATAGGTAGAGGGGGATCTGCGGACATTGGAAGGAAGGATGTTGGCGCCGGGGTGGATACATTGGACAATATGTGCTCTGTCGATTGGTGTCAGGAACGTCGTTGGCAATGAGGAATCGTCACAACCAATATGTCCGGTGCGAGCTATGCCGGGTGTGCAGATGGCGACTATTCAGTGGCCGATGTGTGTGGAGGATCCATGGACGGAACGAGAAGAGGCGGTAACGTCGACGACGACAACTGTTGCGGCTATAGCAACAGACTTACCTAGTGCTGGAAGTGTGGATGGACAAGCCGGCCATGAAGACCTTGATACCGAATCGCCCCTCGATAATGCGAATTTCCTATCGTTCGAGGACTGGAAGAAGCAGAACTTGGCCAAGGTTGGGCAGTCGGTTGAGAATGTAGGAGGGAGTCGACGATCTGGCGCAGCAGGTAAAGAGCTCCGTGGGAGGCCAACGGGGATTAACAATGCGCTAGATTCGCTTGGCGAGGACACTGAGCTTGAATTGGATTTTGGAGGCTTTGGTACGACGCAGGAGGCTACTGCGGCGACTGCGAAACCCACATCTTGGGACACGACTGTGCGGCCTGGATCGGGCTTGGACAGTGTTAGAGAGAGAGAGAGACATATTGAGGAAGAAAATGCTTTAGCACACAGCGTCCCACGAACGGGTATGTCGCGACGGAAAGACGCCGGTACAACCTGCAAAGAGCGGTTTAATTATGCCTCGTTTGACTGTGCGGCGACGGTACTCAAGACCAATCGAGAAGGTATGGGGTCGTCGTCGGTTCTGATCGAGAATAAAGACAGCTATATGCTGAACGAGTGCCGGGCTGAGAACAAATTTCTCATCCTCGAGCTGTGCGATGATATTCTGGTCGACACGGTCGTTCTCGCCAACTACGAATTCTTCAGTTCTATCTTCCACACCTTCCGGGTTAGCGTGTCAGATAGGTACCCCGCGAAACTTGACCAATGGAAGGAGTTGGGGGTATACGAGGCACGAAATACACGAGAGGTGCAAGCATTCGCCGTGGAGAATCCGCTGATCTGGGCACGGTATCTGAAGATCGAATTCTTGACCCATTATGGCCATGAGTTCTACTGTCCTCTCAGTCTTATTCGTGTACATGGGACCACCATGTTGGAAGAGTACAAGCATGATGGTGATGTTGGACGAGTGGAAGATGAAATGGACGAGGCTTTGGAGGCCCCTGCTATGGTTGATGGATACATAAACCATGCACACGATTTCCCGGCCGCCACGACTGAGTTGGATAGTACCGCATCAGCGGAGGTGTGGTTCAACCGGGGAAAGGAAATCCAGATGCTTTTACTAAAAGGTCCATTTGGAATGACTGATACTTGTGGTGTCCATGCGACCTCCGCCGAAGCGGCTGGATTTGAGGAATTGACCCAGACGGTTGATTCTACGGTGCCGGGTATTAACGATGCTACATCTGCCTCCAGTGCTGAAGATACGGATACTACCCCCGGAATTGATGCAGCACTAAAGGAGGCCACGGTGGATGTACAGAGAGCATCTGGATCAGTGGATAGCACATCGACGACATCTATAGTGGTTTCTGAGACAGCCCAGCAAAATGCGACAGAGACCGATTCTCAGAAAGAAGATACCGGCAGTCCATCGCCGGAAGTGATCCGGTCGACGACCACGACGGCATCAACTACACAGCCACCGTCTCCCAATCCGACGACGCAAGAATCGTTCTTCAAATCGGTCAACAAGCGGCTCCAAATGCTGGAGTCGAACTCGACCCTGTCGCTTCTGTATATCGAAGAGCAATCGCGGATTCTGCGTGATGCTTTCAATAAAGTCGAGAAACGGCAACTCGCCAAGACGTCTACTTTCCTTGAGAATTTAAATCAGACTGTCCTGGACGAACTGAAGCAGTTCCGGGAACAGTACGACCAAGTATGGAGGACGGTGTTGTTGGAATTTGAACATCAACGCATCCACCACCATCAGGAACTGTACGCGATGAGCGGCCAGTTGGGTGTTCTGGCGGACGAGCTTGTTTTTCAGAAGCGGGTTGCCGTGGTCCAGAGCATCATGGTCCTGGTCTGCTTTGGTCTTATCCTCTTCTCGCCCCGTGGTGTCGTGGGAAGCTACATCGACTTCCCTAGTGTACAGAACATGGTTTCGCGGTCGTATAGCATGCGATCATCATCCCCTACTTTTGAGTCCCCGTCAATGAGTCCAAGCTCGACGCGACCAGCCTCATATCGACATAACCATAGCCACAGCCTCCACTGCAATCAGCACCGTCACCATCAGAGAAACATCTCAGAAGACTCACAGAATGGCGGTCTTGCCAGTCCGACGATCGCGTATTCCCCGCCTACCCCGACATCCCCAACGTCGGACGAGGAGAGGGAGGAGCAACGTGATGATAGCGCTGCTGGTGAAGGGGTTACTGATATGCTGGCTATGTCGCCGGTGGAATCACATGTGCGGTCGCGGAGCAGTCCGCCTGTTCTGAATGGGTGTGTTAATGATGGAGAGGCGGATTATGAGACTGTGGAATCGCCTGCATCGCCTACTTCGCCGATATGATCCTTTGCAGCTTGTGTTTGGACTTCTATATAGAATATGTCTGAACTCACCTTACAGCCGGGCTGGCCCTCGGCATAATAGGAATATACAGGGACATCTCTCCTGAGTCTGGCAGATCTATCTGTCTAATATAATGACATCTATGCGGTGATACTCGCTGTGTTATTTACAGTGGGGTAAAATACTGAGTTGGTTATTGTTTGTCTGTATTACGGCTGTTGACATGATACCATATGAGTTATTTCTTTATTGAATGTTATTTGCCTCATCCTTTGTCAGAATTAAAATACTTATTAGTTAACTATGCATTCGTAGTATAGAATGACTGATATCATCGTGGTTGCCGGGACAACAATCGCGGCATATTTTTTTCTTCTTTCCTTTCCTGCCGTCACCTCTCGACCTCCACCATTCTACCATTCTCTCTTCAAGCCACAGAGCATCACACCTCATAAGACAACACTTCCTTACCTCTATAAACCGGATAATTTACGGAAAAAAACCTTACAAGAAACGATCCAACAAAATGGACGCCCAACAACCTCTCGCAGACCGCACCAACACCCACACAACAGTGAGCCACGAGAAGATCGATGATATGAAGAGCACACCTGCGAATCTCAACTCGCTTGAATATCACCGCCAGATTCTACAAGGGAAGATTGATGGTGACAAGTAAGCGCTCCCTCTATCCAGATTGCGCGCTAGTCCCTGGATCGAGACTGTGTTGGACAGCGCGTTCGGGAGTGATGCAGTGCTAACGAACGAAAACAGGGGTCAAGGAAGCTACGTCTCGCCGTCGGATGACATTATGAGTCCGTGTTCGAAGAAACTGAGTGATCTCAAGGGGAAACGGTTTAAAAAGTATGTCCCCTTGCCTTTCCCCTCAAGGCCGTCAAGATGTTAACGGTAATACAGCGTCGGAAAACCACAATCCCTCTTCGCAAAACTCGGAAAGAAGAACTTTGAGTCGTCGCAACAGCAACAACCGGCCGGAGATACCGGAGAGGGACAGTAGTCTGTCTCGGGGAGACTGGATAGGAGGACTTTGCGCTGGTTCGCATTTGATTCAGTTGCTTCTTTACTTTCTCGGGTTCTTGTTTTTGTTGATTGTTGATATTGGTCCTCCGTCCGGTCGTTCTGGTATCTTCGTCTTTGGCATTTGTTGTTGTTTTACTTGTTACGGATTCGGTTTGGTTCGGTTGCATTGGGGTTCTGGTTGGGTTTCAGTCAAGGCATTGTATTGGGAATGCTTGAATGCTTTATTGCTTAATAGGAATGGATATATTCGATATATTTTGATTCTGGTGCTAGTAGGGAGTAGAGGTGTGCATCTGGATTTGGTTTTCTCGATGCTTTTGAAGGCTTTCCTTTCCGTTTTAGCTCACCCCTTACTGCCGATGCATCCTGGAAACACTCAAGGGAGGCACCTCAATCGGCGTCTTTAAAGGAGTCAGCAGGGAAATAATGCTGTTACGTTAACTATTATCAACGAGTCTTGCACTCTGTCCACTAGTAGTGACAATGACAAAGTTGACTAGTTGTTGATCTCTGGCAACTTATAACAAAACATCTCTATCTCATCTGACTGGCGATATCCCGTGCCCATAGATTTATCTATACGAGTCAACCACATCAACAAACATTCTGGGTATTCTCTTCGTCCGCGTATCCAGTCCTATCTCATTCTCGAGTGCTGCCATGCAGCATCCCCGTTCTTATTCAGTAACCCACATCAAATCATCCTTGAGTTTTGTTTAATCCGCGCAATTGTCTTCGTATCCGCATTTTTCTCCGCGTCCTCTTCACAAAATTCGGAAAAAAAATTAAAGCTGGTCGAGTTCTTCTCCGCTCGATCCCAAACAATGCTTTCACAGTCATTGTACTGTCAGCACATGCCCTCTGCCAGATACCTCTGACGGACTCCCTTGAACGCAGACTCCCCAGTTTGACAACCAAGCAGCTGAGGAAGTGGAAGGAATACGGGAAGCTGGTGAGATCGGCCGACGTGGAATGTACCCAGAAGTAGTAGGAGGAGCACGGCGTGGCAAATTCCATCGTGCGATCTTGCGCGAGGCTCTGAGAGCGGAACCGGGTGTTATATTCGGCGTGCATGATGTGTGTTAGAATTAAGACTTCGAGCTTGTGGCGGAGAGTACGCTGGACGGAAGATTGAAAACGGATGACAGCGGGATGGGTCTGAGAACCGATGGGATAGTCAAAGGAAGATGGACAAAGCCATTCCCCTTTTTCATCGGTCTCCTTGGATATCATTATCATCCATGCCGTGTCGTAGCAGCAGGTGGACATGGGGCCCAAGCCATGAGAACTGGAAGCAGCTATCAGCTGGATGTCGCCAACAGTCTGGGCAAGACGCAGCCCCACTCTGACATTTTGCCTGTTGTTCAACCGGTCAAGAAGAGCAAGGCCAAGTTGAACCAGATTTCAGCTAACGAGGCATCAAATGCTGCCACAGCTTGTGATGTGTTTGACGCTTTGTTCCCGGGCAGATACTCGAACAAGACAAGCTCCGACTATACTGCTGAGGTTGAGCAACCAATGTATGTGCTTGAACAATAAGGATAATAAGGAAACACGCTGATCTGAAACCTATTGGCTCAACTCGGCATGTTTCTTCGAGGCCCACATGGCCTCTAACGTCGCCTTTGGTCTCAAAATCGTCACCTCGCTGGGAACCAAGTTTGCGATGCGCAGTGACGGTCACCAGCAAAATATCGGTTTTTCCAGCAACGAAAACTGTGTGTTGATTGACCTGAGCCGTCTCAACCCGATTAATATGACTGACTTGGCCAGTGGTGCTGGTAAGTATCTCGATTTCCAGTTCCGTAATGATACAGATATCATGCAGAGTCCGCTGGAGATACCTCGTCAGTCAGTTTATTGTCGTAAACACCATCCACTTGTCTGGTCCTACGTACTCTGCTACCTCACAGAATGTCCCCTCTTACCGGCTCCAGTGTCTCCCAAATATGCTCGAATGTATCGAGACACTCTCGTGACAAAGGACCCTGACTGATGCTCTCGATATTTGACTTGATTTGCCTGATAGAACTGGCTCCGAGGATGATTCCATCACCCTTCTCCAGTGAAGAGTGGTAGTACGCCCATCGCAGCGCAGCATCAATAGTAGTGATCCCAAGAGCGCGCGTTGTTTCCTCCAACTGTTTGAGCGCGTTGTGCAATGGTTCATGGTTGTAGAGGTTCTGCATAAATTTGTTCATGGCTCCATCGCTGTCGAAGCGTGTGCCTTCAGTGTTGCCATTTGTGAGTTTGCCGGACAAGAAGCCAGAGGCTAGAACTCTAGTGCGTAGCATGTTAGTATTGCTTAGCACGGTGATATGAGTGAATGAAAACATACCGGAATGCGTTGTAGGCAATACCGTGTTTCCTTAGGATTGGGAGGAGCCTCTTTTCCATGCCCCGATTGACGGCACTATAGTCGCCCTGGTAAACAGTGGGCTTGATATAGCCATTTGCCTCACAGATTTCGATGAATCTCTGTAGCAATTCTGGTTGAAAGTTGGAGACACCGAGCTAGAAATATTAGCTGTTTTCAAATAGCCTGTTTAGGGATACGTAGTACATTTTGAACTTGCCAGCCTTGTACAAGCTGTCGAAAGTTTCTGCCTGTTCCTTCAACGGGGTCTCTAGGTCTGGAAGATGAAGGTGAAGAGTGTTGACCTGTTCGACGCCCATGCGCTGCAGACTGGTGTTGATGGACTTTTCAATCGCAGACCTCTCTAATTCACCACGATGATATAGTGACAACGTGAGAATCTTAGTATCGATGCTGAAGCCCTGAGAGACAGCTTTGGTCTCTCCAAGCAGTTCCTCCGAGCGCCCAGGCGTAGTAGGAGGATATCTGCCAGCGGTGTCGAGGTGGGTGATATTGTTCTCTTTGAGATAGTTGAGGACTTTCTGGACGTCTTCAAGATCGACAAAATTCATGCCAAAGGAGGCGGCGCCGAAGATGAGCTTAGGAACACCCATATTACTAGTGACAATTGGTGATTGATGAGAGTTGAGAAAGATGGATGAAAAAAAGGAAGGAGGGGCAATAAACGAACAACTATGGGCTAAAACCGGAAGGAAAAGCTTCCGGTGCAGCTCATAGTTGTAACACCGGTCGAAAAGTTGCATTTCATTGGCCTATAATACATCCTATCGCCAGCATTGTGCTTGTTTTGCCATGCTTATGCGGATTATAGGGGTATTGCTGATATTGATGAGTCGTTTTGCTGTACCTGGTTTATAATACTATTCCACTTACAAGGACGGAGCTGGGTCTATCCTTTTCAATTCCATCTGTTGCGTCCAACTCGAGGTCCTCTGCTCTCTCAACATAATATCCTTCGATCGTCGCTCGGAATATCTAATGTCATATTGCAGTAGCAATGCCATCACCTCCAGTTTGAACTGCGCTGCTGCCCAAAATCGACCAGGACAGGCAAATTTGCCAAACCACCATTCTATTCCATCTCTGTCAGATGCAGCAAAGTGATACCGGGATTGTTCTTTGGCCTAGCGCAGCTTGTAGGATCGTGATCCGTCAGAGGTCTCGGGTTCGGGGTACCGTTCGGGATCTCTGCACATGGGGCAGATGGGCATAGAAATTAAAGGTCTTTCGGGGATGATGATGTTATTGGACAGAATCACCGGCTTAATGATTTGTCGATTCAAGATCACTGAATAGTTGGCTTTTTAATAGGTTGAAGAATATATAAACTACTTACTAAAATCCATCAGGTTCAGACGCTGGCCCTCCTTGATAAAACCATCCAGCTTTCAAACTAGCCAGAGTAGAAGCCTTGACACTACCGTACACTCTCATGGTTTTAATGATCTCCTCCACAGTGGCTGGCTATACTCTTGTCGATAGCACAGATCCAATATAACATTCACCGTGGTATGTGTCGTATGGATAGCAACCATATTCAAAAACAACGTCCTCCAAATGAGACAATTACTATCAGAACCAGGACACTTGGCCGAATCGATCAGTTACTGAATCATATCGGCATGGGCCTTGCTATCCATGTTTTGACGCTGTTCCAATATCGGGATAAGGATCTTGCAGATCTTGTCAAATTGCTGTTGAAGCTACTTGTATGACTCAAGCTGAGGAGCAATGATGAGGAGCAGAGATTTTTAGTGTTTTTGCAGGTCGCTTGCCACTGCGCCAACTTCGACCATGTAACCACTGACTGTCGACAGCCATTCTGGGTCTTTACACAGATCAGGACCGACAAACATGTGGGCAGTCGAGACCGTGATGAGTTCTAGGATGGTAGAGTACATGGAAACAGTATATACCCCTGATGTCATCAGCCACTGGACTTGCGTATTGCGATAATCTTCTTACCATCGACTTCTTTTGCTGTATTGATCTTTCCTTGGAGTGCATATAGGACTGGATCGTAGATCGGTTGTGCCAGAGAACCAATATTTTGCGACAATGGACGAGCACAAACATCGTATCCAAGCATGCCTATATCTTCAATGTCCATTCCGGTATATTTGCCAGAATGGCGCACAGTCACTGTTAGTCTAAGATAACTGCGAGGCACTTTATTGAATTCGTCCATGTACTCTACAGACATCATGAGCCGATACATGTCGGTCATCCATAGATAGTATGGAGGATATCTGTACTGCAATGTGTCAATATTTTTACAACATACAATATACGGATGCTTTACCTTAGCATAACCCTCATTGACCATTTCAACACTCCTCTGATAGAATTCCCCTTTGGATATGTTTCCCAGCAGTGTTGGCTTTGGTTCAATTTGAGGAATGTCCAATGTTGAATCGAACCATTTTTAGTAAACAAGCACGGTAGCAGCACCTAGTATCCGTAGCCAAAGCAAAGGAACTGTAGCATTCAGATCGATCAAGACAGACACAGTGAAGTACGGTGGTACTCTCGATGGCGCAGAAGCAACTTTTTTGAGCTTAAAAGGATGGGGTCAAAAGTCTGTCACTATAACCGAATCCGACTGTCTTATAAGATTTGTCTAGCGGCATGTACTTGCATCTCGACGGCTTCGGACAACCGATTGTAGCTGACTGCATGGAGTATTATACAGTATTACAACGAAATGCAAAATACTGGCAGATCGGCAATCTCGATACGCTCTAATACGTAAGTATAAAGGAAGATAATCACCAACGATATAACGGGATATTGTGATATTGTCAAATATCAGCCTTGCATGAAGTGGGAGTAAGAGCTAAGGATGTGGTAAAAATGTCGCAATACAAGAAGACACTTGGAATGATTCAGCTGCATTTCATATCTTTTCAAATACCTTGAGAAGCCTAGACCGCGCCGTTTACCTGTGCGGATGAAGGTATGATGGTGACAAGCCAACATGAAGTCTGAGGATGCCCTAGCCCTTCCGTATATGGTAGGTATAGTTCCTCTATCTTGCCTTGATAGTTCTTCTTCCTTTCCATATTTGATATTCTCGATATGCTGTCTAGTCTAGATATCTTTGAGAAGTGAATCTCGGAAATAGTACATTCTGCACTCTGATTGCTAATCCAAACTTACAAGTCCTGAAGCCTGGTATCTACTAATTATTCCTCCTATGGTTGACCAAAAACTAGTATTCGTGCACGATGATGTTTTCCTCGCTTCTCATTCTGATGGTCGTACGTATAGGAGTACTGGATTGACTAGTTCATATCTGCGTGTAGTCAAGTTGTACCTAAATTTAATTACATATAAGACTGACATAGCTATTTGCCTTTGCAAATACAGATACTCTGTGCTCTGTTGAGGAGAGAAAGGTGTACACCACATATAACGTTGGGGTGCTTTGTATGTACAGGTATTAATAGCTCAGCCGAGATCAACCTCGGCATCCCCGCAACCTCCGTCTCCGCAGTCGGTATAACTTCAACTCTCGCCGTCTCCTTGACTCTCATTCTATATTCTGTCTCATCAATCAATACTATTAATACTGTCAAAATGTCCGCCTCTACCAGAATCCCTCCCATCGCTCAGCCTTTTGTCAGCGACCGCGCCAAAAAGACCCTCGACCTGGTACACCTCATCAGACTACTCCTCCATTGACCCCATACTAACAGCAACAACAGGTCGAAGAATTCGTCGAAAAAGACTGCATCCCTGCTGACCCCCTCTTCCAAGCCCAACTCGATGCCGCCCCCTCACGATGGCAAGCCCACCCTCCCGTGATCGAAGAGCTCAAGACCAAGGCCCGCAGCCTGGGCCTCTGGAACATGTTCCTCCCCAAGAGCCACTTCTCGCAGGGCGCGGGCTTCACAAACCTCGAATACGGTCTGATGGCCGAGTATCTGGGAAAGAGCTCGATTGCAAGCGAGGCGACGAACAACGCGGCCCCGGATACGGGGAATATGGAGGTGTTGGCCAAGTATGGGAATGAGGCACAGAAGGGGGAATGGTTGGGACCGTTGTTAGAGGGGAAGATTCGGAGTGCATTTTTGATGACCGAGCCCGAGGTCGCGTCGAGTGATGCCACGAATATTCAGTTGAGCATTCGGCGGGAGGGTAACGAATACGTGCTTAATGGATCAGTAAGTCTCTCCCTCCTTGGGTATGCCGGATAATGGCTAATGAAGTAGAAATGGTGGTCCTCTGGCGCCGGTGATCCCCGCTGCCAGGTCTATCTGGTTATGGGCAAATCCGATCCTACCAACCAAGACACCTACCAACAACAATCCGTCGTCCTGGTCCACGCCAACACCCCGGGAATAACTGTGCATCGCATGCTGACCGTCTACGGCTACGACGACGCTCCCCACGGCCACGGCCACATTACTTTCGAGAACGTCCGTGTACCTGTCTCCAATATTGTCCTAGGTGAAGGCCGCGGCTTCGAGATCATCCAGGGCCGTCTGGGCCCCGGCCGCATTCACCACGCCATGCGCACCATCGGCGCTGCCGAAAAGGCTATCGAGTGGTTAATTGCGCGGATCAACGATGACCGCAAGAAGACCTTCGGGCAGAGTTTGAGCTCGCACGGCGTGATTCTCGAGTGGGTTGCAAAGTCACGGATTGAGATCGACGCTGCGCGACTGATCGTGCTGAACGCCGCGATCAAGATCGACCAGGGCAACGCTAAGGCCGCGTTGAAGGAGATCGCGCAAGCCAAGGTCCTTGTTCCCCAGACTGCGCTGGCCATCATCGACCGCGCGGTGCAGGCGTATGGCGCTGCGGGTGTCTGTCAGGATACTCCCTTAGCGTACATGTGGGCTTGGATCCGAACGCTGCGTATCGCAGATGGACCTGATGAGGTGCATCTGCAGCAATTGGGTAAGCGGGAGAACCGATCACGGAAGGGCGCTGTTGTGTCCAAATTGAATTGGCAGCGTGCTGAAACGGATCGGTTGCTTACTGCCAATGGGTTTGGGAAAATTAAGAGTCATCTCTAGCTTTCTGCCCCTGGTATAGAAGACTAGTATAGTAAGATAAATTGTCATAATAACATTATGCATAGTGTACTCCGTATCTATAAGCCCGACTTTTAACATAAACATGATAGAAAACATAAAAACGACTCGCCCGCGAGCAATCAATCAATAATACTCCTCCTCCGTATTTCCAGCAGCCCTCTTCCCCTTCGCCCTCTTCTTATTCCCCTTGAAATGCTTCTTCGAGTTCCCCTTCACCTCCGAGGCATCCACTCCGCGTTCCATCGCAACCATCATCCGCTCCTTCCGGCCTGTCAACTGCTTTCGCATCTGCTGTCCTTGATCCGTGTACTGCGCGTTGAATGGCAGTGTCATACGGCCTGCAGACGAGGAAGAGCCAGCAAAGAACCCAGTGTCGAGGTTGCGAGAACGCTGACCCTCTTCACTCTTGTTGGGCTTGGCTGATGGAAGCGAGGAGAGTTCTGCCTCCGCATCGTCCGGGTTATCCGCTTGTTGTGCTCTCGCGAGGATGGCCTGTCGACGGGCGGGAAGGTGCGCCATGTCGTAGAGTTCCTTGTTGAAGTCGAGGGGATTGATTGGCTCCTGGCCTTCTGCGGGTGGGGGCGGGTGGCAGAACAGTAGCTTTCCACTGACGTAGTCCTTAAGCACGTAGCGAGCTGCACGGGATTCGTCGGGTTGACCTTGGCCAGTTGTCGAGAAACCGCGGGCACGGGCGTAGGTGCGCAGGACTTCAGAGGCGGTTGGAATACCGGTGCCGCCTTCTTCAATGGGGCGAATGTTGATTTTCACACCGTAGACGTTCTCGACGAAGTGCTTGGGGATACGATGTGCGACGAGACCAGCAGGACCAGTGAATTCGCGCTGTTGGTCAATGGGGAGGACACCGTTGACGACGAGCTCGGCCTTTGTCGTGGCGAAATTGGGGAACACGAGACCCGGACAATCGCAGAGCATGATCTCGGGGGAGAGATAGAGGGTTTGGAAGTGCTTGGTTTTACCGGGGGTAGCGGAGACGGAGACCTTCTTGGCGCCAAGGAGAGCGTTGATGGTGCTTGACTTTCCGACGTTGGGATAACCGACTAAACCGATGACTGTTTTGTGTTTTCGTTGTTCACCGGCTTCTTGGTTGAGGGGAAGGGTGTCGGGGGTGTTGGAGAGGAAGAGTTCTTCGAGTTCGTCGACATCGAGGATGTCGGTTCTCCACGAGCGTTCGCCATGTTGTTCCTGCTGCTTCTGCTCTTCAATGTTGAGGCCCTTGGCTGCATCAGCCAGGTCATTGGCCTCACTACCGGACTCATCCTCCAGAAGTCGTGCCTCGTTGCGCTCCTTAGCCAAGTGTGCAGAGAAGAACCGGAAAGGAATGTTGTTGCGCTCGAAATAGTCCGCCCACATCTCTCGTTGCTTATCCGTCAACATATCCGCCTTATTCACAAGCAGTAAATTCTTCTTCTTGGGGTCGATCTGCTTCACGTAAACCTCAAGATCTTCGCAACGGAACAGTAACGGGTTTCTCGCATCGACAATCTGCACGACAAGATCGGACCGTTCAATAACTCGCCACAGCTGTCTCCAGACTTCCAGGTTGCGCTCGAACGGAGTCATAAGCAAGTCGTGGTTCTCTTGCAAATCAGCAAGACCTCTCCGCCATTCTAACAGACTCTCCCTCTCCATTGCCTCCAACTGCATCGGCGTTGTAGTCTTGTCCCACTTCGGCCGTCTCGGAACCGTCAATCGTGCTTTATTCTTCTGATGTTTTTTCACAGCCGACTTCTCTTCTGACGCAGAAAGCAAGTACGGGTTCTTCTGATCCGCATGGATGATCTTGACATTGCTCATCTTCTCCGCCGTGAAATCGGTACCCGCAAGTTCGGCGGTGCTCAGGAATTCATCGAGGGCGCCTTGTTCCGTAACACTGCGCATCTTCACCCACGCAGCCTCCTTGGCACCGGGCGTGACATAGGTCTCTCCGTTCATGTCTGTACGTGCGACGGAGGCATTGTGCGTGACTTTCTTTTGGGCTGATGCTTTGCCTTTACCAAATCGGTCTTTCATGAGGCTGTTTCCCAGCCCCACGGAGTTTTTAGACTTTGCGAGGACCATTATGGCGGTTCAATTCGTTACCGCCGTGGATAGAAAGTTATCAAAATCGATATCCTTCGCTCAAATTGAATGTGGCGAAGGGTTGTTGAGTGGAAGTTGAATTAATAATTTTTCGAGCGAAAAACCCCGCGTGGATAAGATAAGGCTGAGTCAGCGTTGATGCAGCCAGTTGATGTTCAACCAGGGTATCCCAAAACGATAACGATATATTACTACAACCTGTAAAGTACAGAGGTAGTTATTTACAATGTTTTAGTGCATCATTATCCAGCCCTAATACTGTGTTACTTCAAGGTCCTCGAGCAAACAGATTTTGAACGCCGATAAGCATCACGTGATCCATATTATCCCACTACTTTTTTTTCCCCCCTTCCCTCACCCAACACCACAGGAATAGTTACTAAAGTTACTATTCAAAGAAAATATACTTAGAATCTCTTAAAGAGACTCTTCAGAATGCCTCCTAGGAAGTGGATGTATGTGATTTCTAAATCACTTATGCAAACAACGATACTAAACAACACAGTGACAAGAAAAATGCTGCGACATACCAACTTTTCCACCGTTCCCAGCACGACCCTCTAATCCATGACCCCCAAGCTGATGACCGAGTCCTCCACCAAATCGGCGGACCAGCACTTCCCCCGTCGGATACCGCAAAGCGCGCCAAAAACCTACACGACCTCCAAGATGAATTCGGATCCGACGCCGTCCGAAAGAACGAAGGTGAAGCCGCCAACTACGGTATCTTCTACGACGACACAAAGTATGACTATATGCAGCATTTGCGCGAGTTGGGAACCGGTGGGGGTGAAGCGCATTTCGTCGAGGCTTCGTCCAAGGACAACAACAAGGGAAAGAACAAGGGGGTGAAGTTGGAGGATGCGCTGAGACAGGTGTCGCTTGATGATGGACGGAGTACGGCTGGTGGTCATAGTGCGTATGGGTCGCAGTATGGGGATATGCGGTCAACGGCTTCGTCGTTTGTTCGCAAGCCGACGTATCAGGACCAACAGAATGTTCCTGATTCGATTGCGGGGTTCAAGCCTGATATGGACCCTCGTCTGCGCGAAGCTTTGGAGGCGCTCGAGGATGAGGAATTCGTCGATGAGGAAGACGAAAACGTTTTTGGCGAGTTGACAAAGGCTGCCGAAGAGATGGAGCCAGGCGAGTGGGAAGACACCCTGTTCGATGTGGAAGAAGACGAAGATGACGACTGGGGGTCCGACGCTACAGAAAAAGCCCCGGTACAGACCGACACGACAGACATCGCGGACATAGGCGACACAGATACCGTATCGGGCGAGCTACCTGATCTCAACGAACCCATCCCAGACCAACACCCCGAAGACCAGTCTTGGATGCGCGAATTCGCTAAGTTCAAGAAAGACGCCAAATCCAAACCCGCCGGCGCCCCCGCAGCACCACCCAGCATCGTTCCTTCGGAGCAGCGCAGCACCCTCGCCTCCACTGTCTTCACAGCAGGCGGCACGCCTGTCCACCGCAAGAAGCGCAAGGGCGCCATGACCAACCCCTCCGCATACTCCATGTCATCCTCCGCAATTGCCAGAACCGAAGGTCACCGACTTCTCGACGACCGGTTCGAGAAAATGGAGGCCCTGTACGCCCTCGACGAGGAAGATGAGGAAGATTTCGACGACAGCATGTCCATGGCTAGTGGTATGACCGGCATGACAGGTATGACTGGCATGTCGACCGCCTCGTCGCAAGCACCGAACCTAGTCCAGGCAAACGGCACCGAAGTGCCCCCGGCGCATAGCTTCAACAACATCATGGATGATTTCCTTTCGGGGTGGGATAACAACACCAGCGCGCAGGTCAAGCGCAAGGGTGTAAAGATGAAGAGAGGAAAGCATGGCAACGAAGCTATTGGTATGAGAATGCTTGATGAAGTTCGGCAGGGCTTGGGACCTGCCAAGTTTAATGGGAAGGTGCCTGGTAGAGCATGAACGATTGCACGATAAGATATCATCATCGGCAGGTATTTTGGTTGGCGTTTCGGTTTAGTATAAAAAGTGATGATCAATGAATATATCAACAGCATATTATACAGTTCATCGTAGGTAGTACACAGGGTATATAGTACTCTCTTCTGCTCAAAAAGCAAAATGTAAAATTACAATGCACCCCCAACCTTCTCAACAATCCACATAGCCAACCTTACGTTCCACCCAACTCTCCGCTCCGTCCTCCTCAAATCCTCTCTCGATACCCCCTCCGCATCCTTCTGCAACCACTCAATCTCCTCGCCCATCCTCTTCTTCAAACCCTGATCATCGGTGACAACCAACGCCCCAACCTCAAGGTCTAGACTATAGCTGCGCTTGGTATAATTACTGCTTCCGACAAAAGTCAGACTAGGGTTTTCTTCTCTGGGTAAAGTCAACCAAAGACCCTTGGCATGATATGTCCACCCGCCGGATTGACCAACTGTTCCGCGGCGCCATTCTTTGAGCTGGATACTGTTTGTCCGTTGGGCGTCTGCAACCCTGTCCAGGAAGCGGGCAGAGAGGTGTGTGTAGGCTGCGGGGAGCATGCCGGATATACCCGGGGAGCCGTAGAAACCATTTGCCCAGGGTGATGCCGTTAGCACTGTACCACGGGTTGTAGAGGCAGTGTGGCAGGCAGATGTGCTGTGAATCAGGAGGGAGGAAAGAACAGGGTGGATGTTGAAGTAGCCGGCTGTGAAAAGCCACTGTGCACCGGAGAATGCAGGGGAACTGGAAAGTAGACGGAGGATGGCTGTGACTGCTGGGTATTCGGTTGATGCATCGGGTTTCAATAAGGGTGTGAATTGCGCCACGGGGTATACATATGTTTGACTTGGGGACTCTGAAATAGACGGAAGCGCAGGTTTCTCTCTTGGTTGTATAAGGGGGGTTAAGACCGTTGATGCATATTCGGTGAATTCGTCGGGATTCTCTAAAGGTGAAGGTGCCCCGTTGGCTGTTGGCCAGCTCATAAGATACCCGGTCACACTATGCAGATCGGGAAGAACCAGAAAGCTTAGCCCACAAATGGCGTGATGGATACCGCCGTAATAATCGGCGAGTTCTTTTGAGCTGAAAACATGGTATCTGTCCACGCGGTTTGTGAAATAGTCATCGGACAGGTTTGCACTATACACAGTCAGTGATGAAATCTTCCCAATCCCAAATGAGTGATACATACCCAGAAAGTATAATCTCGTCGTCAATACCATATAACTTCATATGCTGAAGCCCCCAACCCTCATTAATCCTCCGCGGGATCCATTTCTTTCTCAAACCCGTCAAATTAGGTGTATGGAACATGCGAATCTCAACCCTCTCCGACCCATGATTGGCAACTAATGAAGCCAAAAGCGAGGCGCACGAGGCCTTAGGCGTTTCCCGAGTTCCTCTCAGCGCATCCGTCAGAATCGATACCTTTAGGTCCGGATTTTCGCGAAGCGCCTGGTCCAATGTCTCAAGGAGCTCATGCTCCGCCTTCCCGATATATAACGTCGAGAAATAAACTCGTCTCTGGGCGTTGCGAATTTTGTCCTATTCACCTCGTCAACTCCAATTCCCAGAATTCTGCACACCCGCGCACCTTCAATGTACTGTAGAAGCTAGAAGGAGAGTCGAGGATCGTAATCTGTGAGGCCTGGATTTCGAACCGAGGCGCTACCCGGTCCAATTCCACGGCAACAGTGCCCAAAGGCGACGCAGATGAAGCAGTCGAGGCCATCGGCGAGCTGGTTGTATACGCGGAGAATCTGCGATCAGGGAGCTTCCTCCGCGCGACAGGCCTGCGGCCGGCACACCGAAGCGCATGCCCACCAATTCGTCTGAACATCATGGCCCGTGTAACTTTTTGCCCAGGACGACAGAACACCTTGATATGTAAGACCTGTAAGCCAATTGGACGTTGAACCTCGAAATTCTGAAGTTATCGCCAATCGTTCCGCAGGTCTGCAAACAATGCAAACAAAATCACCAGCGCTAAACTACTTCGGGCCGGCAATGGAACTCGTTGCCGCTTCTCAAGACTGCTTCAAGCACCGCAGAACGACATATCCGCCCTCTTGCACATCGCCCAGCATGTCGACTATTACTCGGACGTTGCGGAACCTCCGCAGAGTTGGTATCAAGGTTTGTATCCCCGGAATCATGGTTTTAACGTGGTGGACACTGTACTGACTTGCTCTCCCTTTACAGGACGCTGCCCACCAGATGCAGGTACGGACCCGGGAATAACAGAGAATACACATTAGGATTGAATGCTCACTCTACGGGCTTGTTTGATATAGAATATCGGTATAGTTGGAGAGTTATTACCTTGGAGAGACCCAACCCGACTGACCCGTTGCACGCACAGGTGATACCAAAGCTGGTACCCTCATCGGAACCGACCGTTACGGCAACAAGTACTTCGAGAACATGGCGGAAGAGTTGCCCCGTAAGCCTGACTTTCAGACATCCGATGACGACTGAGTTATTCCGCGAAAAGACTAATAAACGGTTTTAGTCCGGACACGATGGGTCGACTACAAGCAGAGTGAATACGACGCTTCGCAGATTGAGCCCGGCTGGTGAGCATCCTGCTTCGAAGAACATGGCTTGTGGGCTTTTTGTTTTGCTAATTAATACATATAGGCACGCTTGGATGTCCTACTTGGTCGACCAACCCCCAACCGTCGACAAGCTCATCCAGACCGGTGTCCGTCCCTGGGAATTGCCCGAGCATCGCCCTATGCTGACTCTCTCCCGTGGTGCATACAAGACCTACTCGACGTGAGTACCCTATAATAGTGTTCCGAGGATCTACGGGGTAACCCATAGCTAACGTCATGAAGCACCCGCCCCAAGGTCTCTGCCTGGACACCTATTGCTACTCCCCGGTAATGCATTTCTCGGATCTAATCAGAATGAAAATAAAAATTTGCGGGCTTTCAAGTTCCGTTTCTTCTGACAATTCGTGATATCCGTTTGGTGGAGATTTGTAAATAAGAAATTGTCATTGGTAGTTTGTTTCCATTCAAATTGTTCCGAATTACGGCATATATTCAAATTATTTATTGACAAAATCTATCGACAAGGTATCATATTCAGCCAAGAAAGATACAGAAGAAGGATATATAAAAGAAAAGAAAATACCTCTGGTAAATACAACACTATTAGACAGAATGCACACTTAAAGAACATATAGACCAGAGCCAATATTCGACCAGTGCCGGATGGGCCGTCGGTCTTCGAGTTCAATGCACCACCATAGAACCTCCTTCAACTTTTCGATCTGCCCTCCAGCTTCATAGGCCCTGGATAGAGCATACCAAGCTTCAGAGTTATCCCAAGAGCTGCCACGCTTGGTCAAAGTCGACAAGAGACCATAAGCGCGGTCGCGAGCGGCGAGACGGTTGAGGAACTTGGGTTCTTCATCTGGAGAAAGCGAAGCTGATTTGAGATCCTGAGGCTTGTGTGGCTCTGTGACACCTAGCAGACGAGCAGAGTCGCTCTGCGAGTTCTGCTTCGACGACGGTAAGAAGGAGAGTGTCGAAGCATCGTATGTCACTTCGGACTGAGGAGTTTCTGCAGGCATTGTCTGATCCCAGATGTCGAGGAGCAAGTTTGCTAGCCCGATGGTGGCTCTAGGATGATCGGGGTCACGCATCAGTGCTGTCTCGAACTGCTCTATTGCTTCATGAGGTCGCGATTGAGCTATGGAGAGATATGCTTGTTCAGCTTGGAGATCGGCCCAGAGCTCTTCGGAACTCCTGGACACACCCCAGCCCCGGTTGCTGAAGGATTTGGCGGATGCGTTCTGTGCTGCAACAAGTGCATCTATGCGGCTGAGTTGCTTGGAAGCCTCTTCGCATGCTTCCTGTGCGTCGTCGAATAATGATGCTCGTCGGTAAAGCCCAGCAATGAGGAGCCAGATCTTGACGAGGACCCCAAGTGCGTGTTTCTGGGCTTGGGAAATGGGGAATCTAGTTACTGCACTTGTGGGTGAGTCGAATCTGTAAGAGGTCGGCAGTCGAACGTCTTGCTCAGGCGGCTGTTTCGGATGCCCAGAGGGGTAAGGCTGGTGCGTGTGCTTCATGTTGTGAGCAATAGGCCAGAGAGGTTGTTTGGCGCTCTGATCAGATGACGGAACGGCTTCAGACACTGCAATTCCAACTGTGTGCTGGTGATTGGCCTCTTTCTGAGTTTGCTGTGCTGTCCCGATATCAGATGCTTCCGGTATCCCCTCCCCATTCGCCATAAAATCATGTTTTGGAAGGTTTTCAGGCTTCTTAACGCTACTGGCACGCCTTCTAAATTTCTGCTTCACCGAGTCCGACTTTCCTACTCCCTGTCCACTAGAATCAGGGGGATTTGTATCCTCGTCTGTGACCTGAATGGAGGGCGCTCCTTCAGCGCCATGGGGCTGCTCTCTTGCGCCGTTTGTGGTGTGATCACCTCCAGACTCCAACCTCCGTTCTGGCAGACGGGATACCCTGTTCCGTGAAAATATGCTACCACGGAAAGTTTTCACGGTTCCAGCGGAGCTTTTCGGTGGAATGAGATGATCTGTCTGGTTGGTCTTCACATTTTTGCTACTGCCTTCACCCTCCAATTCGAGATTTTGGAATAGAGTGGCGAAAAGACTGAGGAGCTGATGGCTATGGTTAACAGCAGCCTCTGGACCCTCCATGATCTCAACAAATGCAAGTTGCGTCACGCGCGTCTCGATAATACGCTCTTTCTCCCGGCCTCGCAACTGATCAACTAGGGCGTGCTTAAGATCTGATGCATCGAGTTGAACGTCCAGATGCTGTTTTTGCGAGCGTTTATCATGCGATGTAACAGCAGTTGGGAACTGCTCAAATGCGGTTTCGCATGAACGCTCAGCCATGGCAAAATCATGCTTTGCACTCAGCAGAAGCGCGAGAAGATGCCATAAGGACACTAGATCCCGTGCCCTTGCGAGGTCTGCCTGATTGGTAGGATGGGTGTTGGATGTAAGTGCTGATTTGACGTAGTCGATTGCACCATCCAGATCACGATCTTCCGCCAGCACAAGGGCAAGAGTGTATAGTGATGAGTAGTTCAACTCATCTTCCAGTTCTGGAGCAATGCTTCTTTCTAGATATTCAATTGCTTCGGCTCGAATGTCATCCCGAGCCTCGTTTATTGGCGTCCAGTAAGCCCAGTTCGCAAGTCCGACACCGATAGCCCTGTATGCCATGGCAAGGACTGCAGGAGGGACGTCCCCGGAATATGGCGGGTTTGTTTTTTGCCCAGCAGGCTGCTGGTCACTTCCCTGGCCACTGGCGCTTTCCTGAGCATGCCTATCAACGACCTTCTGGATGAGTGCGACCAAATCCTTCGCTTTCTCCGCTTCCCTTTCTGAGCCAAAGCAGCACAGCATGCTAACTCCTTCAGAGAGAGTTCTCAATAAAGTGCTGTCGTCCTCGAGTTCGCCCGATTCTGCTGCTTTTTCCGCGCGCTCTTTGGCACTAATGACAATCTCTATGTACGAGTCGAGAGCTTTGAGCGCGAGATCGAATTCCGCCACTGCAGAGTGGACGTGGAACAGGCGTCGAAGAATCAAGTGGGAGTGGTACGTCTTAGTAGCAGCACGGTATAAAATCTAATACAATGCTTTTTAGTACGCACGGAGTTGGCCCGTAGGAATGGCTTTAGCACTTACATCAAGAACATTCCGTGAAACAGCACTTTGGCCTCCTTCCCCGAGATCTTCATCCCGCCAGTGGCCCCCACAGAGTACTTCCCAATTCGCAATTATTTGCTCAACCCACTCCTCAACTTGCGAATTCGTGCTATTTGCTGTGGGAAACATGACACTTTGTAGGAGATTCGCTTCATAAATCGACTCCACACGGCGCAATTCGCTAGCAAGCTGAGGGCGTTCAGGTTCGCTAGTCGCAGGTACATATGGTAGGCCATGTTGCAGGATAGCTGTCAAGGAATCGTAATATGATTTCCAGGTAGCGAGCTTCTGCCCTTGGGAAGAGGATGGTTGTTTTGCGACGGGATGCGCAGACCATAATCGGAATGAAGTCAAGGCAGTTCCCATCAACTTATCGTCGACAACGACGGTATTAGCGCATATTTGATCGCCGGTTAACTGTGCACTCTTCCCTAGAAGCTTCTCGGTCCAATATGAAAACTGAGGGGTACTCGAGAATGTCTGACTATGGCTACTCAGCCACGGCGTGAGCGAGCTGATTGCCTCCAGTGCATCATTAGGTTTCGAATCCGCGGATAGCCCAGCACCTAGTCCGTAGTCAGACAAAGGCTATTCAACTTTATAATATGACCAAGCACTCACTTTTAAAGTAACACCCCTTGACGAGACATACTCGTGTCCATGAGGAAGGCTCTTGGCCATTGTCCGAGATGCTGTTCACCGTCTCTCCAAAGTCGTTCGGCAGACGAGATGCTGCTATCCCCGCTTCATTGAGTGTATAATGTATCCAACCCAGACAAGCTTGTGTTTGGAGTATCTCCTGCGGTGACGCATCCGGTTTCTCAACAATCGACAAGAGCGAGGGTACTAATTCGTGTAGATTGAACGAAGACGATTGAGCGGTCGACGGCCGTTCCTTATCATGCGCAGCAACCTTGGATTCGGCCCTAGCGACCTCTAGGTAGTCTGTGATATGCCATATTAGTTTTGCCCTCGGTCATCAGGTAAAGGGAACTTGAGAAAGTACATGTCTTGTGAGGTGCATGCTTGGTCACCTTTCGGATCAATTCAGGGACTTCATCCCATCTGTCCTGGCATCGTGCCGTATCCAGGGCAGAAATATACCGCTGCGCCTTCTCCGAATCACCCTATGGACACATGTCAATGGACTCCTGTTCCCCCAATGAAGGCTTGGAACACGTAGCTATGCCTCGGGGAAACTCACAGTCATGGCGGCGTAGAATCAAAGATACAATAAGACTCTGGAGGTTGGGATGGTGAAGAAGAAAACATCTATCCCAAGCATGCCCATCCAAGGCTCAAGGACCGTTAATATTCAGATTGCTTTCAATGAGGCTTCACTATTTCAATGTCCAACTCTCGCTGATTGCCGCGGCCAGGGGAGGGGATGACTAAGTTCACCGCCCAGTTTATCGTATCGTACTGTATCGTATCGGTATTACCGATGGCAGGTTCACATGTGGTCGTGTGGTCCGAGCTTCTGCCAAAAATTATTCTACCTTTTTTTTTTTTTTTTTTTTTTTTTTTTTTTTTTTTTTTTTTTTTTTTTGCGAGCCCTTAGCCAGACAGAGGGAAATACAAGGAGACAATTGATTGCTTACTTTCTTGTTACAACAGCCATTGAGCAAGGCAACAACCATCGCCCCTCACGATATAATGGCGACAATGTCTTTGCGCGCGGTCACGCATCGCTTGACCACTACGCCCGTTCAACAATTACCTCCAATTGCTTCATTTTTGGCGACATCACTAAGCGACTGCGGAGAGCTTTTGTCTGCGCCTCAGAACCAGAAGACTGGAAAGTCTGATTCTGACAATGCGATTCAGATTCATAAGCTCAAGACTCGTCTCGGGAGTCTGTTGCAGGACAGGAGCTTCGAAGGCCGATGGACTGGTGTTGTGCTGGTGAAAGCGACTGTGGAAGCTGGACAATGGGAGGTTCTCCGTGGATGCGAACCTTTGGTGCGCAGTCTGATTGCAATTTTGGCGGTAGGTCTTGACATGGAGATTGGCTGAGAGTGCGGTTGATGCTGACTTGGTTCTAGAAACAGGACCCCGTCACCACGAAGAAGATGTGCATTATTACATTGACGCGCATATTTCACCTTACTTACCAATACCCTACGCTTGTTCGCGAGATTACGACCCCGTCGCTCCCGGGTTTCATCACATCCATTCTGAATCTTGTGTCCGTTAAGCCATCCTCCGAACCGATCAGAAAGTTGCGACCCAGCACACCATTCCTAGAAATTGCCCTGCATGTGATCTTGGAGCTGATTGCGAGACATCCAACAACTTTCCGTCCATTCTCTGCGCAAATTCACAGCTTGCTTCAGGCGATCATTGGCTCTACCTCACCTACATACCCCAAACCAGTGATGGAACTTGCGCAGCGATTATTCATTTCTCTGCACAACTGCGCGCCGAAGAACGCTGCCGGAGATGAATGGAGGAATGCGAACTTGTTGACAATCTCGTCCATCCATAGAACATCAGACTACGTCTTCAGAAGTATCATCGAACAGTGGGAATCCGTGGATCCGAATTTGCGACAAGCTGCAGCACCGCAAGATTACACTCAGGAGGTAGGCGATGATGGACCAGACCCCTTGGGGTTGTCTGGATGGCGTGGGATCCACTCTGGTGTTGATAGGATACTTGCGCTTTTGCGACTTCTATCTACTTTCTTCTCGACACCTACAGCTTCAGCAGTTTCTATCCCTGTGGGCCAGATTTTGGATTTGACATCACGCCTGACATCGGTCATCGTGCCAAACGAAAGTGGGGGTGTTCAGGCTAACTCACAAATCAGTCGGGAAGAGAGAGAAAGTCTGTGGACAGAGCTTCCTCGCATTCACGCTGCCTGTATGAAGCTCCTCGTGAGTGCTATGAATGCCCTGGAGACCGGCACCATGTCCGTTGCGCAGACAATCCTTGAGCAAGCAACTTGGGTCTTCCGCGCCGAGAAGTTCAGCAGGAAGGTTCGTGTGTCTATGTATAACCTGGTCCGTTCTTTGCTGCCAATCGTGGGCCCATCCATGACGAAGCAGGCTGTTTCTTCCCTGACGGATCTATTCCAAACTTGCTGCGTTGACCTCCTGCCGCCAGCCGATGATACAAATCCCTCTGCAGGATCATCTACCGATGCAAAGGGGAAGTCAAAGGCCAACCAAGTCGCCGTGAACGCAGACTCGTTCTTGAATTCCGGAAAACAAGTCCGCCAAGTCAAGCAGGGTCCTTTGTTCCCTGAACTCAAGCGCGCTGCATCAGAACTGCTCCCCATCATTCTCACATATGTCCCGACGGAGCTTCTCGTGCCCTCCCTACGGGGTGAAATTGACCGTAAAATCATCCTGACAGCGGACAAGAACGCCATGATTTCCAGTGTTTTGAACCCACTTCCTGCCGCGAGAGGCCGCGGAGCAGGGTCCAGCATCATACCATTTTTGGCCCGAAGCTACGCGGACGAGATGGAGGTGGAGGGTTTGATTAGACCCAGGATGCCCGTGTTGATGAGCACACCTGATCTGAACGGCAATGTTGTCGTTGATGAGGACGAAGACGAGGATGAAGATATGTCTGTGTCTGCGTATCAGCCTACCACTCAGAGCACCGGTTTCCTCAGAACGTCTCCCCCATCTGCGGCCCTTTCGTCCCAGACAACAAGCGTTGAAACTTTCCAGACATCCACGCCCGCACCCTCTCTGAACAAACGAGTCTACGAGGAGCCCACTCCCCAGGCTCCCGTGGCACAACCCGCAGAAAAGAAAGAAGACGCACAAGTCAAACGAGCACGCTTCGAAGATGATACCATCGCTGCCCCAACCAAACCATCCTTGGCGAAAGAATCACCGGCTACTTTCACAGGCACGGCCGCTATCCCTGTGGAACAGTCCTCGGTGACAACTACGTCAACGCCTCAATCTGTGCAGACTGCAGCTCCTTTCCCAAAGCCGGTACCCGCGACTACCCCCGTGAAGATATCTGCTGCAAATGAGACAGAGGAAAGTGATGATGAAATGCCAACCTTGAACATGGAGCCAGACACTGATGATGATGATGATGAAGAGATGGATGGGTAAATATATTTGCAAATAAAAATTTATATATCAAAAGCGTTATAAACAACAAGTTCTATATTCTGTCTATATGCTATATCAAAAGGCGTATCTTCACATTTCATAGAACCTGCAGCCCACTCTCCCACCACTGTTCACCCCTAATCCGCCGAAACCATGGCTCCTTCCAACACCACCACCCCTCTCCTTGAACACCCAGGTCTAATCCACGAATTGGACTAACAGGTATAGGCTCAGTAGTCCACATACCACCCCTTGCAAAGTCATCCGCAGCATATCCTCCCGTAGTCGTAAGCCAAAAGTACACGAACAAGGCGTTCCCGGTCCAACGTAGCCATCGGGGTAACTTGTATGGAAGCACGGATGGCAAGATGATCCTCTTGAATGTATCTTCGATAGTGATGCCAACGGCCTGTAGGATAAAGAACATAAACGGGCCGAGTGGCCTCGTATCTCCCAGTTGGGTATAACTCCCAAAAGCATGAAGGAGTCCACTAAGAGAAAATGCGACGAATGCGATGACAGCGCGCCGGATATTGTTATTTGTCGCTAGTCGTTGTGGTAATAGAGATAAAATCCAACGACCTGCATTCGTGAATCCGACACGGAATAGTTGATGCCACCATCGGCCCCAGCATCCAGCAAGACCGTGTTCCAGCGCAGATTTGAAGAATGGGCCAAAGGTATCCGTGTAGAGCCAAGGAGCGTCGAGAGGGACGGATGTTATAGCCCGTGCAAAGTTCGGAAAGGCAACAGATAGTCCAAGGAATATCGGTGGACCGAACGAGGTTCCATAACTCAGGGCAATATAAACGCCATATCCTGTCAACATATGACGGTATAAAGTGATGCCGCTTGGGATGTCGCTAAGATAGTTGAACGGAAATGGCGGTGGTATACCAGGTGACGCCATGCCTATAAAATAAGGGTCTCGCATCATGAGGACTTTGACGAAATCTAAGAGGAGGTACGACTTCACAAAGGATGCAAATGCAATCTTCAGGCGGGTCCTAGCATCCAGGACTTCAGAGTCGTTCAGTTCCCGTGAGGTATCCCGCTTCCCTGGGTTTAATTGAGCGTTAACAGATGCCGGGAGCGGTCCCATGGTAGAAACGCGCCAGTTCCATTGAGGGCCTCTCATGTTGCTCAATAGGTCGAATGCCCAATTGAGACGGTGTAGAAAGGACTGGGGATATGCCTGCCATATAAGCACTTCTTTCTGACTCTTAGGCTCTCCATATCCCTGTCTCTTTGCAGAATCATTATTGGGCCCTGGGTTATATGTCGGGGTCGGGCCACCGTCGGAGCCACTGGTTTGTACATCGCAGCTGTCTACATCACCATCCTTGTCCATATCGATAAACCCAGAATCTTCAGGTCCCACATTTGCTGGAGCAGTTCGTCTCTCAATCCGTTTGAATTTCTTCTCCACATCATTGAATATAAGCAGTGTTGCGCACCAGATAACCCAGTATGTCGTCAGCACACCCAGCATATAGCCATTCGCACCCAGCTGTGACCGTCTGTATTTGATCAAATCAAACGCCACACCGAGAATCAAAGCGAAAATTGATCTCCGTATAAATCTTGAGCCATCATAATGGAGCACAAGCAATGCCGATAGCGGAAGACCAAACAGTACAAGCATATGCCACAGGAAGAAGGGCTTGGTATCGCCATGTTCGGTTAACGTGTCCAATCGGTCATGGAAGCGCTGAGCGAGTGTATTGTAGGATACAGGGTTCGTATGGCTCATCAGGGATAGCTGATATATTCGGAGTATTTGCGCCTTGGATGCCGGGATACTTTTCACTTTATATATGTGTAGCGAGACATCCAAGCATGACGTTGAGTTCTCAAACCGAAAGTCGCACAGCTATAAATAACATTTCAATCACACTCAAGCAAGGAATAGAAAAAAAACCGACGATTCACAGTATAATAAGATGAATAAACCAGTGTTTTGTACATTTTCTCGTTGGCGATGGCAATATGCGGTGACGTCTTCTCTTAGCAAATCAGGTATGGCGTTGAATAATCACATGATATCGCGTTTTAGCGCGATACGCACCGCAACCGCGCTAATCCCGATCCGGTGGCGCTTATACTGATCACATTGGCGTCGCGAAAAGAAAAGTAGAACTTTCTTCAAGATCTGTCACTTCTTGCAGTGGGCGTAAGCAGTCATGGTGCTGACTATTGGAAAGCGTGATATCGAACATGTTGATCTGACTGGCGATGATGATAGATATGCGCGCGCTCAGAAAGCCAGCCGTATCGCTCGTGAGCAACCAGTCTTAAGCCTGGACGATGAAGTACAGGTTATGCCCTCGTTTCAGCTTTCGCAGTCCTTTACACAGGATGCACAGGAAGGGGAAGATGATGAGGCGACGGATTTAGTTCAAGGAAGCCAGGATATTGACTATACCAACGCTTATATGCTCTATGGTATGTATTCAAAGTGGGCAACTCGAAAGAAACTAATTTAAATTAGGTCATATGCCTACTAAGATTGTTGGTGTCCGCTTCTACAATGGCCAGGCCACGATTGGCGAGCGAGTGCTTCTACTGCGAGAACCCAATAATCCCTATGATCGGAATGCCATTCAAGTCAAGAATGTTATGGGTGACCAAGTTGGCCATATCGGGCGTAAAGTTGCAGCAAAGCTAGCCACATATATGGTAAGATAGTCTTCTCAAACGACACTGGTATATATTCCGTTAACTGCTTCATCTAGGACGCCAGGGAGCTTCTTGTTGAGGGCTTGTTGACTGGAATCAAAGGGGCTTATGATTGCCCAATTTCTTTGAGCTTATTCGGAACGAGCGATACTTCTAAAAGACAGGAGCTGCAATTGAGAATGGAACGTGACAGGCTTCCCGTGACTGAGGTGAAAAGGACAGAGCGAGAGGAAGACAAACAGCGGCGAAAACAACTCCAGCAGGAGCTCAAAAGCAAAGGCAGACCTGGTGAGAGCATGGACATGCTCGTCAACCAGAGTATAATCTTCAACCCTCGGGATGTCAACAAAGTCGTTGAGGAATTCGGTCTCAATGAATCGGATCTGGCAAACATGCCAATGGCTGAAAGCCCCACAGCTTTGGCGACTGAACTTCTTCACTACCAGCGTCAAGGATTGGCTTGGATGATCAGCAAAGAATTACCGGTTCTGCCTTCACCTGGGTCTGACACTGTAGAACAGCTTTGGAAGAGGAAGGGAAACTATTTCACGAATATCGCCACTAACTATACTACGTCTACAGTACCTCCGTTGGCTAGTGGTGGTATATTGGCCGACGATATGGGCTTGGGAAAGACTATTCAGATAATTTCTTTGATTATGGCTAACTCTCAGCCCAAGACCCCAGAATCATCCGCATCCACCTTGATTATATCTCCTGTGAGTGTGATGAGCAATTGGAAGAACCAAATTGAGCTCCATACCAAGAAAGAGCATACTCCGCGAGTGCTGATTTACCATGGCGCTGGCAAGAAGGAGGCTGCGAACCTCAGCGAGTATGATGTGGTTATCACGAGTTACGGCGCCCTGGCCATGGAATACAATGAAAATTCTGATGTATCACCAAAAAGTGGTATTTTCTCGGTCTACTGGCGCCGTGCTGTTCTTGATGAGGGTCACACAATCCGCAACCCACGGTCTAAAGGTGCTCTGGCCGCTTGCAATCTGCGATCGGGCTCTCGCTGGACATTGACCGGAACGCCGATTATAAACACATTGAAAGATTTATACTCACAAGTTCGCTTCCTTAGACTCTCCGGCGGTCTAGAAGATGTGGCGGTTTTCAACAGTACTTTGATCCGGCCCCTTTCGCGCGAAGACCCTGACGCGCGTTTACTTCTCCAAGCACTCATGGCTACTATTTGTTTGCGGCGTCGGAAGGATATGAACTTCATCAATCTGCGCCTGCCTCCCCTCACTTCTCGTGTTTTCCGTGTTAAATTCCATGCCCACGAGAAAGAGAAGTACGATATGTTCTTGTATGTATTCAAAAATTCCTCATGTTATCAACTAACGCATATTTACAAGATGACAGATCCGAAGCGAGAGGTGTGCTCTTAAATTTCAAGGCCAAGGAACAAACCAAAGAGTCTACCTACTCGCATGTACTGGAAGTCATTCTCCGCCTGCGTCAAGTTTGCAACCATTGGACGCTATGCAAAAATCGTGTCGACAAACTGACTAGTCTTCTGGACAAGCATAAGGTCATCCCATTGACCCCTGAGAACATCAAAGCGCTCCAGGATATGCTGCAGGTTCGGATTGAGAGCCAGGAGACATGCGCTATTTGCCTTGAGATTTTGGAACAGCCTATAATCACCGCTTGCGGTCATGCTTTTGACCGCTGCTGCATCGAGAAAGTCGTCGAAAGGCAGCATAAATGTCCTATGTGTCGTTCCGAAATCAAGGACGCGTCCACCCTGGTCTCCCCTGCGGCTGAGTTGGGCGAAGATGCAGACTCCGCCGTCGGGGCCCCGGACGATCCCAGCAGTAAAATCGAAGCACTCATTAAAATCCTAACAGCACAGGGACAGGTCCCTGATACCAGAACAGTAGTTTTCAGTCAGTGGACATCTTTCCTGGACATTGTCGAACCGCATCTCAGAGCAAACGGAATCGGATTTGCTCGTATCGACGGCAGAATGGACTCCATCAAGCGCGACCAGTCAACGCGCACCTTCTCCAACGATCCCAACTGCAAAGTTCTTCTCGCCAGTTTGAGCGTCTGCAGCGTTGGATTAAACCTAGTCGCTGCTAACCAGGCCATTCTCGCAGACAGCTGGTGGGCTCCAGCCATCGAGGACCAGGCTGTGGATCGTGTTTACCGCTTGGGCCAGACGCGTGAGACGAGCGTCTGGCGTCTTATCATGGAAGAGAGTATCGAGGATCGCGTGTTGGACAGACAGGAGGAGAAGCGGAAGCTGATGCTTGATACATTCCGGGAGACGGCTAAAAAGAAGAAGGGCGAGGACAGGGCTACTAGGATTGCTGAGCTTGAGCAGCTTCTTGCATAATTTCTCCTTCATCTAGGTCCCATTTTGCTTACTTTCTTGCCTATCTTCATTTCATGTTAATATGTATTACGAGCCCTGTTGTTAATTTGTTGATGAGTCGGACCCTGGATGGTCTATGAAATGCCAATAGCTTTCGTTATTCACGTCAAGATTATCAAAATTCGTATTCACCTCTTGCCTTTGTTTCTCAATCTCAAAAAACTTGCGATTGATATGGTCTGTCAACTCCTGGTATCTACTATGATTCTCATGATTCAATAAGTCCTCGATGGTCTAGTGGTCATGATTTCCGCTTGTCAGCTTAACAACTGCAAGCGCGGGAGACCTGGGTTCGATTCCCAGTCGGGGAGTCCTTTTTTTGATTTTTCTTCAATCCATTTCCCACCTCTTTTTCCCTACATTATTTTTGCCATTAAGATACGTATGGAGTAGGATTGAGATTCTTGCTGTCGGAAAGCATTTAAACGTATATATACCCATAAAACATGACGCTTGAGTCATAAATCGTAACAATATATTTAACTGGCGTGAGAAGGAAAATGGATAAGTGATTTGACAAGAATATAGGGCTGTTCACAAAAGAAAAGAGAAAAAAGAATCGAAAAGAACAAAACAAATTTTCGCCTGAAGGATCAAATAAAGAGTTCACTGAGTGTTGCAATTGGTCTCCTTTATTTTGGTCGGTTCTGCATTGTTGTTAATCGCAGGCCTTTCTGGTGGGCTTCCGAAAGTCTGCTCATCCTCAGAATCGGCACCATCAATCGACATTGCACGAATTTTGGTGCTTGCTGCATCATCGTTCTTTCCAGATTGATTTGATGCAACCGATAGTGGATTCAGACCTTGAGACATGTCAGCGTTCGATGGTGGCGGTGGGCGTTGTTGCGGAGTAGACCCTGCGGTTGAAGTTGTGGTATTGCCGGAAGTCCGTGAATGCGCATGTGATGACGGTGTAGGAAAAAAAACTGCTACTATTTGCAGGAGAGGTCGGAGCTGGTCGAGAGATGCTTGTGTCCGGCGGCAAAGGACGCGGGCCAACATTGTGCGACAGCTGCGGCAGATGAGGATGATGTGGCAGGCTCGGATGTGCGGTCCCCTTCTGATCGAAGTGATATTGGTTCGGTTGGTTCGCTTGAACCTGAGCTTTGGCCGCCAACAAAGCTGCTTGTTTTGCCTGCCGTTTTGATTCTCTTTGGGTCATCAAGGCTTGATATGCACGGGGATCTGTGCGTCGAAGACGTTCGTCGCTTGGATGCATCTGGACGCCTTGCTTTTCTTCCTCAGTGAGATTGTCGTTGTCTTCTCTTTGTAAGGTTTCCGTAAAAGTGATATTTCGAATTATTCTCCCAGGTCCGTTGTCGCTCTCGATAATCTTGTCGAGAACAAGGGGATCCTTGCCCATGAATTCGGTGAGATCCTTCTGAGGAACGGAACCCGCTGGTTTAAGGTATTCCCCTACGGATTTGTTTGCCCAGCGGACTGGGTCCTTCTTGTCGACCACGCGATTAGCCAGGTGGCTCTTGAAGATCGCTTTCCCGAAGAATTTTTTCTTCGAAGGTGCCACCAGAAATGAACCTGTAGACAAACACAGGCTTTTGTTGACCTAAACGGTAAACACGTCTCACCGCCTGTTCTTCCCAGACTGGGTTGAATGGTCTTCCGTGTTTAGTATCTCGTTCCTCATCATCTATCTCTTGCCATGTATCCTCATCGTACTCGCCTTTAGAGCTAGACTCACCGTATACTGGGCAAACTTCGTCTGGAACATCTTTTTCAACGGGGTACTTCTGGAGGAGATAAGCAAACGGAACAGATGGGCTCAGGCCCTCTGCTGGATCCTGTGATTTACGAAGCAACGGCCATTTGTCCGTGTTCTCCTGGCTAACAATGACTTTGCCATTTCTCGAAGTATATAACGTGAAACATCTCCGCATCTCTTCGCCCCACGCTCTATAGGGTATGACGGCCCATTGTTCCTTTCCCTTCTCACAAGGTAGTTTAATGGGATGCTGTTTGTAAAAATAGTTAAGGGACTTGTTCACGAAAAGACGCCGAGCTGTAGGAAACTTTGGGCCAAGCATGACAAAGGTTTGATCACTGTCCTCAGAACTGAACGGATAAAACAGCTGAGAGGATTGGACTTTGTGTGGGCCCATATACCACTCCTTGTCCTCCCACCCATCTTCAGGCTTGGAGCTGTCATTCTTTCGGATGATTTCCTGGCCTTGCAACAAGGGTTCTATCCTCCGTCGCTTACGGCATTCGCCATCGACGACGGCAGACTCGTGAACACAACCCTCGCTGTCACCGTCAGTTGCAAGTTCACTGCGTTTCCTATTTCTAAAGCTTTCTCTGCGTGAAGGAGGGGGATGCTCTGCTTGTTTTACTCTCAAAACACCGAGTCCAGAAACTGGAGGTGTCATCATGTGGGGGTTGGAGGAAACTCGCGTTGAGGAGTTCCAACATAAGGAATAGACATTTGATCCAGGTAAGAGACAACCGAGGAGACATCACGGCTATCTTCAGACCGAAGCTTTGATTTCTCCTGGGTACTCTGATACTTAAAAGATCTTTTCCGAAGATAGTGTATTGCCCTGGTAACCGACGATCGGTGCCCAAAAGCTTTCATTCCCAAGTCATCATGTAAGACTTTCAGATCGATATCATGCAAGAGGACTTCTCCCGTGATGAAATTGTCTCGTAGCGCGGCTTCGAATGCGATAGGGCCCGGGCGAATCCTCACGACTGAGTTGGACCATGGCGCCTGGGGATTATGACAGAGAAATTCGACTACCTCATCGAGCGTCCAGTCGAGCGGATCCCTGTCGTCAGTTGTCATTATCCTAGTAAATCTGAAAGGTTAGCGCTTGGCCTGCCAAAGTAAGTTTTGCTTGCCATTATATTCCAATACTAGGACTATGATGTTATCCCAAGGAACAAGCACTCAAATCCGCATTTCTTTTCTTTTTCTTTTCTTTTCTTCTTTTTAAAAAAAAAATAAAAATAAAAATAAAAATAAAAAAAAATTGAAAAACTGAAAAGACCATAGGTCAAGAAATAAATGGTAAGGTAGAAATGTTGTCATATAAGAATATAAACGCCGAGGGGTAACACCGGAGTAACGGTTATGGAACTAAAATACCAGTAATAAAGACAGAACAACAAAGAAAAAATGATAAAAAGGGAAAGGGTGTGCTAACGATGCTACCTCACCAAAAGACTAGACGGTAGCATGACGCGCAGCGACAACGATAACGCGAGGGCGTCGAGAAAAGTCACGGTGGATGCGATGATATTGATAATTTTGCCATTAAGGGAAGGCGGTGCCTGAGGCGGTATTGCAACACCCAATGCGAGCTTATTAGTCATCTTCCAAGCATCACGTTTGACCCCGCTCATGTCGAGAAGACCGTCCTTGATACCGATGAGAAGGCTCGTTTCGGCGATTGAGACTGGATCATTGGAGTGAAGGTATTGCTGTCAGCTATCTATTAATACTCAAGTTCTAGGCAGACATGGATAATACCGTCTATTCGAGCTACCCGCCGCAGCTGGACCCCGCCCAGGAGGCATATTTGGTGACGACAATCAAGGACTGGGCAATTCAGAATGGCCTGACAGTTCGTCCTCAGCAAAGCTTCGTGCCCAGGGAGACAGATCCTAAGGGAGTCCTGGCAACAAATGCTCCGGTGACGCTGTTTCCGAGTCCATTTCCGAGATCCTGTTTCGAGGAGGCGAGAGCATTGCAGACTGTCTATAACCAGCTCTATGCGGCCATAACATGTGATGAAGCATGGCTGGGGAAGATCATGGAAGAGTAAGACACGTGCGATTGTTTATTTTAGAAATTCCGGCTTGTATATACGTGGAATGCCAACTAAGATCACATCCTCCGTAGTCTCATTGACGTGGACGACTTTATCTCGCATCTGTGGAAGGTCCATCTTGCGGTGCAGAAAGAAGGATATGCCCAAAAATTGTCCCTTGGTCTTTATCGGTCCGATTACATGGCCAACATTCCCTCCAATGCGAGTGCGTCTTTGAAGCAGGTGGAATTCAACACCATTTCATCATCTTTCGGTGGGTTATCTTCGCGCGTGACGTCGCTACACACGGAGCTTCTGCGTACTCCTGGGTATCCACCTCATCCTTTGCTCGATTCGTCAGTACCCCCGGAAAACACGGCTATCGAGACGCTATCCGCGGGCCTGGCGGTAGCGCACAAGAGCTATGGCCCGTCCAAGTCCGCGCCGGCTCTTCCATTGTGCATTCTGTTCCTTGTACAGGAGGACGAGCGGAATCTTTTTGACCAATTAGCACTTCTGCAGCAGCTCACCAGAGTGCACAAGGTGCCTGTTTTCCGACTCCAGAGCACTGAAATTCTGAATCAGACGTCAATTCCTAGCTCCAATTCAGCTCGCCCCTTGATATACCACCCACCCCAATCCCCCGGTACACAATACGAGGTGACAACAGCGTATCTGCGGTGTTTCTACGCCCCGAGCGAATACAAATCCGAGCGTGACTGGGAGGCCCGGACACACCTCGAGCGTTCAGCCGCAATCAAATGTCCCACAGTTCTAAACCAACTGAGTGGAAGCAAAATCGTACAACAGGTTCTAGCCGAAACTACTGGCCCCGACCACCTTGCTAAGTTCCTGGCTGGCACGGATCCGGACACGATTTCAAGGCTCCGTGCAACATTTGCCCCTCAGTACGACCTTTCCTCCAGCGGGCGGGGCCGGGAGCTTGCTCTCAACCCAGAAACAGCAGCGAACCATGTCCTGAAGCCACAGCGCGAGGGCGGCGGTAATAACATTTACAAGACCGATATCCCTGATTTCCTGCGTTCGATTCCCGAATCGGACTGGAAACGATGGATTTTGATGGAGCTGATCCACCCCCCTGCCAGTGCCAAGAACGTTGCTTTACGGAGCGATGGTGAGGTTCTTGGGGACAATGTCATTAGCGAGTTAGGCATCTACGGGACTATTTTGTGGGATCAGGAGGGAGGAAATGTCCTTTGCAATGAGCAAGGAGGGTATTTACTGAGGACCAAGGCAAAGGATGTTAATGAGGGAGGAGTCGCGACTGGATTTTCTAGTTTAGACAGCATTGTTTTGTTTTAGGTACCCTTTGCATTTAAATAGATTAACCATTAAACCAGTACACTACATTAGTATTACACTTGAATCAGTATTACACTTGAATCATCAAGAGTCACTGCAGTCTGTTAGAACAGCTCGAATATCCACCACCACCAGTAAACCAACCTCTATAACGCCTTCATAAAACCTCCATAGCCCTAAAATAAAAATAAAGAAGCAGTTAGCACCGGTAATAATTGTACATTCTCATCTTGGTAAGGATCGGTCATCGTCTAACCCTGGTTGACATGGATCTGGCCAAGTTCAATCCGTCTCACCAAGGCTGTTTCGGCTGCAGGGCTGTCTTCGACGGCTATGGAATAATTAGCATCAATTCCCACAACGAAGGAAACGGAAAACGAGAAATAAAGAAAAGTTACCTCGACCACCCTCTTTATACCAAGCAAAGGTATGCTTCGCGAAAGACTTCGCCTCCTTCTCCTTCGAGTCCTTCGACTCACTCCACTGCTTTGGAAACTCATTGGCCGGCAAAAGCTGCCAAGAGCGACAGTTCAATTCCTGCGCCTTGACTGCGAGTTGATTGTACAGGTTGAAAGTCTGTTTCAATCGATCACCGAGAGTATGGGACGTCTCACCTGGTTCCAAGAACGTGTTGAGCGCATAAATCGGTTGGTTGCGAGTTGTGTAGACGAGACCGTTCTCAGTACGGATAAGGCCGCGCTTACGCAGAGCAACAGGCCGACCGAGAGAGTTGTGCAGGACTTTCATGGTCGTGTTGTAGGAGATCTCGTCGACGGAGCGGTGCTCGACACGACCGACTTCCATGCGGGTGAGTGGGTTGCGACGCCTGCTCCAACAGGAGAGAGTTAGTGGACCGCGGGCCTCGCGTTCTCTGCGCATGTTCAGAGTATTCTCTGAAGTTCTTTCCTTGGGGATTGGGGCCGTCATACGCGATCTGATATCCTTGTATGTGAGCCGGGAGTCAGTTCGGGACCAGTATTCGAGCAACCACCCCGGGACGTCGATGGAAATATACCGGGGGAGGAACGGGAAGTCGCGAATAGGTTTACCTTCCCAATCGAGGACTTTGGTGCCGTTTTCAATGAGGTCTTCGACTTCGCCCAGGTAACCGATCTCTTTCTGCTCGAGGGCGAACAGGATGGGAGGTAAGTCTGTGGCGCTGTAGGATGAGTGGTGGGAGTGCTCGCATGTGTGGTATTGGTCCGGGGTTGTAGTGTCTGTTAAAAACTTGTTAGTATATTACTTTAGGTTAAGGAGCTGGGGGACGGGTATACTCACGAGGACAAGGGATGGTATTTCTGATCAACGAAGGATTCATTTCGTCTTGTTTTTCAGTGTTGACTGTTATTGTAGCGTTAGGATGCTGGCTTTTTGTAAGTATGCTGAAGACACTATGGTAGAGAACTGGATAGCTAAATTTATCGTAGAGAGATGGCAGTATTTATGCTTCTCTTGCAGTTCCCAATATTGTTATTAAACAAAGCTCTTCGACAGTATCAAATCCGGGAATATCCCATTATTCGGAACATAGCTATGTCCTGTATAGCAGCAGTAGCAAACAATTTACCTTGTTTTGTCACTGATTGGACACAAATCAGCGGGATATGCCCTTGTATGGACAAAGAAATATCAAAATGCCTTATATTTGCCGTTGCTAAAAGAATAAACAATGACCGAACCTTGAGTATAAGTTATGGAGCTTCGAGTTAAAAGCTTTGACTGTTCTCTTTCTTTGATATCTTTCAATATGCACAAGGATGTGAGAATAGCACATCGAGTCACCTCTGAATGACTTGTGTCAACACTGTAAGAGAGCCTTCGGAGATATTCATAGATCTGTAGTTTTTGAAACCCGAGTTCTTTTTTATCTTTCATCAAAGCAATTACTTCTTCTCTGCTATAGGCTTCCGCGCTTGAAAGATCAAAAAAACCCCCTACAACATGGTACCAAACCTCCTCGAACTCTTTCTCCAGCACACGTAGAAAATCTTGCTTTACACCTGTCCTTGTTATGAAACACACAAGCCCAGTTATACAACTTTATATATAACCGACTTAGCCAATGCTGGCTCGTACCGCACCCTAATATAGTAGCGCCAGAGAGCGTGCCTTGACTCGATAAATACGATTTCAAGTTGGTGAAGATTCGGCCTTTCTCTATAGGCGAGCAGGGAAGACAATGAAATACGTACATGAGAGATATAGAATCGAATTGTCTGTGTTCGACACCGGGTAGAGTTAACGAATTGTCTAACACGTTGGCCACGACAGAATTGGTTCAGTCAGGTAGCCCAATGCGCTTGGAAGCGCTCTTGAGGCAGTCCTTGTTGATGTCGACTAGGGTTAATTGTTTTGGCCACTGGTTACCCTGCTTATGACGGTTATATGGAGAATATCCTGCACCCACGCCCACGTCCATATGTCTGGGACTTGAGTTGGCATGGAAAAATGGAATTAATACGGACTTTGTCGAAAATTTCCACAAGTAGTTGCCATTGATGGTGTGGATGGTAGCATCGTATACCCGGAGGAGGCCGCGCGTGTATAGATTGGCACCGGTAAGCAAGTGGGCGTTGATTCTGCTGAGCATTGTGTAATCCTTAAGACAAGATAGGTAAACAAAGGAACACAAAATAAGAGAATGGACGTGTATCAGATTCTGAACAACACGAAAATGGCCTGGTTATAATCCAGAATCTCTGTCACCTGATAGCCAGTTGAAAGGTTTTTTGTCCCACGTCAGCTTCGACATACTAAAGAAGCCTTTCCCCCTGGTCCAATGTCCAAAACACGGTTAGCTCCACACGCCTCCGTAATCATGACAGAATCATCTTCTTTCCGGGTGATAATCGTGGGTGCTTCGGTGGCAGGCCTGACGCTGGCTCATTGCTTGGACAAGGCCGGAATCGACTACCTCGTGCTCGAGAAACATGAAAACGTCGATCATGTCTCTCTTGGAGGCTTTCTCTCCGTCCAGCCCAATGGAGCTCAAGTCCTGTCCCAGCTTGGTCTCCATGAAACCGTAGCCGCCGCTGGAGAGACAATCACTGTCTGTCATACAGGCTTTCCAGACGGTTTCGGATTCAGTGATCATTGGCCGGATCGGCTGCATAAAAGGTATGTCTCTTTGCTTCTTCTTTCTTTTCCCTCAGAACACTGTGTCACCTCACAATGCATCAAAAACTGTGTTGCTAAAATTAGACCGATCGCTCGACACAACAGATTCGGCGTGCCCATGACTGTCATTCGTCGGCAAGAGCTATTGCACATCCTCTACAGCAGTCTGAAAGACCATTCCAAAATTTTAATGAAGAGGAAAGTCGTGAGAATCGGCCACACCAACTCCGGGATTTCAGTCTGGACTGCCGATGGGTCCGCCTATCATGGTGACACGGCAGTGGGCACAGACGGAGTCCACAGCGTGACTCGTTCCGAAGTCTGGCGCATAGCCAACAGTGAGAAACCCGGGTTCATCCCCCCTGCAGATAAGACCAGTAAGTGTTGCCTGGCGGTGTAAATAAGCGCTAAGATTGCAGAATGGACCAAATTGACGCTTGTGGGTGTTTACAGGTCTGGTTACAGAATACGCTGCTGTCCTCGGAATCTCCGTTGGGAACACCGGTATTGAACGCGGCGAACAGATTTTCCGCTTCATTGATGGCTCGGTTATCTTCCTCTTTGGTGGCAAGGACGGCTCTGTTGGTTGGTTGCTTGTGCAAAAGCTTGACAAGAAGTATGTTTGGCCCGACAGACCGCGTTTCACCCAGGACGATGCGGTCAGGTTCTGCGAGGCACTGCAGGATGTGCCAATCTGGAGAGATATCAAATTCTGCGATCTTTGGAATCGGAGGGAGCAGTTTGACATCATCAGTCTCGAAGAGGGAATCGTACAACAATGGAACTACGGACGTATTATATGCATAGGCGACAGCGTCAACAAGGTATCCGCTACCAAGTATTTTATGCATGGCAATGCTAACAGTGACAATCAGATGACCCCCAACCTAGCTCAAGGCGCAAACACAGCCATGGAACAAGCAGCCGGATTGGCCAATGCACTATACAAGATAGCTAAGAAAGGCCAACAGACAAAAAAGCCCTCCGAGTCAGAAGTTTCGAACGCCCTCGGAGAAGTCGCCAAGAAACACTTCGCACACATCAACACCATTAACCAGGGTTCTTATTTCTTAACAAGAATGCATTCGCGGCAAGGATGGGCAAACACCTTTTACGGACGCTACATCTATCCCAGGACTGCGTGGGGTGTCGTTCCGTATCTGGCGTGGTTGTTTTCGGATAGTGTGGCCATCGACTATCTTCCTCTGCCTGCCAAGCCTATTGGGAAGGTGGCTATAGCAAGGGCAGCGATGGAAGCAGCAGCTGGTGGAAAGCAGTCGACGTGGAATTGGGCCCAGAGGTCGACAGTGGTAATTGGGTCGGTGCTCATGGCGCTTGGAGCTTCTTTCTGGTTTAAGCCTTTCTAAGCATGTGGGTGCATTTGGATGATTCATTGACTAAATTTATTCTGCACTCTAAGCACAAGATCTGACTAGCTACCTCTCTTTGGTGTAAGAATTACAGTAGATTACTTTATAGGCTGCAATGTAACTACAATCTCAAGGGGACAGGCCATGCGGTCAGCATAGTTGGCGCCAGTTGAGCCAAGGCACCACGTATTGACAAGACAAGATGTCTATTAGTCATAGAACATGAATACACGGCTCGTAGAAAGAAGAAATTATTCGCAATGCATGTGCCGGGGTGTGTCTACCTGATTTTTTGTCATCGTATGACCCTAACACAAAGCGGCAAGCCCTAATACCAAGTATGCGGCTATCCACATACATTTATGACTACTTTCATCCCACGTAATCTGCCCTTTTTCCCAATAAATCCATTACTGATTCTTTCAATTAGCCTCCAGTGAGCTTTATTTATACCAAGAAGGCAAGATGACTACAGAACCAATCGCCATCGTCGGCACCGGATGCAGATTCCTGGCTCTTCATCCTCCTTATCCAAACTCTGGGATCTACTCGTCAACCCTCGAAATGTAGCCACTAAAGTCCCAAAGATCGATTCAATATTAATGCCTTCTACCACCCAGATGGATCCCACCGCGGCACCATGAATGTCCTGGAATCCTATTTTCTGTCCGAAGATATTTCCCCTCCTTTGCAAGGATCTGGAAGGGGCCCGCCCACTGATGATCAAGCTTCTTGCTCGGGCGGCCTGTGTTCCAATTCTTTGTTGATACCATTATCATGTCATCTACATCGAAATCCACTTCCCGCCTGGAACGGTTTGCATTCCGTTGTTGATGTGCCTGGGTAGTGCGGATTTGTTCTTGCACCCAGTCCCATGTCTCTTTTAATTGTTGTAGTCTTTGCTGAGCATTTGTCTCTGTGACTGTTCCATTAAGTTTTGACGTCCAGTCAAAAGACGTTCTGGGGGTGTAACCACTGTCAATGAGAAAGGGAGAAGTCTCAGTGGACTCACCCACTAACAATGCGCCAGCGAAGTCCATCATAGGGAGCTTTTCTGACCAATCATTCTGGTAGTGATTTACAAATGGACGTAGGTGTTGTTCAATTATTTGGTTCGCGTTCTCTGTTTGTCCATCTGTTTGTGGGTGGTCAGCAGTTGAGAGCTTCAGCTTCACACACAGCACGTTGCACATTGCTTTCCAAAACTCAGAGACAAATTGACCTCCCCGGTCGGAGACTATAGTGTCCGGAAGGCCTTTCCATCGGTAGATGTGCTCGATAAATAGCTTCGCCATGTCCTCTGCTCCAGTTGTTTTGTAACAGGGCAGTGAGATGTACCGTTTACTGAAACGGTCCACGATCACGAAGATGCTGTTGTACCCTCTCCTATCCTTTGGGAAGGAGCAGAAGTCCATTGACAGGTGCTTCCAAGGTCTATCTGGAACTGGCAGTGGCTTTAGGAGACCCGGGGGCCTGTCACGTCTAGTGTTGGTCCTCTTGCATGTCATACAATTATCCACATAGCGTTCCACATCACGGCTCCAATTTTCCCAGTAATAGCGTTCCTTCAGGAGCTGCTTGGTCTTTGTCTTCCCTGGATGCGCAGTTGATGGCTGTTGATGAATCTCATCCAATAATCTGACTCGCAGGTCATCCTG